GCATGGGTTCATGGGTTCATGGGTTCATGGGTTCATGGGTTTGGGGTTTGGGGTTTGTTTGTTTTTGTGTCGGAGGTTTTGGGTTCGGGTGTTGGAGGTTTTGGGTTTGGGTGTTGGAGGTTGAGGTTTCCGAAGGGAAGTGCTTGCAAAGTTTTATTGCTCTTAATATTTATTTTGATGTGTACTAACTTGTAGATCGATGAAGTAGAAGATGGCGTAAGTCACTCCAGCTACTACTGGGACTTAACTTCGCTCTCCACCGATAAACTGCCGCAAGAAACAACCAGGTGTAAAATCATCGTAATGAGTGTATCAAAGTAATACCTTCATTTTTTTCGTTCAGGTCAAAGAAGATCATTGACTCCATGATGGAAAACTGGTAGATTTTGCCTTGATGTCGATCTTCAGAAGGTTGTGGTCATCATATTTTGTTCTTGCCGTCAGAAAGAATTCCTACTTTGCGAATCCGATTATTGTTGGTAGACAACATTTTTTCTTCATATCATCAAACGACATGACTCATGGATTTGGCACTGTTTTTCGTTTCCTATCGTCCTTATCCGCGTTTACCTAGTACACCTGGCTCCTTTCTCTTGATAGTGGCTCTTTGCGCATTATTCGACATCTATGTAGAAAATCTTAGCTCGTGATTTGATATCTATACATAGATGATGCGACGTTCAGCAACCAATTAGGTCCGCTAGTTTTTCTAGTGAGCCGGAGCCCACGCCTAACCTAACCTAACCTATTCCCATTATATTAGATGACCAATGAAACCTTAGCTATCTGACTCTGACATTATACTTACATGAAGATAGGTGTTGTCTCTACGTAGGTGTTGTCTTCAATCATCTGTTGTTTACAGCACCACTGTTTTCGTCCCGGTTCCTTTGCCGCACTGTCGTGTAACTGAATTAATTTAAGCCTTCGTAGGGATAGGACGCATTCGCGTTGTCGTAGTTCGAGTATGATGTCCTCTTGATGTTTTGTCCTCGATCATCTTCGTCGTCTCTTCAGTGATGACAGCACCAATCGAATGTGAAGATTGTCATTCAACGTCGCCTGACCAGAGACGCAGAAGATCGCGATGCCAAAAAAATATTAATGACATCTTCACCACCACGACCACCAGTACGAGAAGAAGAAAACCCCTGTTCACGCGACGTACGAGTTCATATAGTACAACACTTACAACAAGTACTACAGTAAGAGTACTAAGTGTTACTAGAACAACGTCCTCGAGGGGGAAGTTTGCGGAACGAGCAGTAGTCTTACAACAAGTACAACAAGAGTCTCCGGGTTCATCGTGGTCCACTCTACTATCGAAGTTATAAATATAAGTATTCGTACGCAGATCTGGTCCAGGAGAACGAGAAGCAGGCGTTCCACTCCCAGCTTTTCTGATCGGGTCTCTGTGCCGGAGAGCTAGGAGAAACAACCACGACTGTCACACTCGCTAGGCTCGTTGTTGCGTAATAGGAAATGATCAACCGCTAGCTGTGGAACAACTCTTTATTGCGTTTGCTTTCGCTAATTCATTGCTTTCGCAAGAGACTGTCGACATCTTAAAAATAGAACTAGTACTAATATCAATTCGTATTCCTGGCGACGTCGCGGTTGGCGTTGCCGTTCGGTATCAATACAACTGACGACGGTACTTCCTGTGGATTGATATTTTCGTCGTTGATGATTCCTCAGTACGGGTTAGGCCCTCCAGGGCCAGCTGCAGGGGCGCCGGCGCTAGGTGCAGTGCCAAAAGGTACACGAATTTTCACTTTTTCTTGGATTGATGTTGGAGCGACGAAATTTCTTTTCTGATCCCCTCCGCCTTATGATACTCATCCTCTGATAGTAGTGTGACTGCTGCGCAGGTAATCTAAGTCTAGGTGTTTCTTAGTAGTGCGAGATTTTGCACTGTTTTTGTTCTCTCCGCTTCAAAGCTTCTTTTCGTGTAAACGTAAAGTGCATGAGGAAGAGCAGATCGTGTAAGGTCTTGATGTTGGATGATGATGTTGATGCCCTTCAATACAACTCATTCAGGCATACCTCCAGCTGCAGCCAACAAAAATGGTCCGCCACCAGCCAAAGGACTTCCGGGAACCAAAGGCCCACCACAGGTAACAATTGTAATAAAGTAGACGCCTGGCCTGTGTATCTACTCGTGTTTCAGTTGAATCGTTATACATTTGGAGTTGGTGGATTTTTGTGGATTCATTTCCACTACGCGAACCTCCTGAGTTTTCATGACTATAAGGCAAATACCTTTAGGCTTATTCGATGATGGCGACTTGTACTACTTCTACCTAGCTCTAATTTTTATTTTTCCAATATTTCCATCTGTGCACCCACATGTACAGCTTCAAGGTGGACCGCCGAATGGTTCACCGCAGTTCGGAAAGCCAGGGCCCCCAGGAAAACCGTTTGGCAAAGCAGGACCCCCACCAGGCAAGAAGGGATATCCTCCTGGCAAAGACGGGGGAAAGATTGGTGCACCACCTCCTGCCGCGCCTGGCGCTAAGATTGGAAAGCTGGGCGGATCTGGAAAAGATGGACCTGCTTTCGGGATGGCTCCAGGTGGAAAAGGCGGTCTAGCGCCCGGAGCGCCGCCTCCCGCGGGGAAGCAGGTAGGTGGCAAACCCGGGAAGCCGGGACCGTTTGGCGGCAAAGGAGGGAAAGGCGGGCCGCCGGGTAGTAAGAATAATCCAAATAACATCCCATTAGGCGCTGGCGGCGGCAAGGATGCTGGGTTCGGTCCTCCACCAGCTTCAGCGGAACTAGCCGGTGGCAAGCCGGGCCCTCCAGCCGGCGCGCCTTTTGGCGGGAAGGATCAAGGAAAGCCGCAGCATGGCCAGTTTCCCGGAGGCAAGGACAGCAAACAGAACGGACCACCTTCACAGCGAAGCGGACCTCCAAATGTTGGCGTCGAACAGCGGATAATCGTCGGCGGAAAAGGCCACGATTCGTTTTCTGGGGGAGGACCACCGACACAAGCGCCACCTCTAACGCAGCACATCATACGGCACGACAAAAACGGCACCAAGACGGTAGTCATACAGCAGCAGGACGGCGGTCCACCACAAGCAAGGGCGCCTCCTGGTGCGCCACCAAATACGACGATAAACGGAAATCAGATTGTGCACCAAGTCGTGCAGCATGCCGGTTTGCCAGCGACGCAGCGTCCAGCGCCAGCAAATCTAGTCGGTGCGCCGCCAACAGGAGGACCCCCAGGAGCTCCCAGCGGACCACATCATACTGTCACAGTCGTATCGCAGCTACCGCCAGGTGCAACCGTAGTGTCTGGGCCGCCTCCAGGATTCAAAGGGGGACAAGTCATTCAAGTGCAGCAACCAGGTGGGGCTGCGCCTCCGCCACAGCAAAGCGGGCCACCGCATCAGCAGCCAGGTATTCAATAGTGTACCTAAAACGAGATGGGCAGGTGGACCCACCTCATGATAAATGTTGTTGTTATTTTTGAACAAGAACAACATTGACATTCGTCGTCTATGAATAACTTCTTCTATCTACGAACTGAAAATTTATCTTCTCTTCTGGAACTACTTTTTACACATACACCTTCTCTTCAGGTGGGCTACCTCCGGGAGCGGTCGTTACGAAAGGTAGTCCTTCAGGACCGGTTCCGGTGATCGGGAAAGGCGGCAAGCCAGAGCCGCCACCCGGCTATACACTCGAGATCAGGAGGAACCCCGACGGTTCGGAGGTGCACACGATGCGGCCACTGGACACTAGTGGTGGTAAAGGAGGTTTGCCTCCGGCTCCGCCGCAACAGCAACAACAGCAGCAAATAGGAATACAACTAGGTGGGCAGCAACCACAGCCTGGTGCGTACAATGTGCAACAGCAGCAAGGAGGACCCGGCGCTCCTGGAGCTGGACCGGCGCCGCAGGGCGGACTGACCCATCAAGGCGGTAAAGGTGGCTTCCTCGCACCCGCGGGTCAGAACGGTGCCAACATTCACGTAGTTTCAGGTGGGCATCCTGCAGGCAGCTCAGTTATTGTTGGGGGCCCGCTGCCGCACGCTGGACCACCGGGCCAGCATCAGATACTGACGACGACTCAGCCCTCCTTGAGCGGAAACGGAGGCATCCCGCAACACCAGATTGTGGAGCACCAGCCATTGCAGCACCAAGTAGGCAATGCTCCGCCTTTGCAGCAACATCAGCAACATCATATTAGCACCAGCAGTTACCCATCAGCAGGCCTACCCACGACCCCATCAGGAGGGCAACCCCCACCTTCAACATTGATGATGAACACCAGCAGTCAGCACCCACAGCAGCACCATGGCGCACCTCCGAATAACAGCATGGGAAACAAACCCCAGTATCCAAATATGGGAACAAGTGGACCACCGCACCAGTCGTCTGCGTCTTCATCCCATCCGCAGGGTGCACCGGCTTACCCGCCGCACCAGCCGCAGCAGATGTCCCAGCACCCACCGGTATACCAGCAGCACTACCCTAGCAGCTTCGTAAACGACATGCACAATGGGGTAGCAGACGCCACTCAACCGAAGGATCGCGGCTCGCCACCGACTACCTATCTCAACGCAGACATACCTGAGAAGCCGGACAGAAATGGTAATACGACCTCTCAACGGTCCTTGACTTTCGCTACTCGATTTTTTAGCATTCATCTGACGCTGGTACGAACAACAGATAACAACTCATGAAGTACTTTTACGCACACTGAGATGATCTTCTGTTTCTACCTACCACCAATTTTACAGATTTTGCGTCACGAAAACCCGAAGTCTATGACTTCTTTCGCACAAGGAACGTTTTTCAATCAAAGGACGCTCCAGGACTGTGGGATTTAGCGCTCTGGGACGGCATGTGTCGCGACAAGCACGTAGGGGACTTTATCGAGTGCCTCGAGGCATGGTATTACTTATGCACCTTGTCGTATGTTACTAATCATCTGAACCCAGTCAAAATGCATAGTCCGCATAGGCGAATAGCGATCCTTGACCTTTCTTCGTGTTACTTCTGTCACAATTCCTCTTCTTGTCTACTCCCGAACAAATCTACCTTGAGATACCAATCAACCTGCACCTAAATCTTTAATAGGTTGGCGCGCGTGATGGGTGAGAAGCCGTATCACCTTCACAAATTCTGTTTGCGGGGTAACGAACTGAAGGATGCTTCGATCAAGATAATCATGGAGCAACTAATAAAGCTGGAGGTCCGGCTGGATATCCTAGACCTGAGCCAGAACAATGTACCATTTGTTACTATAATCCAAGATATATCTATACATAGTATAAATGATTGAAGATCTTATTCGTCCAAGACTATTTCTAGCTTGATACTACAAGATCGACCTCGACGTCAATAAATGTAGTTTGTAACTGAACAAGAAAAGTAGAAATATGATCCAGTATCAGATATTGTTATTGAGGACTTGGACTTAGTTGGACAACTACAATTCGACGTCCTCTATCTATCAGATTGAAGCCGAGGGTGCGTCGAAGATTGCGGACTATATTTGGAGTTCGGACCCGGTGCAAGTGTTGCATCTGGACCACAACAAACTACAACACGACGACGTGAATGCCGTTCTGAGAGCGTGCTACAATCACAATAGTTACCCGATCAGGAACGCGAATCAAGTTCCGATACCCTTGAGGCTTGGCATCGTCGGAAATCCGATAGTCGATGACTTAAAGGTTGGCGACCTACTGAACCAGATTCGCAAGCAAGGAGGAAAGGAGCGGGTCTGGTTTTGCAACTCGCCAGAAGTTACGAGCTACCGACTTATATATACGCAAAGGTTGCGTTTGGATTTCTTCAATATTTTTCTGAGTATTCGACCGAGTAGAGCAGCTAGAGGCTCCTCAATTTTTTGTCAACATCCAAAAAAAAGCGTGATGTCGATCACGAATAGTCTGTTGAAGATGAGTTGAAGATGCTTGTTGAGCTTGAGAATAGAGGAGATAGTCTACGCGCTTCTTTAGAATGATACTCAATTATGCACCCATACTCTTATTTCTTTGTGTACTAACTAGTACCATGAACAATGAATAATGCTCTACTTCTAATTTTCACTTGGGTGAGAAGGAGTGGGTGAAGCACAAGAGCCGACTAGAGAATTGCTATCTGGCGGTACACATGCCAGCGGCGTTCGAGGGCGCAGATGACCGGACCAGAGGACGCAAGAAGGACCGCAAGAAACGCATGAGGAGCCATTCGGACAATGAAAACCTCCAAGACTACAATGGAGTTGACGCCGGACATGGACAACACCACCAACATCACGATGGCCATTCAGACGGCTCGGATGATGGTGGGCGCACGAAGCGGCACAGGGTAGCTGAGGACTTCTAACCAGGTTTCAGGGAAGAAGACACCACGATGACGACGAGAAGGGCCTCCCGGACCGGGGATTTTAAGCACTACACATGGCTACAGTGGGAGCGGGCTCCCGTAAATTTTAAGCACTTTCATCTACGGAAGCTGTTGTGAGAGCTTTCAGAACCTATGACTCACCATTTCGAGGACTGTAGTTATGTTGAAGTCACGGTGAAGGTCAAGCGAGATTTTTTAACCTAGTTGGCACTTCTAACCTCGTCACCCCGGGACCGAGAAGGTGTCAGCGTAAGACAACTGCATAGGGTTGTCAATTATTGACGAAATCATCACTTTCGATTAGAGATCCTGGGTCAGCACGTTGAATGGAGCGATTACCTGCAATATTCCATCGGCAAGCAATTGCTTTTTCGTAAGGACATAAAACCAGATGTAACTTTTATTTAAGTAATAATGGTCTCAACAAGTGGGCGCCGCTTGTAGATCTAGATTTTTAAAAGACACTTCAAATTCATCGGCTAGATTGTCTGAGATTAGTGCTGTGAACCATGATGACAATGGAATTCTTTATATAATTTCGAAATAGTACAGTTATAACTGATCATCTGTATAATCGATTTCGTTCTTATTTTCCGTATTGGTGTTTGCTGAGTTTAGTAATGAAGGACCACTTTTATCCTTGTAAACGATCCCCCCTGATCCTGTTTGAAGAAGATGTAAAGGCGCTCTTTAGGGTAGGTTCTTCAACAAAGTCCCGCTTTTTTACTCCTCTACAAATCCGCAAAAAGATCTAGATGAATATGCTCAAAATTGGAAGGAAAGGCCACGCATTCTGGAAAAGTAGAAGAAACATGGAGTGGTCACAACTTGATCTCGAAAATGCCTCTGCAGCAGAATCCACTAACGCGTCAGATGCAGCGGCGCAGGAATGAGAGGTAGCTCCTCCTCTTACTCAGTGAATCATGCGTGTGGAAAAACAAGTTAGAGGAAATGAAAGAGCGGAAGTTATTAGGTAAAGAAAGAAGGGTATTAAAGTGGCAAGTCCGTGGTTTCAGAATACTTATCAGGGAGACCACTGACCATGACTTAGTGGCAAGATGAACCTTTGTTTACAACAAAAGACATTAATGCAGGAGCTACATATTACAGACAGTAGATGATCATCTGTCGGGCAGTAACGGAGGGTATTTTTACTGCCAACTACATTCTGTAAGTGACGTCGAGTGGTCGTGAGCGGTACTTGAGGTGCGACTGAGTCGTTCAAAATACTGGAAAACGAGTGAGCGATAGTCTCAACTGCTGCTGTGCATGAAACTCAAATATACTTTTATCATCACCATCCATCGGATGTGCCTCGCTTCAGACTACATGAACGCCTGGTGATCCCAATCTCATCAATTACTATTTCGCAATAGTAGGTTCGCGGATTCAGCACACATATAGCATTTGTATACTGCTCTGAAGTTTAAACAAAATTCTTAGTCTTACCGCGATTACCCTGTATCCTTCTTCGACTTATTCGTTTTACAAACTTGCTTGTTCCATGTTTTGGTTGTTGAATCAATCTTTCAAATCATAAATGATTCTTTCCGTGTAAAAGAAATGTTGTTGATCACAAGAGTTACGTACCACTACCATACGACGTAACGCGGTTGAACGACGCGGTCCGCGAGCAGGAAAAGCCAACTCCTCAGTATGGAAATCCAGTCTTTGCGCCTTCTTGACGAATTCGCTCAATACGAGAAAACGAAATTTGACATTTTTACAGCCTCGCCTTGAGCACGTCACAGGACTGTTTTTCGTCGTCGTCGTCGAGAGAAGTCGCTGCACGGCAATTTGATTGTTCATTGTTGAGCCACCCTGCGGTCATAGATCAAACTGGCAACCAGTACAGCTGGCACGGGAACTGCTTTCGCGTATACGCTCGAGTACTTGAATGGACAGTATATATATTATAAGGCTCTAGGTGCGGTGAAGAGTGCAGACTCGCGCTGCATACGATTCGGAAGTAACCCCCGACTCATTGTGTCTGTGCTAGTAGAAAACAACAACAAGGCTCTTTTGGGAGTAAGTAGCGAACTGGCCTACACCAACGCCAACTAGAGCATGTGACGATGCTTTAATACGAGCTGTTCATTTCGTACAGACGACGTCGTAGAAGTACCTGAACGACGACGTAGAAGGTTTGGAAGAAGCACCAGTGTCGGTGGCCCAACGGATACTGACGACCACGACTGTAAGTAGTATACATGGTAATAGTACGCGGTAATTCCATGGTGATCAAGTACGCAGTAGTCCTACGGTGATCAAAAACTGTCACATCAGAGGCACACAAATGATGTGTCGCACGTTCTTGGTGGAGCACAGTGCGCGGTTCATAAAGGGCATCTTCATTTGATTCGTCTTCCCCGTCAAGTAACCACAACTACAGAAGGATTAGTTATAGCCGTGCAAGCGTAACCCGACGAAACGGAAGCGCCCACGCTCGCGAACACCACGAAAGACCGCCAGCACGTCAACTTCTAGCTGCAACTGCACAGCGCCAGACGAACGCTTCTCGTCGATACTCCTCGTTGGCAATCATCTATCGCGACAAGTAGTATCTATTAGATCCCGATCTGATTGTATTCGACGCGGGTTTTAAACAGTACTACTAGGCGGGGTAGAGAGACGTTACTAACGATTTACTAGGATGAACAGAGGCCACTTTTGCAGCTTCTCAGTACGGTTATAATCGACTTCTCCTGACGAGAGACGAAACGCCTTCACCTCATAGCCCAGCTGCGGTTGGTTCAGAGCAAATCAGAAATCCCCTTCAACGAGAAATAAAGGGACGCGGCGACTAAACACGTGTGTCCAACATCTACAAGATCGAACAACAAATAAAGCTGGACAAAGTGCAGGAGGTTCCCCTCGACTAGCAATATAGAGCCCTCGCACGTGCTTATCTGCGAAAAAAACATAGATATAGATTTCTCCACCTGAGTTTTCCAGTTATAAGCGTGAATGCCAGACGTTGCGGCAATGGTGGATCATGATTGGGATACCCCTAGTCCAGGTGCCAAGAGCAGCACCGATCCGGATCTTACAGACGCATCTGCGATAATTATGGCAACTTGATGGAATTTAAACGGAATTCGAGGTGAGTAGAGTAAAAATCGTAATTATACTTAGAAGGTGACATCAGTCAAAGTCTACAATTGAGTAGATCATACCAAAAGCATCCATAAGGATCGGTCTGAATAATTATACGAAGAAACGAGCTTCATCTAAAACACTCTAAAACCCAGCCAGATAACGATTACAAGCCAGGGGATATCAAGATAATACTTCTAGGTGATTCAGCGGTGGGCAAGAGCAAGCTGATAGAAAGATATCTTCTCAACGCGTACTTATTACCTACCCCCAATCACTTTACAACTACAACTACTTAGAAATTAATACAGATTCCGATTGCTGAGTACTACCTATAGTTACAACCGCGGCGACCTTGATTTTCTCCGCCTTACTTTAGAACCGACTTCTCTTCAGACCCAGATTTCCATCCTGAAGATGTTTTCAAGTCCTCGGACGATTTTTAGATTGCATACAACCATGCTTTGCAGATACACGAAGCACACAGCGTCAACGTATGCGGTGAATATTTTTTCACACGTCCATAAGGACACCAAGTCGGGAAGAGAGTACAAAATCGATTTCTGGGACACAGCAGGGCAGGAGCAGTTCTCGAATTTACATCCAAGTTATTACTATTATGGCGGCGATGAAGATGCAGTTTTTTCTTTTGGATAATTCATCGAAATTAATAATTAAATACTAGAAATCTTCTAGCTTACTTAGAAAGATTCATTGTTCACGCATCAAGCACGAAGAATAGGCAGCTTTGCACTATACTTCCTCCAAGCGTACTTCTAGCCTATCCTAATTTCGTTTAGGTCTATATCTATTAACCGATCATCGATATTTGAAATACGATCCGAGTCCGTAAGAAGTACTACTTCCACTTCGCGCACATTATGGCAAGTACTACTCCTTCGCGCAGCACGTTATTCTCATCATTATTTTTGATCACCAATTTTATTTCGCTTCTAAGGCCTTGAGGCGAACTGCTGCATTCTCGCTTTCGACGTGACGCGGAAGATCACATACAAGAATCTCGATAAATGGTACAACGTTTTGTCTATGGTATCTATATATAAGGCCATCTTGTGTGGAAGGCACTCTGCAGGCAACTTAGTCTAGCTGGGCAACAACTAATGCCTGTGATTTTGATTTTCTAGAAAAATTTCTTATGGTTTTGGGAAAGGGATCGATGAATGATATCAGCATATCTTATCAACCTGTAGTAGGGTTATTTCAACATCTCGCTGAGATGTAGACTTCATCCCTTCCAGGTATGAAAACTGCAAAAATGGCGTTATGCGAGACATACCTGTATTGTGCATTGCGAATAAGATCGATTTCGACCCATCGAGCACACAAAAGAAGTACTATAACTATTTAGCTTTGATAACACTGTTATTTCTACTATGTCGCCTTATCTTCATCTTGATGACCATCACATCTCTATTAGTACCAGTGCTCAAATCTTCTTCTCGTTCCCTTTAAAATGCTAGTATAAGTAATCCTCCTTGTTCTTGGATAGTATCTGAAAATGTCAACAAAGTCAAATTTAACAGGTTCCAGTTTGCTGTGAAGCATAAACTGCCATTTTTTTATGTGTCGGCAGCCGATGGAACAAACGTGGTTCGAATTTTTGAAGAGGCGATTGCGCTTGCAATAAAGCAGAAGGAGAATCCTGACAAGGATGACGTACTTACTCATTTCTTTTTTTTGATTTGTTTTTCATGGGATGCAAGCAAGACCTCACGTTGCTACTTAGGCAAATCATATTCATTCACTCACTCACTTATAACATGCATTCGTAGAAATACTGACCTTCTCCAGAAGGTGAGTAATACCCACCTACATGCGAAAAAGTAGTAAAATTTGAACACGCGACCAGCTTTTGGCGCCATTGACAACTCTTTTCGTCAGGTGCTCGATGACATTATGGCTCTGTTGCAGGAAGACGATAACGCTGCGACGATGTCGTAGCCTGCGGAGCACCCATACAACGTGACTCTGCAGCTCGTCGTTGTTCACGAACTGCAACTTCACCTATTTTTGATATCTCGCTTAGGTACTTATTTACAATCGGCAACCTTCATCGCTGCAGCTTCAAGAAGAAACATGTCAATTTACTCTCAATTTGGTTCGGGGACTTCGACGTCACAACTCTCATCTTTCTACATCTATAACTCAATATAAATATTTTTTTGGGAACTCAGTTACAGTTTTTAGTTTCTTGCAACTCCAAGTTATAGTTATTCAAGACGATAGATAACTTCTGAGTAGAGATCGGCTCAGGACTTAACCTGACAACGACAACGCCATGGTGGAGACTACTTACCTAGAAATCTACAAAAGCCGACCAGGAACAAGTACAATGGAACCTAGTCTCTCGATTAGTGTCTACCACTGGTCCTAATAGATACTGCTTAATGTCAGCGCCGTACCATTCTGAATGTGTATGAAGATTTGTGACTGATATGGCGCGGCCTGGAGCACGACCGATATCCATTTCCGTGATCATGACAGGGACGCCTTGACCTTCGATCAACAATGATTAAATGGTAGTTGCACCACTTGCACTTAGACCACTTACAACACACTTTTGGGATTTGTGATGGACGAAATCATAATCATATGTGACAGACAGCAAGAGAGAGCGAAAGAAGTGCATATCTGAAATCCATACTCCACAGTTTCAGGCATTCGGAAGTCTACTTCAACGAAAAACTTGCATGGGTGAAAGTTGAAGGACGCTTTGATCACAGAAAGCATGGGTCGGATCTCAAAGGGTTCGACAAAAGAAATGGATGCGACACGACCAAATGCATTGTTAAGAGGGGTCGAAGAGCCAGATGAAAGCTCTCATCATGTCGGTCGTTGGCGATGATGATCGCCCTCGCTCTTAGTTGGGTCCTCTTTTTTTCTTGCGCTTTGTTTTTACGCATAGATGTAGAGCCACGTGTGTTTCTTACGCTTTTTTTCGGACAAAATAGAGTAGTACTGCAGTCGAGAGATGAAAAGAACGGAAGAAGGAGATCAAGAAGGGATTACGAGGAGAGCAAAACTACATACGATATAGCCCGAAAACTGTTTTTGATTCTGAAATAGGATGGAAGTCAAAAATTAAGGGCGCGACAGTTCTACAGGAAGATCTTCTTGAATATGAATGCTGAATGGGGATGTTGTCTTTAGAGCAGATCCACGGAATAAATCAAAAATTAGAGCTCGGAATACCCATATGAGTTGTAAGGTATTTTTTTTAAGCCTTTTGTTCACAGGCACAGCACCGAGCACGTGTAGCCAAGATCGTGAACACATCATTGAGCTCGTAAACTGTATAAATAGGGGGATCCCCTTCTACACGCCTAGCAGCTTTACTTGTCTTTTAGATTCGGTAATATTTTTATTTTCCTCCGTGTACCGACGAAAGATGATGCGATCATCTAAAAGTCTACACATCGAGATTTTTTCTCTCACTGTGAGTCACCAAAGGCAAGAACAAGAGAGAAGCATCTTCTCTGTGTATTCGCAGGACACCATTGCGAAACTGCTACATAAAGATTCATAGATACATATGGACTTTCTTTCGAAGCCACGACTCATGGACAAAAAACCATGCCCGGCGTGTTTTGGAACCAGATGATCCCTTCCAAGGGGAAGCGGCGGCACTTCCATAAAAATGCGGCGCAGGGCTTCGAAGACGAGCGCGAGGCGTTTCGACTGAAGCACCGAACGACTCACGATGACCGAGAATTATGGGCCAAGTGCCTAGCCATCGGCGTGCCAGAGTCAGTCCCGGACCTACACCGGACCGAGTGGCCCGATCTGCGGAACTATGTGAAGGACTTCAAGGCAGCGCTTCTGATCGAACTAGACGCGGAGCGACGGGCAGTTTTCGGCGCACAGGAGGGCCACCGCTGTCTCGTCGACTTGATGGTAAGGCATGTCTCGGAATATTCTGTTTCTGAGGAGTGCCAACTGCGTGATGAGACCAAGTCAGAGGTCGTGGAAGGTGCGGGCTCAGTGCCTGACAGTGATTGCGAGTTGCTCCTTGCAGATGAAGCATCGCAAGAGGACAGGAGCAAAAAACTGCTCAAGAAAACGACAACAAAAGCTGCGGCAAAACAACGGCATTTTTTAGAGATACAGGCGCAGTCGTTTGGTGAGCTGGATTATCCCGATTTGCAGCGATGCTGGTCGGAGAGAAACAAGAAAGTAGCCGCTTATAAGAACGAGACGGGTCAGGGAAAGTCTACTGCGACTACCAGCAGTACTGCGACTAGCAGTACCACGACGACTAGTTGTAGTACGAATCGTCTGCAGCAGTACATGGCCAGTGGCCAAGTCGGCCTTTCGCGGCAGCCTACTTTCGTTAAGGCCAGACCCACGGAAACGCCGCTGAAGAAAGTGCTCGCGGAGGACTGCTACTGCAAGTTGGGCCGTGCTACCGCCCATCCTAGCTCCGCCTCACTCGTTGGCGACGCAGCTGTAGAGGCATTCATTTACAAGTCCAACATCTATGAGGTAGACAATTTGAGGTCGCGCCAGATAAGAAGCACCGCGGGAAAGGGAGGGCAGGGCGCGCTCGATGGAATAGTAGGCATGGGAAGCGAGCAAGGAGAAAGCGCGGAAGGCAATGGCAAAGATAAGCGCGATGGACTGTCGCAGAAGACATCTCATTTGAGCTTGAGAATCGTGATGCAGCGCCCTCCAGAACTTCCTCAACTGATGGAGCAAATCATGGAGGAGAGCGAGAGGAACAGCAAGAAAAAGATGAAGGACAAGGAGAATCGGCGCAAGAAGCGAGAGTTTCGACGGCGACAGCGATTGTCTTTGTCGGCGAAGCGTCGGAAAACGGAATTAAACGGCGAGCAACTTGAAGGTGAGAGCGACGAAGGCGACGACAGCGCTTCTGAAGATGAGGAGCAACTTAATCAAGACGGCGACAAGTTGAGACTTGAGGCTTTCCGCCGGCTTTTCGGTAACGAGTCGTCAACGATCCCCGGCAATAAGAATACAAGGACGTCGCCCTGCCTGCGGCTGCTCATGTACGATAACAATTCGGTGAAAGCACGCCTGCGCTCACTCGCTGCGTGTCAAAGGATCCTGCGCAACGGCGAGTGTCAGCTTAGCAAAAACAGCCGCACCTTACGCGATCTTCGGATCGGTTTGTCTGAGTCTCTGGGGAAAGACAGAGGGGGAGAACTACACGACCACATTACAGATTGTGAGCCATCGGATAGCGAAGCGTATGATTTCGATTTTTTTGATTCGCAGATGGCACAGCTCGGTAATAGCGGGGATGCTGATCGTGGGACTGCAGCCTCATCCAGTACGGCTCCAGTCACAAGTAGCAGACAACAAGAAGTACAATATTTGAGCGAGAACGACGAGGTTCGGGAAGATCATATGCAACGGGATTATACCTCTAGTTGTGAGCCAAAACATCAATCTACTCGAAGTGCATCTTCCTCAAAAGCGGCCGCTTTGCGTAACAAGCTCGGAGCCATGGCTCGGCTATCCCGCATCAAAGTGCAGGAATTGATACCGAAGGCCATTGCAGAAAAGGAAGCCGCGGACCAGGCACGCGCTGCACTGGGTGATCGCCGACAGGAGGTCAACAGGCTGCAAATAGAACACGATCGCTTAAAGGCCCTGCTGGACGTAAAGGAGAAGGAAGCCGAACAGCCAGCGGCAGCAGCATCGAGTCCTGCAGAAACGGGAATGTCGTCGAGGGGCGGTGTAGCCTCCACCAGCAGCAGCGCGTGTGGCCAAGCACCACAGTCTGGAGTGAAGGGAGCGCCGCGTGCCAAGGACCGTGTTGGGTACGGGAAATTCAAAGGGAAAACGTACGAACAGGTCTACAACAGTGAAGAGGGCCAGAAGTACATAAGAACGTATTGCAGGACGCGGAAAGACCCATGCGAGGGAATACAGAAGCTTCTCGACTACGCTAACCTCATGGATCAAGCTGCGGGACTGGCAGGCGGCTCGGCAAAGGCCAAGGCAAAAGCGAAAAGTCAGGTCAAGAGGATTGCGATTGCGCAGCCCCGGGCAAGCACGATGCAAGCAGCTGCAGACGCGCAGTTAGGAGCACTGCGCTCGCAAGTCGCGAAAATCCATGGCGAGTTGGAGGGGGCCATACGCATACAGGACGAAGCTGAGAGTTTGGCGAAGCTTCACGCGAAGATGGAGACGAAGCAACGTTTGGAGAAGCTGAAGAGGGAACTCGTAGACATGCGAAATGCGGTAATTTGCACTGCGAACCTGGAGGAAGCTCGGAGGCGACTGGCCCGAGAGGGACTCAACGCTAGTCAGTTCCACGCGGTGATGAATGTCATTAGTACTGGAGGCGTCTTCACGGTGCAGGGACCGCCTGGCACAGGTAAAACGCGGATGGTCGCGACATTGGCCCGCGCATTGCTGGAGTGGGCGCCCTTGACTCGTAACCCCGGATTGCCGGTGTGTCTGTCAGAGGCACAGTATGAAGAACAAGAGCTGGCAGTCACGTGGTCAGCGGAGCAGTGGGTAGAGAAGTATAACGAGGGACAAGCAAAGGGCGCACTCACGTTATCAGATGTGGACCCGTGGGCAGAGGATCCGTGGGCAGACGCGCCACGAGGTGTCTCGTCCGCAAAAGCACCGAGCCCTGGCACAACGACCAGCAGCGATCCTCTGGAGTTTCAAGCTTGGGAGCAGCCGAACGACTTGCGGATCCATGCGGAGTGGCTTGGCATCGGCGGTAGAGTCGGGAGCTTGGTTCCTCGCCGGGTCATATTGACTGCAGCCTCGAATAAAGCTGTCTTCAATATGATGGAGAAGATTGTGGGCCACCTGGAGGAGCATGTGGCTTCGTCTGCTGTCTATCAAAGTCGACCCCTCGCGTTCGACGACGAAGACAACCGGATGAGCAGCTGCATCAGCGAGGAAGGAATTGTCTGCGGCATTACTTTTCAAGGCGTGGAGGAAAAGGTGCCACCGGGCCTGCTTCCATTTTTTCTGCATACGCGTTACCGCGACATCTTCGAGGTGGAGCATGTAAGCGACGAAGCTGTAAAAAGACTGATAGCAGACGCGCCCAACTTCTGCAGCGCTTCTAAGCTCAACGTGAAAACGCTCAAGGAATGGCGGGAGGCGCAGCGCAAATTTCACCAACAAGAATTGGAATTGTGGAAAGAAGCGGCGAGAGAAGGCGGCAAGAAGGGCAAGCAGCAAAAGAAAAAAACTTTGTCGTTTGGGGGCCACCTTGCACAGGTCCTTGGATTACAGGGAAAACAGCTGGGGAAGAAAGACGATCTTGAATCCGAAATACTTCGCAATGCGCGTTTTATCTTCTCGACGCTGACGTGCCTCGGACGCGGAGCGTTACTGAAAGCGCTTGCCCCACCCGGGCGCGGTACCAGGAGGGAAGAAGACCCTGATCAAGATTTGCGCTCCAGTTTTCAGCGCCAATTTTTTACACACTGCAACCCAGCCGACTTTGCAGACGCGAAGCGCGACGACACGGCGACCAGCGGGTCTATTGCTGGGTTTAAATTCGAGGATGCGGCGCTTTCAGATCAAGAGTCGGGGAGTAGAGTACGGCTCGCTAAAGATTGCAGCCCGGAAGCGCAGTCCTATGAAGACCACGATCTTACGGTCGTAATCGATGAAGCGGCACAAGCCACTGAGGCGGATACAATGCTTGCTCTCGCTTTGAATCCATCCCGCCTCGTCCTGGTGGGCGATCCGAAGCAGCTTGCGGCGACCGTGATTCGTAGCAAGGGACTGCGGGAGGCAGGCTATTCGCGGAGCTTGCAGAGCAGGCTGCAACCTCTTCAAAAGGTATTCTAGTACCTAATCATCATCGTGATTACCAGTCAATTGGGAGAGTGTGCCATTGTTCTAGCGGTTTATTTATGTTGATCTCCGCGATGAGGATGACGATGTACTAGATTGATCTCTTACATGAAGTCCGTAGTTACCAATATCTATACGTGCCCCTTACCCTTACGCGGGTCCGACAGGGGCCAGCCAGTGCCCGAGGCTGAAAAGTAGGCAGATATAAAAACCAAGGAAACGCGCTAGCTTGTTACGGGCAGGTAGCTCAGAAGCCTTGGGCAGCTTGCTAGCTTACTTAGAAGCCATGGGATGCCGTGGCCTGCTAGCTTAGAAGCCAGGGCCAGCCAGCTTAGAAGCCCTGGCTAGCTAGCTCAGAAGCATTAGCCAGCTAGCTCAGAAGCGTTAGCCAGCTAGCTCAGAAGCCTGGGCCAGCTAGCTCACCCCGAAGCCTGGGGTAGCTTGCTAGCTTACTTAGAACGAAGCCAATCGATTCCATGGCCGGCGAGCTTGGGAAGAAGCCATGGCCAGCTTGCGTGGAAGCCGTGGCCAGCTAGCTTAGAAGCCATGGCCAGCTAGCTCAGAAGCCTTCGGCAGCTCACTAAGCCTCGGGCAGCTTCCTAGCCTAGAAGCCACGGGCTCGCAAGCGCGGAGGGTCTACCTAAGAAGCGACAGCGCTGCAACTTCACCCCTCCAATTTAAAGTAATAGTGTAGCAGCTTTTTTCCTTAAGGACAAGGAGCTGGTCTTATGGAGAAGGACATCAAGAAAAGTGCTTAATTCTTGTATAAGTATCTATGAATATCACTGATTTCCACTCGCACAGGAAAATCGCCGCGGTTTTCTCGACACCCAGTACCGGATGCATCCGGAGATCAGCCTTTTTCCAAGAAACGCTTACTATGGTGGGAAGCTCCGGGACGGAAAGCCTGGGAATGTTGCCGCAGACGGCCCTCTAAAGAGTTTTGCGCTTCTGATGGAGAAGGATGCTGCCAGAAATCTGGGCAGCACGGCAGCAGAAGCACTGCGCGACGACGTATTGGTGGCGGCCGCCGCAGCACTCTTGCGGCGCTTGCTCCGTGCCCAGGATAGTGCTCGCTACTTGGTTGTAAACCACAAGTACCAGGAGGAGCGCGAACCCGGAGCCTGCTCGGTGAAGAACAGTGGCGAGGCGTGGCTCGTAAACGCAACCTACAACGCGATCGTACGCGCCGCATCGAGAAAGGGAGCAGGAAGCGCGCACTGCCAAGACGACTGCGCGATGCTGACTTTCTATCAAGACCAGCGCAGCGAGCTACTGGGGAGAGGGAAAAGTCGTGGTGACCCTGCCTTCCGGAACTGCGTGCACAGTGTTGACTCCTTCCAAGGGAGCGAGGCCAGCATCGTTCTCCTATCCTTTGTGCGTAGCACTGACGGCCGCACTTTTCTGGACGAGCCGACACGATTGAATGTCGCGCTGACGCGTGCGAAGGAGCTGCTCGTCGTCTTCGCAAATGTTCAGGCTCTTTTGGGCTGTGGAGGCGGAGACGGTGAAGTCAAGCAAGTCCTCCTTGACGCAGGAAGCCGCGGCCTGATTGTTGACGAGGCCACGTGGCTGCATCTAATAGGGGAGTACGGTCAGGCGCAGCGTATTGCTTGGCCTGCTGCATCAGCGAATCATAGGACTACGAGCAACTTGCAATCGTGGCAGTCTTCTTCGGGACGAGAGATCTCCAACGACACAAGATCTCGTGACCACTACAGCACCAGAGGTTCGGATTCCATCCTCGGCGTCAACTCCTCGAACTATGACGGCGGGTCTCAAGTCGCGGTGTCCAGAAAGTCGGGCCCTTTGTACTGTGGGACCCGAGCAGCGGCACCAACGCCAGGGGCCCAGAGCAGAATACCGAATGTGTCTTCCTGGACAGCGCTGTCCCAAAATCAGAGTTCTGTTTGGAAAGACGATGGCCTGAACAGTGCAGCCCCGTTTGCAGTTTTGTCGAACCAGCACAGCCGAATCCGAAACAGCGGCTCGACCAGTGGTGACGCAGTGATGAGGACTCGAACTCACTTCAAATCTGAAGATACTTTGGCTTCGAAGGCTGCGGGTGTGCCTCCTGCATCGTCGTCCAGCTCTTCTGGTACAGGCGTGCCTCCGACTTCCTCATCGAGCGCGAACAGCTCTACCCCTACCGTTGATGGTCTGCACGAAGGTTGTGACACGAACGTAGCAGACGGGCAAACCCGTGCATTCTCATGGATGTTTTCGACATCTACCACCACAATTTTGCGGCCTAGGCAGCCTGCGGCGAACTTTTACGAAGGTGTGGGAACAACTGGTGAAACCACGCGTGTGGTTGTCGATCCTCCCAGTCGAAATACACAACGGCAGCAGGGTATAGTCCTCATCAAGCCTCGACCAAAAGACCGGACGCGTCCTCCTCCGATGCCTCAGGAAGAACCGGTGCGCGCGATAGGGGGCCACAGGAACGCTTCTATGCTACGACCGGAAAGAGAGCCAGAGCGCTGGCGTGGACGCGAGCAACCTGCAGCAAGGGATGACAGGAGTCAGCTGCACCGAGGACGGGAAGCGCATGAGCCTTCCAACAGAAGCACGTCATCGTACGCGACTACCAGCAACAGCGACCGGCTCAATCAATCGACGGCTCAGCTTAGAGCGCACCCAAGACACGGCACGAGAGAGCGCAGCAGACCACGGCTTGTGAGGCGGTCCGAAGTGAGATCCCGGGACGAGGATCGTCGACGAGGTGAGAACAAAGGCCACAATTCGCGTCGCAACGATTCGCGCGATCGCAACGGGCGTAGACATCGACGATAGATAATTCGTCTGCGCGTCCTCCTTGTTCAATTCTTTTATCAACGACATGGTTCTACTCGCTTACATGATAGATCACCATCTTCACATTGTTTGAATTTGATTCATAATAGTATGAAGAAATACATGGTTAATCCATAACTTCTGTGCGATATTGTCTCCACGCCAGCGCTCTGGCTCTCTTGAAAAAAAAAAATATTGTTTCTTAGGTGGTAACTGCGACAGGGACACACACATGAAATGGTTTCAGTTTCAGATTGATTCAAGTCAGCTAGAGCGATATGGCAATCATGTTAGCTAACATCAACGAAAACGATTCGTCATCTTCTAGAGCAAATTATTCATAATTTATTATAACAAGTACTACGATTATCAAGAGGACAGTGACCGATGTAAAGCTAGGGTATTATTCTTGATCAGCAAATCACATCACACGTAATGATTCTAGGAACAAATTTCCTCAGCATGGATGTATCAGATTGTGTTACAGAGAATCCCTGGACAGATTTGATTTATCGGATATCTTCATGTTTGTGCCTATCTGTTCGTCTTTGTAAAATCGTTCTGCTTCATCTTGTCCATATCCTGACCGCTTATAGGTGCTAATCTCGACAAACCCCGTCCGCCACAAGCAAAAACCGAATCGAGTACATTCCTTCGACTTTCAACGTACAGGAGAGCTGAAAACAAGTAAATGTGAAAGTGTACCCCTTCCCCATGTTGATCAGTCATGTGACTTTTCAACACTGTAAATCAACAAGATCCATCATTTCCTTTCACATCAAGAATGAAAATAATATTATGTATGATGTACTTCAAGTGCACAAGCATCTTCTGACGGTTGGCCTCTCTATTTTCTTAGAAGCTGATGATTCTTTTTTGCACTCTGGCAAGAGAGACCCATTTCTGGGAGGTATACTAACGAACCCACGTGACGACCAAAAGGCGGAGTTCCGAGTGAAAAAGACGACGCAGGCAAAAAACATCGACGTTCGATGACGGTGAGAGTAGGGGTCTGGCGAACAGAAAAAAGTACGAAAAAGATCTAGTAGAAATCCAAAGAAAAGCAAAACAAATCTTCAAATTCTTTCTGTTTTTCGGTGTCAGATGTCAGGAAATCAATGCAGGAGCATGGGAACAATTGGGGCTTGGGGACCAAAGAGGAAAACTAAAGGCAAATAACATCATTAGAAAAATTGATCTTCTGGCACAAGAAAAGGACACACGCAAAAGCGTAAGAAATACAAGATGTTGTTGTTGAAGTGAGCAAATCAAGATAGGACATGTCACCTCGTCGTCCGCCGAATATCATTTACTTTCCTCGGACGCGAGGTTTGGGGAGGGGAATAAAGCCGGTCTCAAGGACGACGATGTTGTCGTCATTTTATAGCACGGCGTGCTTCATCGCTCTGCAAGCAGTCCTCCTTGGCGTAGCAGCATCAAGTCTCAACACGGAAGATGTTGAGCGAGCGTCTCAGTTTGTGGAGCTCCGCTTCGGCTTGAGGCGGCTGCAGAATAAAGCCGCTTCGTTCCTCCAAACTAGCACTAGTCAACCGGCGACAGCAATGCCTACCGATGTAGCGCGGGCCATTAGCAGCGCTCTCAGCAAAGCCTTTGGGGAGCAGCCAGTGGAGCAATTATCAGTATTTTTGAGTCAAGAACTATTATATTAGAGTAAGGTAAATAACGGGTTTCGGGTTGCTCGAGTTGCAACGGGTTGCTCGGGTTGCCGAAGCGCAGGGGTTCCAAATCTGGAACGGGTTGCCATGGGTTGCCAGGAGAATCCTGACCCAGCAAAATGGGGCGAAGCCGGGCGGTATGGAGGGGCATTCGTGCGCTCTAAGTGAAGAAATGGAGAAGAGCGCCGTTTCTTTTTTGTTGTTGTTGCTCATGAAAGGGGCAGCCACGTTTGAAGGGCTCGGCAGGCTTTCGGGCTCTCCTTTTGTAGCGTGCGGGCGCGTGTTTGAAGCGAAAACAAGGAGCGCAGGCCCCTGCTCTCTGTTGTTTTTCTTTGAGGTGAGTGGCGCTGTTGTTTGTCGTCTCCGAGTCGTTGGCGATCTCTCCCGTTTATTTTTCTTCGGGTGCGAGCGTGGCCAATCTACTTGGGGGCTGAGAGCGAGTCTCCGCCTGCTGGCTTCAGCGGGCGACGTGTCCAGTCTTGGGCATAGCAGTAAGTATACTGGAGGAGGTTGCTAAATTGGTATTGGAATTATACACGAGCGCGCCGCCATCAGTATGCAACTACGGCGCGGCGCGTGGTCGTGTCGTGCGCTCCTGTTAAGGTCTCTCGTAGGGTCATAAATCTGCGCCCGAAGGGCGCCGCGCAAAAAATTTAGGTTGGCAACTCGAGCAACCCGAGCAACCCGGCCCGATATGGGTCAAAAAAAACCTAACTCTATTATATAACATGGTACGCGTATTAAGCACCTTGTTTAAAGGTTGACTACTATGCATGTAAGAGTACTAAACGCCATAAGTGCTACTCAGTACTACGGACTTCTAGCACTACGTGGTACTACCTACTTTCAGTCACATTTGCCTAGTAAATATTCATCGAACGAACACCAGGGTTTTCATGTCCATAATGTTGGCTTGCAACCTCGACCGGACCAAACCGGTTACGATGCACGTGCGTGGTTTAATATGCCTGGGTCAGTGCAGAAGAATGGACAAGTACTCCGGGATCTGTCACAAAATGTCGAAAGCGCACTAAAAAAGGTCAAAGGGCTCGAGAACTCAGCAGTGGAGCAGGTATCGCTAGTGCGATTGGAGTTATGTTCTTCAGCGTTCGTCAGCGATGGAGGCAGTGGAAATGCAGTTCTATCATCGCAGGTGTCCAAAGGCCTCAAAATTAAGGATTCTAGCTTTTGCAACGGTTTCAGATGTTTCGTTGGCCCTTGATGTTGCTGTAGTAAGTTCACTTCCTTGTCTAAAAACAAGTCTTCTAGAGTCTTGGCACTCTCTCAAATTAGCTTTCTACTCGAACACGGCACGCGTTTACTATGATACTTGATCCTCCAGTTCTTGCAGTACTAGAAGATGAAGATCAAGCACCAGGAGCACGACGCATACCTCTACTTCTTACATCTTCTAACTCAATGAGCTGCACCGGGAAGGTAATGGAAGGTGCGGTTTGTGCGAGCAGCACATGTAATGCCAGTGACCAAACCCAGTGCTGTGCCAATGGCTCATTCGAGAACGGGGCGAAGAAAGCTGTGCAGAGTACTTAATACAGTAGATGATCTAGTAGCGTATCTAGTTATAGTTTTCATCGAATCGCGTGATTGATCTTTTGCCTTCGCTGGGTATAGTATGCTACGTATATATGTTCCAGGGCGCCGCGGGGCGATGCCCCCCCCTAGCGGGGGGGGCCGGGCGCCCTGGACCCCCTTTTAAGGCGTCTGCCGGGGGGGAAGGCCTCAAAAGGGGGCGCAGTGACCTCCCCCCTCCGCTCCCTTCCAGCTGCTTGGCTGTTCCCTAGGGGCCTCCGATGGTGGTGGGAGGCTTCAAAAGGGGCCCAATGGACGGCCTGCGCCCCCGTCCAGGTGCCTGCTTGTGCCCTAAGTGCATCCGTTAGGCTTCGCCGCCGCAGCCGTGCCGCCTGTACCCTCCGGGCCCTTGGTCATCGGCTTGCTTGCTCTTGCGACCCCGGCCGTCCTATTATATAAAAATAAATATATTTTTGGATTATCATTTTCATTATTTTCACGAGAATAAGGAACCCCTAGAAGTATCCTTGCTTCCAAAATAAAAGAGGGAGCTCGAGTTGTTTTTCTTCACAACGCAGCTCTTACCGGTGACGCGTGTGTGGATAAGGTGGTGAAAGTGGGTCGCTCATGGGCAATGGAAACTACTGAAGAAATGTGCGGCCAAGCACCATACGACCCAGACGCTGCGCCTAAAATTAAGACTAATGTTATTACTTAAGTTTTTTTTTTTACCTCGATGGACATGGACTAGATCTGGACCTGATGGTCTATACGTTCTTGTTCAGGACGATTTTTTTTACCTTCAATGACTTCTTCTTGTTCATCGTATTCTCTTGTGTAGTTTGGTGTAATTGATCCAAGGAATTTTCCTACTTATTCTTCTTGAATTATTCAATTTCAATCATAGCCAAGGTAATTTTTTTTTGTTCGGATCATTCAAGGAACATATGGAGTGATAAGAAGTAGATTCTAGATTAATATTTATAAGAATTACATATTTATGTACAAGGTTCTTTGAAATAGAAGTTCTTTAGGCTGAAGTGAAGTAGCTCGAAGATGACTTATTGATTCTAAGCCAGGCCTCTCGGACTTTATGATTCAGGCAGCAAAAAACTTGATGAAATCGTCATACTTGCCGGATCAAATCGCGCTCTCGTACGGTGTCTTCAAGTCATATTGCGTCCCAAGTGACAACATGTTATGTCCCCAATGTTGATGTAGTTTTCATATCTTCAGTGTTCATCTGATGAAGCCACGCAGGACGATCAATTGACCATCAAGTTATAATTGAAATTATATTTATGTTATTTTTAGAACGGAGAGGAAGAACATCTCGCTTCTTTCCTACTTCTATTTCTTTTATTTCCCGTTCCACCACCCAGCATCTGCATGCACAACAGAATACATCAACGAGCTATGCACCAGTTGTAATCTAGCTTGAGGTGCAGCTGCAGTTATTCAAACCTGCTTTTTCGAACGCTAATTTTGGCAGCCGGAGCTGGCAACAACGGAACGAGCCTCTTCTACATCAATTTATGAACCATTTCTTTTACTTCTGCAAGATGAACTCCTACTCGTTCGCACGTGAGGAGTAATATGACCCGAAAAAATATCCGAAAAAAACTTGATGTTTGTTAGAATTACTTGGAGACCTAGCTTTCTCTCAACCTCAAGCGCTTATTTTATTTGACTCAGCCTCGTCTTCTTCGAGACTCGAGCTCGAGTCGGGGTCATCGATTTCGATGGACATAGATATCCTCTGTTCTAATACGTGTCGGAGGCTATCGCGGAGACGCCGATCGCCAGGAAATACTGTCGAGGATATCACCTCCGGACAAAATGCTTGCAGAAGTCTCCTCCCTCATGGCCAATAAGCCGATTAGCTGGCTGCCAACTGGAACCGGATTAGCACAAGAGGAGGCAACCTGGCCAAAAACGCAAGAGGTACTACAACGCCATCATAAATATTAATATAGCACGTACTTTTAGTTTTACCTATGTAAGAACGAATTAATAGAGGTACCTCTACCTGGAGGAGACGGAAGAGTATCACTTCGTGAAGATCATCTCTCCAGTGCAAATCGATTTGTCCAGGGACGATGAGAAGTTTTTCTTCGTGCTCACTCACACAAAGAAAAATATCCGGTTCTTTTTCCCTAATCATAATCATATACAAAACCTAGGCTATCTTGTCCATCCAAGATATAATTACATCCTAGGTTTGTACAAAGAGTACCTCGATTCAGCCGGCGGGTCTGTGTTGGTCGAAGACGATCGACTCGCAAGGATGTAACGGGGATGGGCAGTCCGCGGGACTAGGGCAAACGGGACCCCTGAACACAGGAAATTTGGGCTTCATGGCCGGCAGATGAAACGTCGATAGGGATATCAGTGTTGTTGATAGGTCTTCTTATTGATCTGATGTCTTGTTCTTATTTCGTCTTGTATCAGTTAGTATTTCTTCTTCTCTCTCCTTGTAGTGCAGAGAAGATCCACATGATAACCTCATTACCTTCTAACGTAATTATGTTCAGGAACTGCATGGTCAATCAACTTCAAGTTCAACACAAAAAAGCAATGAAATAAGTGTCTCGCCAATTACTACATATTTATATCTTATCAGATGTATTTAGAATTATATCTAAGACGTTAAATAAAGAAATAGATTCTTGTCCAGATTATGATAGATATTATAATGTTTAGTCAACCCAAAAGAAAAAACTCAATTGTGTTAATTATAGTTGCACCGGTGTGTGCTTGATGCAAGACGAGCATTTGCATTTTCATTTTAATAGAGAACAACATAGAACGAAAAATGCCATGAACCTTATACATAGAAATCACGAAGATCATGGTCGTGTAGATGCCTCCAAGAGGCTGCTACGTGCATTTTAATGCTTCATGGGTCATGGTCACAATATTTAGAAGATACATTTTCAACATACTTTAACTTATTTGTTGTCGTGGACAAAAACTCTGACGCTGTTAAAGTTCGAGAAAATCTTGTGGAGAGTTCAATGCGATCTGTATCAATCTCGAGAGGTCTTCCGTATTCCAGGAGGTCAAGATATTACTTATTCTGTCTTTGTGAGGACGAGGAGAGAAGATCTGTGTCGTCCTCGTGAGCAGATGAGCCTAGTATTATTTTTGTATCCATCTACTTATCTATGTATCAATATTTATTTAACAGCCTTCTAGTAGATTCTACTAGAATTTCACTGGCAAATGCAAATCTGTCACCGAGTGCAGCATCCGAGAATCTGTGACCTCTGAGGGAACCAGAGATAGTTGTGTGAAAATATATTGAATTATCGTTCACTTAGCCTACCTCTACTACCTTTCATACAAATCAATGTACCTATCTAGTTTCAGTCTGATGTGAAGGATCCATGATAACTGCCTACGCTAATTTCTCAGTGAAGGTATCATCCTTGAATTTTTCCCTCAGAGCTGGGTATGACTATTGCATTGTCTCTCGCCTCACCACTCCCTCTCCCACACGTCACCACTCTGATTTAGAACTTACACTGATTTTCTTACTTTTTTGGCATGTCGCTCTTGTAGAAGTACCTCCCGGTCAATACCGTGAACGATTTCAAGTAAGACAGATATGTAAATGCTGTCCATGTCCTCTGAATTTTTATGAATTTTCCTTTTATTATATATACTACTTCGATTGTTTTTCTTTGTCTTGTGGAACTGGAACCGGAAGGAAGGAACCGTCTATCTTCGACCAGAGACAAGGAGAACACAGTCCACACACTTATTTTGCATGATCCTCAGCACTAGGACTAGGTAGATAGTAATTCCAATTAAACAGCTAGAAGTACTACACTTTCAGTTCCTTCGTTCGTATGTATGCTTAAGGGAAAATCAAAATTGTTCATTTGAACATCCATCGTTCTTGAAGTCGCAGTGCTAATTATAGGAGGAAAAATCACATGACAATCATGTTTTCGGACAATTTTATACCTGGGACGCCACGACGACGGTCGTTGTTGGCGCAGCAAAATAATCCGTTCGGAAACCGGTTTGATATGAACGAGCGTGCGCGTTTGGGCGGTCCACAATATGGCGAGTTGTATTCCGCTCTCGCTCCTTATGGAGGTATCGCCAGCTCCCCAGCAGCGGCGGGGAACGCGCCGCCATTTCCCGATCAGCGCAGCGCAATGATGTACGCCAGTTCAGGTGCTGGACACCCCTTTGGCCTACAGAGTTTCCCGCCACTGTCGGCACCACGGTTCGCTTTGGGCTCATTAGGGATAGCCCAAAACAACATGATGCAACCGTACGATCCTCTGAACCCAATGGGCGTGGTTCCGATGGGAGGACCCGCCGGGAACGGAATGCTTGCTACACCACGTGGTGGAACCATGATGGGTGGAGTGCCACAGCCTCAGATGTTGATGCATCAGCCAACTTACGGTCTTCAAAATCAAAATGGTATCCAACAATTACAAAGCGTTTGGGGTCAACAGAGCCGATTCGGGCAAGCCCTCGTAGCAGCCGCCCTCACTCAAAGAGACATGGAGGAAAGAGAACAGTACCTTACTGGCTTTGAAGATCCTCTTGTTGCGTTTTTGTTTTTTTTTCGTACAGAGTTTTACAACTTCTAGTACATCAAATGAAAAATCCATCTCTGTATTTATACTGAATAAAGATGAAGTACATGATCATTCTGAGTTGGGACAAATTGACCGGTCATAGAGTCCTTCCAAGAACATCAACGTCATATTTTTTGAACAAGGATATTTATTTAGCCTCTTTTGCTCCATCCGAAGAGGTGTGATCATGTAGAAATTGTACTAGTAGAAAACTGACGATCTACATAGTTTTTCGTCTTCCCGTGTGCGTGCTTCCTTATTATATTTATAGTAAATAACCGACACATAAAATCATTATTAATACCACATCGATCAGGGTGGCTTTGGAGATTCATCAGCTGCGGTTGAATCGGCTTGAGGATGTGATAGATGTCTTAGCAGTGGAGTCAGGCAACGTTGTGCAGGATCATGAGATGAGACTACGGAAAATTGAAGGTTTCCTGTCCGCAGAGGTTACGAAGATGGTCACGGACCAACAAAATTCACTCGACACACGCGCAGTCACTGCTAAACAGAACCTTCCACCAAGTACTGCACTTATACCGACAGCTGCCTTACCCCTGGGAACGGGCAAATGATGATGTTCAAGGAAATCACCAACAAAAAATTAGTCGCTCGTCATGAGAGTAAGCAAATTGTAACTTTTGGACGATGAGATGAAATATGAATAAACATAAGTGGTTCAAAGATTGTGATTGATGGTAGACCTCGTAGAACAAGTAGCATTAGATGTAGAATTGTTAGACTTAGAGAACAGATCACAACTACTCAGAAATAGTAAGTGTAGTACACGTCAAGATAGTACTTCTACGACCTGCTGCATTAGTTCGCTGTTAGTATTGCGTACCACTGAATCCTTGAAATGTAATTATACCAAGATCATGTAGTTGACAACTAGTTATTTGGGGTATGTAGTCATGACGATACTACTTCTATACACATGGTATTGATGGATACGCATAGGCAACATAGTGATCGACCAGAGCTTTTGTGTACACTGCTTCTGCCTAGAAGTGTTGTAAACATCACATCATGATCACGAAGCCACGTCATGAACAACAGCTGAGGACAGTCATAGGCTAGGGTCATGAATTGTGATATGACCTGGGGACGCAAGAGATATGGATATCTGCTATAGGGCTGGCAGCATTCTTCGGGTCTTTTTCCTAGAAGTTCGTGTTCGAGCAAGATTATGACATTTTTGTGGACGTTGGTCAACTGTGCTTTATCCGCTAAAACAAAAATCGCCGCGAAGGTCGCCCTGAAACGAGTCCTCGTTCAGATCGCGTCACAGCAATACGGTAAGAGAAAGTTTGCGCTTGCGGAGGATCCCACGAGGAGGAGAGGGAACAACTGTTAGCTTTATCAGCACATGCAGTCAGAAGCAGACCCCCCAGGAGTTGGAGTGTGAGTTGATAATAACAACAACTAACAAAATATGATGAGCCAAAGGCAGAGAACATCGGTTCAATGTTTTCTCTTTCTCTGTACCTACAACTAGAAGATAGAAACCCAAACCCGTTGGATGATCACGATCGGGAAAAGTCCTGATCCTGAAGCGATCCCAGTAGACGTCGATCCCTGTCCACCTACGTATTTGGCCTACATTTCATTAGGTATTAGGTAGTGTCTCTCTCCTCGACTTAGGTGAAAACACAAAATAAAAATGTCGTTGCCATTATCATTTGCAGTGCCAACAGGTTCGTCTTTATTTTTAATCAGAGGCTCAAGCCGTGGTGGAACGTGCGTCAGAGTAGCTGACGCGAAGAGGTTGCTGGGAGGTTATAGGGGACCGAGAATAGTTTGCTCAAGCTCGATAAACTCAGCACTAGTACTTCAGTACCGTTGTTTCAGTAGCACTTGTTCACTATTTTTACCTTCCAGAAATCGATTTAGTACTTGTACAACATCTTTTGTCGATAGTATCATCAGTAAAACTTTGTTCAGGAGAAACATTTTGAAGAAGAAGATGAGCACCGCCGCGTCTGTCCCACCATCAGGCGGGGTGTCTGTCGCTATCTGTGGCGGCGGAATCGCTGCTGCATCGGCTGCCGATGCCTTGGCACAGAGCGCCCATGTCTCCCGGGTGGACATCTTCGAGATGGGCAGGGGTGCTGGAGGCCGTTCCGCTAGTCGCCGTGTGCAGTTAGAAGGCCTAACGCAGTACTTTGACCATGGTTTGCAGTACGTTTCTTCTCGACCCGGCAGCGACGCATTTGAGGAGCAGCAGCTGTCAATCTTGGCCGAGTGGGAGGACCGAAAATTGTTGCGCAAGTGGGCTGACTGTCGTGGCAGTGTGGTGGACGTTGTTCAAGGCGAGAAGAGTCAAGAGCTATGATGATGGTGTTTTTGGCCCTCCTCTGCGGTGATTTACCTATTTGTTTTGGCCACGCTTCATCCACTTCATTCGCGTCAAAGCTCGCAGAACACATGGATAAATCAAGGAATGTATGATCTTTACAACGTGCACTTAGTTGTAATGTGCATGATCGTGTAAAACTATGATTTTGATTGTTTGATAAGAAGAAGTACCCGTACACCATAGGCATAGAAACTGCTCTAAAATCCAATGTTTTCGAACTTCGCGAACAGAAGGAAACGTCAGGATCGGCTGATGCGAGTGGACAGGCGGCTGCGTTGTCATCGGATCCGCACTCGTTTTACGACAGCAAACGGCCGAGGTATGTTCCGTACCCTACTTCTAGCACTCTTGTGAAAGGGCTTTTACAGGGAAGTACGAAAATTTGCGGAATCTTTGGGGCTCGAGGAGTGCCAAAATGGGACGCAGCAAAACGTAAATGGACTTTGCATGACTTCGCAGAGCCTACGAAATTACTGCATGACCAGGAAAAAGTTGATGGCTACGACTTTGTCATCGGAGCAGATTATGGATGATGTTTTTTCCATTTTTCAGGCCATCGAGTCTGCGGCCCTTTTTCCCCCTAAAACTGTGTAGGACCTAAGGTTAAGGAGGGCCTCGATGGTCTGCCTAGATGGGATAGACGCCATTCATACAGATCGGCTCTTTCTCAACATCAAGGGTGAAGAACCAGACTGGAGCGTGGACCCGCTCCTGCAGCCACTTGCAGACATATTGAAGGCAGAGATCAACGGGATTCCGTCCTTCACAGCCTTGCTAGCCGTTTCGGCAGAGTCGAGTATTGACTAGATGAAAATTTGAATAAGTGGATACCTAATTCTAACCCGAATAAGTCTTTTGACATCATTTTAGAATCTAATCTCGAGGTTGAGATTATCACTTTGTAGGCTACAGGTTCGCCGTGTAGCTCTGCGATTCAAGTTAAGAGCACAACTGGTACAACTGTTGTTACGACATCTTACAATCAACAATGATGATGCGTGAGTACTCGTCCCTATTGATGTATGTCGTGATAAAAAAGCTACTGCAGTGGCACGACAGGTCCTTCATCTCCCGCATTGGAATCGGTAGGGGGCCTCAGATTCGTGAACCATCCCATTCTTGGCTGGGCATCGAAGCAGGTTCCAGCTAGCGGTTGCAATAGCACCTGTTGGGTCGTACAGTCGAATCGTGGGTGGACACTAGAGCGGTTAAATCAGTTAGAAGACGAATTTAGAGGAAGCGAAGGCGAAGACTTTGATAAATTCCGGACCCGATGCAACGAGGTAGCGGATAAAGAGGTGGGCGAAGCCTTCGTGTCTGTTATGGTTTCATAATGAGGAGCATTCTTTGTCGTACTTAGAGTTAGAAGATGAGCATGAAGAACTAAGTACTTACTCTTACACTTAGTTCAACCAGTACACCGACAACAGACCAAAGGTCGACTGTTATTTTGCTAAATAGCACAAGGTTGATTCTTGGACTTTGGCTCTGAAATTTGACTGCTGAAGAAAAGCAAGAACTCCTAGTTGTTTGGGATTTTTTCGGCCGTCCATTTTTATGCGTTTGAAAGTGGCAATTTTTTAGTAGGATCTGCTTGTTTTTTTTGAGGCCTCTGTCAAGGATTTACTACAAGTTCTCGCTTCATATCTTTACTGAAGCAGCTGAGCGGAGGAGACGTGAATATAAAACTTCGCGTGGGACATAGGTGGGGAGCCGCTTTTCCGGATCCAACTCCGCAACTATTTACGCGCCTCAGTGATTTCCAACTCTTTCCTAGAAGTGCCGAGAATGATCACTCAGGCCCAGGCGGCGGCCTTCTTCCTGACAATGCAGGATGGTTCGACTCGACGCTGGGCTTGGCCCTTTGCGGGGACTACTTCACAGAAGTTCCAGGTCGGGCCCTTAGTGCTGCGGTAAGTGGTAGAGCAGCGGCGAAAGCCATTCTCGCGAAGGTTGATACAACAGATGGTGGGGCTAGTGCAGCACGCATGTAACACTATACATCCCCTCATCAGAAAAGACATCACAAAAGTTCTTGGGTGGGTATACATCGAAGATGCAATAAATGCACATGATGAGTTAAACTTTTTCAAAAAAATGAAAATAAACTAGAAACAACGCATCATCATGATTAGTCCAAGGACGCGGCAGACACCTCTGCATCGACTGTGGGCGCCTGTGAAACTCCTCTCTGCTCGTTCACTTGCAGACGATGGACCATGTTTCTTGGAAAATTAGTAGCTTTCTTGAATGAACATAATTATGAAGACGATTAAAGACGCACTGTATAAAAACGGAAAAGGGAGAGAATAAAGGTGGGAAAATGAGAGAGAACAAGCGAGATGTCTTTTGAAAAAAAAAATTCTGTTCTTTTTGTCTGCATGAGGACCACAGCTGTAGAAGGGTATTTTCCACGAAGCGTCAAGTAGAAATGAGTTCTCAAAAAGTCAGTTCAACGTGAATGTCAGCGGTCCAAGAAGTAGGCCTAGGATCTCAAAAACTACTTAGTTGGTTTAGCTTTCGTATTTGAGTACTTATTCATGAATATCTTCTTTATCACATAACCAGCTCGAATTGTATGAATTGATATTCGATGAGTTGTACAGTTTTCTGCTTGAAACATTTTGGGTAAGCACCTATGCGACTATCCGCTTGGAGATCGGCGGGCACCTCGATCGGAGCCGCCCCTCTGGCGGTGCTGCTCCAGCAGGCACAATGTTGGTAAATTCTATTGGAGGCTTGTCCGAGCTGTAATCCGGGACAGCAAGAATCCACAACGCGAACGCACGCTCAAGAACAAGACCGGTCGTATTCGACGGTGGAAACTACTAGGCACGCCGTCTCGAAACACCAGTGGGCTGTCAAATAAGAGTAGTGACGAGTTGTTACGTCGTCGGAGAGGGGGCGATCGTAGAAAGTCGTTGAGCCATTTGCGTTTGGACGTAACACCGCGGACCAGCAAAAGGAGCTATCTTCAGTGACAGTGAAGTATCGAAAACCGTGAAAGAAAGAATTTCGACTTCTCACTTACTACGTAGAAGGAATTCCGCCGCTGATTGTATTTTTGTAGCTTAGGCCGAAAAAACAAGTGAACGAGATTTAGTTTGTAAACGAGGCCTGCTGCAGCACTAGAGAGGAGCCTGCTTCGACAGACATCGCGCCGAATCATAAACCGCGACAAGCGACTCATCCTGTTCAAGAAAGCTGGAAGCACTGTACGGCTTCTTCCTCTTCTTGGCACCGAAAAGCTGTTCGTAATTCGCGACGAATCGCAATCAACAAGGACAAGATGATCCGTCCTGGCAGTTCTTTGTCGAAGCAGAAAAAGCGCGTGAGCGTGCCTGCTGCGAAAGCCAATCCTCCCGGCAAAAAGACAGAGGTACTTCTTTTTACATCCAGATTAGTACTATCAGAGTAGTTTATAGCACGCATGGTGCATGGAGTGCATGGAGCGCAGAGCTTTAAGGGGCGCAAGAAGCTCCCCCTTTAGCTCCATGCTACTCCATGTGATCCATGCACTCTATGCCGTGCGCGCTGTGAATCCTTATAAATTGCTCTGTACTATTAATTCAGATGTACATTGTACAACTACTTACAACCTACTTCTACTCCGTCGAAGCCGTATATTGTCTGATTTCTGCATGCGCATCATGATCATATAACGAGGTGGATTTACAGAGTAGTCCTATGCATAGAAGAACCATCTGATTTGATTGACTATGAAATACACAACTTCTGCGTAACTTAGTTGTCGCGTCCAAACGTCCACGAATATTTGGAAAAATGCGATTACGTTGGTGCAATGACAATACTGTCATTCGACAAGAAGACAGGCGGAGAGAACATACCGATGTGGCTTGCCTACGCCGCGTTTCACAACGGGGACTACAAAGTCGCTCTTGAAAACTACGAGGAAATCATCGCAAAGCACAAAAGCGTGGGTAATTTTCCAGAGAGTCTTCCACTTATAATAGGTAAATATATTAAACAATTTCATCTGAAAGTAATTATTAAGTAACCTCCTCCTTTAGCAGGCTTTTTGTACGATTTTCCCCGTCTCTCTGAGGTGTGCTGCAGATCTAGACTGGTTTCTCCCTTTCTATAAGGTTGAGGCTTAGGCTCAGCGGCGCTCAAAGCACTAAATAAAACAACCGGTTAGTTTTTACCTCTAGAGTTTAGCCCTTTCAGCAACATATTAGACGCTCGGCGTCAATCCTTCGTACGCTCACCACTAGATCATCATCATCATCATCATTATCGACTATTTTTGAGTCTCGCTGTATTCTGTAGAAATTTATTTCAGGAAAAACAACGACCTACAATCTAGTCCTTTCCTCATTATGTCAGGAAAAACCTTCGATCCGGCGATCCATCTGTATTGTGCATGTTGCCACTATGCGCTGACGCAGTATGAACAAGCGGAAACCTGTGCGCATTTATGCGATGTTGACAGTCCCCTGAAGAGAAGGATACTTTTTCACGTCGCACATAAGCGCAATAACGAGTCACTTATGATGCAGATGCACTCGACACTAGGGGACTCCTGTGAGGACCAGATGTACTTACTTACAACGCATCTGTACATAGATACCTCTACCTGACGGACAGAGAGGTTCTTCGTTAACCTTTCATTTCCTATATATTGATATATATATATAATATCCTTTCATTTTTTTTTGATTAAGAAAAAAAATTCGTTCTTGAATAAGGAAGTATTTATACTTTCGATTTGTGAACATAATTTTGGTTAATTCTACCACAGGTGCCTTGCAGCAGTGCAGTTTCTTCGCTCGCATTTTCAGGAGGCTACTGATATCTACAAGCGGATCTTGGTGGACAACAGGGTTATGGTATAATGCGTGAGCCACTAGGAGCTAGGTTCAGGTTCTTCATAGTCCTCCTTGAGGAATGGTTTGCTGAGCGTACTTAGATCATCCAACGGAGCCTTTAACGACAGCCTCACCACACGTATGTGCTGTGTATAATTGTCCCAGACGTATCGTCTTCTGGTCTCTGAAGAAGGTCAGGCACTCGCGATATGGATATCAGGTCCGCCTCAGGGTTCTCTTTCTAATCATGAGCATCTAGCAATCAACGTGTATATAGCAGGTTGCTACTACAAGCTGGACTACTACGATGTGGCGATCGAGATTCTGCAGACCTACCTGGCAACGCAGCCGGACAGTATTACTGGCGTGAACTTGAAAGCTTGTGCGCACTACCAGTTGTACTTATGCCTGGAAAAATGCTGGGTGAATACAAGTTTTAATCAACATTTTCGCTCGAACGAACCTACATGAACAACTATTCCTCGGCCCTATCAAAGAATACAATATAGATATATAGCAGGATTCTCGTTTCCACCTCGTTGTTATCGTTGATCCGATTGCGCTCTTGTTGAGGAGTACTTCAGGATCATCATTCTCAACTACTTATCATCTACGTCTAGAAAACTCGACTGAATTGAAAATAGTTTCTCCCAAGGAACAAGCACTCATTAGATTTCTGTGGTCGATCATCGATCCCGTTCCCGTCTTGCGCTTCCTCTTTCATATCGCAATGGGAAAGCAGCAGAAGCTGAGTTGAAGGTGTTACAGCAGCAGACCGATACTGCGGTATTTCAAGACCATGACCTGTTGCGGCATAACATATGCGTCTTTCGAAACGGCGAAAGCGCGATGCAGGTGCTGCCGCCACTCCTGGACGTAATTCCAGAGGCCCGACTGAATCTCGTCATCTATTATCTGAAGTTCAGCCAGGACTACGAGGAAGCCTATAACTTGATTAAAGACCTCGAGCCCTCTATTCCTCGGGAGTACATACTCAAGGGTGTGGTCTACGCCTGCTTAGGTACTTACAAGAACGTGGCTCTTTGACAGGATGAAGACAAACTCTAAGATCTTGCCGTTGATAACCTTTTATTTAAGTACACCTTGTTGACTGGTGCTCTATCTACTTTGATCATGAAGCAAATGAATTTTCAGATTCTCGTCTGTTTGACGGGAACCCTATTATTCGATTTGAATGACTGTGTAAGTTGTTGAAAAAATGCACCACGAAGACCACGATTGGAGGTACAAGAATTTGTCATAAACCTTAACTTGAAGCCGTTTCTTTCCCTCGTTCTTGTCATCTCCTAGGTCAAAAAACGGGGTCGCGGGAGCATTTGAAAATCGCGCAAGGGTTATTTCAACTGGTGGGAGCTAGTGCCTCTGAATGCGACACGATACCCGGAAGACAGTGCATGGCCAGCTGCTTCTTTTTACTAAAACAATTTGAGGACGTCCTAGTCTACCTGAAGTCCATCAAGGCCTACTTCTCAACTGACGATGACTTCAACTGGAATTACGGTACTAGCTATTTTTTGACTTCTTGTGCATTTTTTTTTGAGCTCTACTACGAAGGTCGAGCGGCTTAGAGGGTGCAAAAACAGCATAGATTACCTAGTACTAAGTGCAGCGAATAAATTCTCAGGTATGTTTAAGTTCAATGTGCAAGCCACTTATGTACTGATATTGTAACTTTCATTTCAGCCACGAGACCTCTCGCTCTCTCACTTGCCAAAAAACCAAGTGTTTTTTTTTAAACAAGTTGTATGTTATATTACATAGAGGATGAAATGCAACGAACTCTGAAGTTCTTCAGGTATCACCTGTGCCAATGTTGGAGAGTATAAGGAGGCAAAGGAGGCCTTTCAGATGATACAGACGGAAAAGTATAGAAGTGAGTTCACCTTCTTAAGCTGGCTCGCACGATGTTACATCATGAACGGCGAACCTCAGTATGCCTGGGAGACGTACGTGCGCATGGACACCAATAACGACATTATGATTGATTTTGATATTTTCGAACGAAGAACAAATTGGACCAGACAGTGTAGGAGGTGTACCCTTTGAAATATTACAGCTTCTTGTCAAAAATCAAGAGAAGGCTACAACTCATCGATTGAACCCCTTAAATAGCTTTACTTTTTTCGCTCTATCAAAACAATTAAAAACAGGAAGATTAAAATTAAATGTGTTGAAGTTGTAAAGAGCTCAGTCATGATACTTAGCACACATGCTGGCGATACAACTTCTATGTCCACCTCCACGTGGTCGTGTAGGATCCGGCAGTGTTCCCATTTTCATGTTGCGTTTCAACCTGCTGCACGTGATCGCAAATGACTGCTACAAGATGGGGCAGTTTTACTACGCGTGCAAGGCTTTCGACGTACTTGAACGGCTGGATCCGGATCCAGAGTTCTGGGAGGGCAAACGCGGTGCCGCAGTCGGCGTTTTTCAGCAGGTAGTGGCGGGTAAAGAAACACCTGAACGTCTGCAGGAGGTGGTCAATTTTCTCCGGGCGACGTCAAACCCGCAGGTGGAGTACATCATCAATCGCGTCATGAAGAAGTGGGCTAAAGAAAACCGGGTCAGGCTAGAATGATGAAGCCCTCTAGGCTTATGCTTTTTGAGCTGTCGTTCCTTCAATTGTTGAATCCTTCTTAAGTACTAGACAACAAAAATCCCCAGTTCGTTGTATTCGCAGATGCTGGCCTGGCTGAGTTCTGTTCTATGCTCACGCTCTATTCTTATCAGCCTAAGTAGAAACTACTATTCGGGATCTTCATTCCTTCTTGTCGTAGCTAATTTTAGTCTTTTGCGTCTCTATGTGCGTCAGCGTAATATTTATCACTTCTTTTGTAAGTGCAACTGCGCAAGTATCTGTATCGTCCATGTTCTAGCGCAGCACTTCGATTGGTTTTGTGGACTTGGGGATGACAGGAAGCAAAACGGCCTGAAGTAGTAGTCGGGTAATATGAACATAATTTTGCAACATCCGGTGGACTATACCATCGGAAATGTCGTGATTTATGATGTACATGTGGATGTGATATCCAAGTTGGTACTCGTAAAGTCACAAAAGACCACAAATACAGATACAGAAGATACACACTGATGCAGCCGACCCCGTCGAATGTCCAAACAGGAGACTCTCTCCGATGAATACTTTCAAGCGAACAAACATATTTATAATTGAGTTTGAGCTTGAGGAATACACATACGACCAGGCCAGATCGACAGAAAAAAATACGATTGCGCAGAACCAGGGTACAGGAGTCGAATTTTTACCTGGTTGCAAACGCAATGCTGCCATAATTGTCAGACGTGTCCGGTGTTGGAAGCTACCATGTAATCGGTAGATTAGCAGTTCGGTGCTTCGAAAGATCGTACTCTTGCAGTTCTATTGTGGCTAGGTGGTTGAACTTCTTGAAGAAAGTGTGATCGAAAAACGGACACCAACTAACACGTCAAACTAATAAGCGTGAGTTGCATCGGTTCAAAACGAGGACACCGCCGTGGTACTGTCTCGTCTCAAGTTGGCACGTCAGAATGGGGCAGCATATCATGATTAATGAACAAGCTCATGATACGCGATTTCGTCGATTTTTCTATGTCGTAGAGGTAGAAATAAAATGAAAACTTGACGGACTTCAATAAAAGCATAAGGACCTGTCTACTTACAGGTGTTTGAAATTGTAAGTCAACATAAAGTAGGATGAGGCGTGAACAATAACGATAACGTGCCGCGACATCGGGAAGCAGCAACTCCGCAGGCACTAAGAAACTGCGCTTGAAAGTGATGCCTGACGAGCTTTAGTCGCGAAGTAGGGAGGTTACAATGGATTGCCATGAGGACTGCCTCAGTGATGCAGCTGTGCTTGGTTAGGACTCATATAGCAAAATAGAACAAGAAACGTAGAGAGATATCCATCGGTAGGAAATTTATCGGTAGTGAAGTAGAACACTACCTAGCACCGAGTGGAGCATCGCGAAAATGATTCACCTTGAAGTCTTCAAGTCTGTATCTGTCGTCAGCTCCCCTGGTTGCTATCACATTGCTAGTACTTGTGCTATATGGAATGGAAATTACGACCAAGAATCTCGTCGTCTTGGCAGCGGGCTGTCACAGCGCAGATAAAAAGATGAATCAGCAGTCACAAGGGTCCGTTGGTACAAACAAACGGGATCCGTCTCTGTGTGAAGCCCTCCTTTAACCGATGATGTGCGCACTTGTTTCCTGATCACTGAATTGAAAGAACAGTCATGATAGAGATGTGGTTGTGGTGGATAATAGAAACGTCTTTGTGATTTTACCGCTTTAGCCTAGTAACCACAAATAAGAGGCAAGAGGGTTGTGAATTCGTGACGCATAGCAACACGTTATTCTTTTGAATTTTTGTCTGCGGCAGTCATTAATCAACATGGAACTGGCTCCTAGTTGTTAGAGTTACCTAAGTCGTTATGGTCCTTCTTGTCCGATCCCAGTGCCCGTTTTTCTACTTGACCTAATAAATCTCAACATCATTTATTTTTTATATACACGTTCATTTGTTATTGTTTCCATGCAGCTTCCTCTTCATACTCCTCTTCTTGTTTAATAACATTAAGCTGAGCTTACAGGAGATCATCAGCAAAAATGGGTGAGGATGTCACGTCGTTGTACCATCAGTGCATTGCGCGCAAGAACGATATTGACCATGAGCTCGATTCATTAACCGCCGGTCAACGCTTACCTATTGCGAAGAGGCAGCGACTGCAGGGCCTTGAGCGAGAGTTCGGTACTCTAAATTTTTGTGCTTGTGGAGTCTTTGATTGTATAATACTCCTCTACTCAGAAAGATGACTATCTACGCGTCCTTAGCGTGCTTGCGGTTGGGCTTCGGCAGCATCCAATGAATGTATTTGAGTACTATTTGGCATGGGCACTCCTGGTAGTGGTACTTTGTGCTAGAAGACACTGCACTTGCTCAGTTATTTTGATAGATGAAGTAGGACTGTCGATAGTGTAATAATCATTTCTTGTCTGCGTACACTAGCATGTTCAACACAGGCGATGCTTTTGCCACGTTTGAGCGGGAAATAGATGCTAAAGGTCAAAGTCTCCCTGGAGGCAAGGCAAAATGGGACCGCTACCGACGGCAACTTGCAGACGACAAGACAAGCATAAGAGCTAGCTTTTATGACCAGCATTGCTATATCTTGAAAAGGACTTAAACAGAAATGTTTTTTTGGAAACAGTCAAAGGACGAGCATCTTCATCAACGATGAGATGTCGTTGAAAGAATAGAAGGCGAGAATGATCATTCGTGTTCTCGTGTTTCTCGAGTATTGACTGCGAGTACACCAACGCATCAAGACAGAGAGACTAGCTACCCGTATTAGGAGTTCATCACAACCGAAGATTTATTACCACTACGTAAGAAAGAAAAGCGTTTTTCGGCTAATTTTCGCAGCCACACCAGATCGAAGACGTAAGACAGCAAACAGCAGATAGGGAATCATTACTAGGACAGCGAGATGCGCGAACCCAGGATGATCGCGCCAAGTTGCTCACAGAGCGTTCACGCCTTAGAGACGTGGATCGACAGCTCGACGAAATGCTTGAAATAGTACTTTCTTTTCCCCTGAAGATTGATCTTAAATTTTGATATTATTAAGATTTTGTAGAAGTAAATCTTCACTGTCAGACACATTGACATCTTCATCATGGGTCTTTGTTTTCGGCTAGGACTACATACAATACTTAGGACTTGGATGAAGAAAACTACGTTGTGTGAGAAGTATTTGAACAAGATCGTCCCTAGCTGCACCTGCACGGTCGCTTTCGACAAACATGACCACGACTATCTTCACAGGGACAGGAGTCACGGCAAAAGCTGCAGGAGCAGAACGAGACTCTTCGGAATGCGAAGAGCCGTATGATAAACGTAGTGGAGGCCATTGGGCGAAGTACGGGTTTGGTGAAAAGAATAGACAGGCGGCATTGGGAAGATAAAATTCTGGTCTATGCAGGGATGTTCGCGTCCGTAACCCTGTTCTTTGGACTCTACATTTACTTTAAATGGTGGCGAAGCTGACACTCATCTCTGGAATCTGGTGCAGCAGGATAGGTGTATTCTTCATCTTCACCTAGGACTAACTTGACCCTAACATTGTTACCACCCAAGAAAACGCTCCCAGTTGCATGTCCCCCTGAATGCATAGTTTTGATGACTCGGCTGTCCCTGCAGCGGAATTTCGAGACAGGCCTGCGGAAATTGTCTGTTCCTCCACCAATTGGGACGACTGTAGTGCTCTTTGTGTCCACACGAAAAATCTTTGGGATGTGTCCAAAATCAGGCCATCTGCCAGTGGTGTTCTAGTAGAATCTTTTTTGAATCATGTGATTATCCAGTAGTGTATTTCTACTTGGCATTAGCCATAGAAGGCAGGATCTAAAGGGACCGATGAGAGAGCTGAGCGAACAGTAGCTGAAAACTGAGGAGAAGGAGTTTTTATTTCTTGCATGATTAGCAAGCTATTAGTCATGTAAAGAGGTGGGTGCCTTTACCTTCTGCGACAGGTTCCTAATATTCGCAGTGAACTTCGCGAGTGATCTGACAGCGTTTTCAACTGTCTTTTTCTTAGACTTGAGACCACGGGTTGTTGATATTGTAAATATCGAAATGAGCATGCTGATGGAACATGTAATGCCATGATTTAGATAGAGTTACAAGACCAATATATTGCAATCGACTACAAGTGTCAATTTTTTGTAGTTCAGGACGGACCACCAAACCATAACCAAGTTGTTCAACTAAGTTCTTCAAGTAGTGATAGATTTCTTTTTCTAGTTGTCAATATACATATCACGCTAGACTCAAAGTCCTCAACAAACTAACACGGCATATCGTCCTCGTTAAACCCGTACTCTTGGTTGTTGCTATCTACCGCGTCTCTGCCTCCGGCAATACGTCGAGGCACATACAACATCCGTCCGTACTTACGCAGAGGACCACAGAGACGGACGGTTGGACACCAGTAAACCTAAAAAGCGGACTGGAGCTGGAGATCATTACAGCATTGTAGGAGAACTGAGAAACAAGTGGTCGCTACTGAGGGCGGAGCAAGGCTGAAGACCCGAACCCGTTCTAATTCTTGCTCAACGACTTGTTTTTTATGGCTGGAGAAGACTCTCTAGGATCCCGCGAAATGTCGATGTCACCCACCTCAGCGGGTGTGAATTTCATAAAGAGCATCAATCGCGACAAAATATGTTGCGTTGGTGCCGGGTACGTCGGTGGCCCCACGATGGCTATGATCGCAAAAAACTGTCCGCACATACAGGTAGTTTCGCGCATTTCTACGTACAAATCAATGGTGGAAGAAGTGAAACTGTTCCTCGTCATGAACGCAATTGCAGCTGCTGCCAATCCCTGAACAACTATCTTTTCAGGAAAATGAATTTGATAATACGACTCCGACATTCATCCCGTAACCGTGTCATCTGCTTCTGCATGAGCATTCCCGTCGTGGAGTAGAACCATTCAACAAATCACGACAATCAGGTCCACGTTGTTGACATCTCAGAGCCACGAATTGCGGCATGGAATAGCGCGAAACTTCCAATATATGAACCGGGACTGCAGGAGGTTGTGGAAAGCACTAGGGGTGTGAATCTTTTCTTCAGCACTGACGTCGAAAAGGCAATAGACATGTGCGATATCATTTTCGTATCCGTCAACACGCCGACAAAGAAGACGGTACTTCTTACTTGTGCTCCTTCGTTTTTCTTTTTTTTTCCGACATTTTCTTGGGACTTTTTATACGGCTCTCCTGTTTGTTTTTGTTATGTTGTCGTTGTGTACAGACAACATCAACACGTTTATTTAACGATAAGGTAGTTCTTGGTAAACAAAGAATAGCAATGGTGAGCATTCGCATCAAAGGGGAAAAGAGATTCAAGCAGGCGTTTTCTAGGGCAATTATACCCGACCCATTTTTATTAACACAGGGATTGGGTAGCGGGCGTGCGGCCGACTTGAAGTACTGGGAGCTCGTCGGACGGACTATCGCAAGAGTCGCAACGAAGGACAAAATTGTCGTAGAAAAATCAACCGTTCCAGTTCGCACGGCCGCCGCATTAGACAGGGTAAATAGAATATCAAAAATATCTACTGGGACAGAGGACTTTGCAGTTTTTCTGACCTCCTAGCTTGTTGCATTCTTGCAGTAATGAAACGAGAATTGCAGACTCCTCCTTAATATTGCTAGAACTAGGTCTACTACCGTAATGTATCACACCAAGCATCATTGCACCAACAAAATCAATCTTTATTTTTCTTGGACAGGTGTTGAATTCTGGCACATCCGACAGTAAATTTGTGATATTGTCGAATCCGGAGTTTTTAGCTGAGGGGACCGCAATTCAAGATCTTTCCGCACCAGATAGGATCCTCATCGGCGGTCCGCAAAACAAAAGTGGATTGGACTCTCTCGACCTTCTCGTTATGTCTCAACTTAGACTTTTTCTTAATCATTCGGTTAATAAGCGAACAAAACCTGGTCCTCTATGATCATTGGTACTCATACCTTTGCTCCTCACCCTCAGCAGCTATTCGGGATCATACAGAGTAATCCAACAGTTCAAACACATAGATACCTGTTGTAGAATTCAAAAGCAAAACAAGGGAGGACCCGAACCTAGGATTATGCAATAGAAAGAAACACCTACTCCAGTCGTTAGTTGGTTTCTTCATATGAGCAGACGTGTATGCGAATTGGGTGCCTCGCGAGAGAATTTTGACGACCAATTTGTGGTCTTCCGAGTTATCGAAACTAGTAGCGAACGCTTTTCTTGCGCAGCGTGTGTCGTCAATAAACGCTATCTCTTAAGGCTTGATTTGGAGATGCATGATTTCCGCGTCCACTCTTAATTAGTAAAAAAAGGCGTCTTCTTGATCTTCAGAGAACCGCCTCATCAAAGGGATGGAGGAAAATGAATTCCACGAATAGTATAGTAAGAGTCGATTCAGGGAAGTCGTAGGTCCAATCCGAACCGACTAACATCATCAGGATAGTAATTGTAAAAGTTAGTTCTAAATTAGACAGCTATGCGTGAGGACCGGAGCAGACGTCACCGAAGTTTCCAAAGCGATTGGGATGGACTCGCGGATCGGACCCAAATTTCTAAAGGCCAGTATTGGCTTCGGCGGTTCCTGTTTTCAGAAAGACATTCTGAATTTAGTCTACCTCTGCCAACAGTTTGGTCTCAAGGATGTCGCGGATTACTGGGAACAAGTTGTACTCTACTACTTCACGATCGTTTTCTAGAAGATGACCTCCACAAAATCTTGATCTTCTTCATTCATCTCAAGAAGAAAAAGAAACTGAAATAGAAATTGGAACTGCGTATTTGGAGGAGCCAGGTGGTAGCCATGTTGCAATTATCATCTATTCTTCGATGTACTAAAAGTTCGACGTGGTTCAAACTATCTGAGGCTCAATGGACTTTTATTATCTTTACCTCCCACCAAGAAATGGACCCTCTACCGACCTCCCCCGACCAGGTAATAATGAACGACAAGCAGAAAGACGCATTCACACACAATATTGTGGCTTCGATGTTCAACACAGTGAACGGGAAAAACATCGCGATATATGGATTCGCTTTTAAGAAGGACACAGGGGACGTGAGGGAAACACCAGCGATCCGTGTCTGCGAGTTGCTCATAGAGGACGGCGCAATTTGCCAAGTATACGACCCGAAAGTCGAGAAATCAGGTAACTAACTAAGAGGACTAAGAAATATACTCTTCTACGAGGTCCTCTACTAGTACTACGCAAAAAAGAGAGTTGTCTGTAAATTTTCAGAATGCAGCCGCTATTTTTTTGCACCAAGTCCACTTCCACCAATACAATAGGCCCCTATTCCATTATACACTGTTTACTAAATCCAGATGCGATGTTGGAATTTCGAATGCAGGGAATCGATGTGGACGAGAACAAGCTGAACTTCTGCGCAGACCCACTAACTGCTGCCGATGGAGCGCACGCCATCGTCGTTCTAACAGAGTGGGATGAGTTTTGCACCTACGATTACAAAGAACTCTTCAAATTAAGGCGACGAGACCTTTTCTGGTGAATCAATATTGAATGGTTGTCGTCATACTTTCCTGTGAGTAGAGAATGTTGGCGTAACTGAAACTCATTGATTCTGTCCAAATTCCCAGCCCTTACAGCAACTAGGCTCGATTCATCATCTAGTTGATGAATTTTCACTGAATCCATTTGGGAATAGAAATAGTTTCAGTTGTTACTGAGCAGTGCTCTAATGACGCGAATGAAAAAACCAGCTTTTATCTTTGATGGTCGTAACCTCTTGGATCATCAGGCCTTGTCTGCGATCGGCTTCGAGGTCCACGCTATTGGAAAAGCATCGAAATACACGCGGAGTAAGTCCTTGTTGGCGCAGGCGGAAGAAGAATCGATGTACGGGGGCGAAAGACGCATGACAGCAAACGGGCATTAGTCCCCTTCCTCGATCGACAATCTTGTCATGTGTAATCAATGCCCACGAAAACGATACCGTTCATGTACCATCTTGAGGACGTGCAAGGCCGATGTCGCGGAGCACGTGCAGTGAGGTGACTGTTATTTCGTTGCGTGCAACATGTCCGGAGCGTAACAACTTCTTTGTTCTCATTTCAAATCCACGGAAGACGGTAGGATCAAGAGACTACAACGGTTCGTCAACCCTCATCCACGTAAGAATTCTGCGTCATGTATACTTGTTGCTGGTTCTCCCCTCCCGAGGTAAGCTTAGAAGTGCTTGCTGCTGTTGCCCCCATTTTTTGTAGCGTCACCTGTGCAGCGGACCATGATTTTTCGGAATAAAAAAGTGTGCAGATCGAAGGGTCCACCAAGAAGCGCAGTGTGCCAGCTGCACAGATCAATGTCCTGCAAAGCTCCCCTTCTCGTGGGTAAACTTCGTCTCAGCTTAGTCGGGTGTGATATCTCGCAGAATCCAGAGATGATTCGAAGAATCGATCCTTCTCGATAACGGAGACTTTACGTACACCATCACGATTACGAGTATAATTTTTAGATAACAGAGATAAATCTTCAGATGTGCGAAAAGTAGTGATTTGTGTGGTGCTAGTGCGCACGTCGTTGGGCTGCACAATGTTTATAGTGAAAATAATGCGGAGCAGGGTGCCCGCCCTCTGCATAAGTGCACCCTTTCACTGATTCTGCATGAGAGGGAACCCTCTATCTGTATGAGAGGACATCGAGTTGTATCTGTACATCGAGTTGTATCTGTTGCTGGAACTAGAGCTACTGAGAGTCATATGTAAAGACATCCTGACATTTAAGCAACTGCTTGATCTTCTGTTGAGAAAGCACTCAATTCTGTTGAGTCTGTAGAGAGGAGACGAGGCTGTAGATGACAAAAGAAGCATCCAAGATTATTGATCTCGTCTGTATGAGTACGTCGACTCTGTTTTGTGTCTAGTGGACCTCACTGTGAGCATGATCATGACCAGGAGTGTGCACAGCGACGTAGTGACCGATATCGATTTTGTGCTGTACTAGCTTGTGATCATCATTCATTGCTTCTACTTTCACTTTCTTAGTTATAATATATCAAGCTCATCCTTACTTTTCAAAAGGAATCTTTACGAATGTATCATTTCATCCTTCCACCTATTTTCAGGTTGTTGCTTTTCTCAATCAATCTCATGAGCAGTAGTACCCCAACTCTCCTCCGCAATTTTTCAAATATCTAATGAATATTAACTGACATCCTTTCAAAGGAGATTCTTAATTTGAAAAAGACCACAACTTACCATAACGCGGAATCAGTAAAGCCATAAAATTTCTTTTGCTTGTTCTCATCAACTTTTTGTTGTTTGATCAAGAAGGCTCAAGAACCTCCAAAATTCATGATATACACAGACATCTAGATCAACTTCATCTTCATCAATGAGAAGACAGAAGTAAAGACTAGAAATATTTATCTGTAGGTGGACTTTTACCTTTCTAAGATTGTGTTTTTCCTTCGATTTTCTTCCAAGTATCTATCCTACTTGTGTCTTCAAAGTCAATCCAAATATTCAAATAACACGATTCGTCTCATTCATCGCCTCCCTAGAGGTCAGCACGACTTCTATAACCATTTAGTGAAAATGTCCTCCACAACTTCCGGAGTTATTAGCAGACGAAATGCACCTGCACGTGGGGCCGTGTCGACCTCTATTGGAGGGACACAGGTGGAGACCCCAGAGGTCCCCACTTCGTTTGGACTAGGACGAGGAGCGTCTTCGCCAAGGAGAAGCGGGTCGGCTTCTAAGCAGAGGCGAAGCTGTTGCGCTCCCGCTCCTGAGATGAAGGCAAAGATGATGGCAATGGCCCGGGACTCGGCAACAGAAGTGGTGCACAGCGCGAAGGTGTGCGGCTGCGGCATTGTCGATTTTCTGTCGGAGGGAGCCGACGACTTCGCCTTGCGTACCTTGCACGGCGTCATTTCGAGCTCAGTGGAGCACGGCAAACATCGATTCCGTCTACTGCTCCTGCACATTCTACTGCTGCCGCTTTGCATCCTGTTATTCCAGCCCGCCAGAGACGCCGCCTCACTGCTCCGCGGGACAACAGCCGGCGATCAAGTGCAGGAGGTGACTGAAGCTGCAGCAGCCGCTACGCGCAGTAACAACGAGAAGCCTGACACGCGAAGGTGAAAGAAGGCGCGAGGTCGAGGTGAAAAGAAGCACTATGTACATTGATAATTGTAGTGAGATGCTGGGACTATTTGAAAACATAGATACACGAACACGATACATAGTGATGAAAAATTACAGATTTGAATCAATACTATGATAGCAGCGAAGACAGGATAGAACGAAGATGAACATCTGTCGGCACCCGTAGACCATTGCTCAAGAAGCCGCAGCAGCACAAGCAGCAGTACTACCAACACGCTGTGATGCCGAAAGACAAAGAGATAGACATAGGTAGAGAACTAAAATTGTCATCACTCAAAGACATTGCGATTGCTGTAGCAGGGCTGCTGTCTTCACACACACAAGGGGAAAAACATAACAAAAAAATAGATATCTAGTGATTACGTACAGTTCCGAGCCGAATATGAAATACCTCAAGATTACTACAACATACAACTGTGACTCAAATGCCATTGATTCATTCTTCAAAATTTGTTTGGTTTTCTAATACGCGATTTAAACGTTCTGATATTTATTGAACCTCAAGCTTTGTTAGAAAAGTGAAAGTCGCCTGAGATTCAACAGGTGAAATTTTCTACGAATGATTCATCACCCGATAGAACTGAAAATGATGAACAAATAATGATTTGAACGCAGCTGAGGAGAGCTTTGTAACTTCACATCTTCCCCTATCCTGTTTTACCCTAAAAAGATCAAAAAACAAAAAAGATAAATAATACATAGTGAATCAATTGAAGACTCTTGGTGTAGAAGGCCCGATATTGAACATGGAGCAACTTACTGCAACACAATATTGGCGCATTGCAAGGATTATAACGCAATAAAACCCTTCTCCATTCCTTCCATGAACAAAATAGAAATGAAAAACATTACAAAAACAAACAAACTGTGACACCTCTGTCTTATAAGTCCTCGCTTCATTCGCATTTGAGGGGACGGTGAATGTTCATTTTTCTAGTTCAACGCCAGGGCGGAACCGGCTTTCACAAATCGCTGCATCTGCATCTGCTCTCTGTCTGAATCTGCCGGAGCGATGTTGTGGTCACGAGAGTCGTTTTCTATGCGACTGCGCATAAAAAGTTTTCTTGTTCGGTCCTTCGTAAGGTAAAGATCAGAGATTTAACTGAGAATCAGAAGAAAGTCAAAGTACCTTACTTAGTGGAAGAACCCATCAACCCTCACCCTCACCACATCAAGATCAAGAAGATGCAGGTCGTCTCCGTCTCTTTGGGCCCACCTTCGCGTGGCTGCGGAGGCCACACACGCGACATGTTGCATGCCACGCTACAACGTGGGTACACGCCGAGTGCATCCTCTACCTCTACACTGAATAGAAAAGTGACGGTCTGCTCTAGGTCTAGCCCTTGCTCTTCCTCTTATCGACCGCTACAACCGCTCGCAGATGCGCCTCACTCGGTTTCATCCCTTAAGGCATCTCAAAATCTATCTTTTCCCGAAGGAAGCATCTCCATCTCGAAGATGCAATTACACTATTTCAAAGGGGAATGAAAATAAACAGAAGTAGTGTGAGAAGATACGTCCCATTAATTGGTAGGATCAGGGGTTATTTTTAGTTAAAGAGATTTTTATATTCGCCCTGACTCCTCTAACTCTCAGCCATTTTTATTGCAGCAAGTGCGATGGAAACGCAAGGGTGCAGATCAGATGGGAAAACCGTGTTGGCACGTACGTGGTCCAGACAAGGTGCGAGGCCGACACTACTACCCCTTTCACAAGATGATAGGGAGAAGTGCAAACTGGCAGAAATACCAGGAACGATACGTACCCCCGAGAGCAGTTGATTATGATGCTGGATCAGTTTCTAACTAGGTGTTTCGTTCCCTAAAATATGTAAAAAAGTTGCACCGGCGTCTGCGTCGACGTCTTTGTTGAAGATCGCGAACGCTATGTATCAGCTACTTACTCGTTGTGTCATATCTTCATCTGGCACATGCCTCTCTTTACGTCGTCCAAGTCGTGTCATTTTTTCCAACTGACTGAGACTTTTGTTCTTTTCCCTCTTCTATTCGCCTTCCGACCTCACGCATTCATGTTGGAACGAAAATGCGTCTTATTCCGAGTTGTTATCCGAATTATCGCGCGATGCGGGAAAGCAAAGCCTGGTTTTGGTTACTGCCGAAGAAGCTAGCAGCTGCAACGAACGGCCACGAAGTTTTGGAAGCTTTTCTAAGGTTTCGACACAAACAGCCAAAAAGAATACACCACTACCTGCATGTGATGACGCGGCTCATTCAGGTCGGCGGGTGCGACTGCGCGGACTGGCGCTTCAAATACATCATTTCAAGACTGCATCCGCTCAGGAACAGGGTAAGCACCAGCTCGAGAAGTGTCGAATCAATGTTTACTTTTCTATTCATTCTTGTATAAGTACTTTTTTGAATCAGTCACAGCACCCACTTATTCTTGATTTCTATGCATCTCTAATGGTGCGTTTCCTACTATCAAGTCCTCTTCTCAGATAGTGAATATGCCTCGATTGGCTTTGATGTATGCCAAGTTGAATGCGCGGCGAGAAGTGAAGGAACTTACGCGTTTTCTCTTTGCGAAAATCGACTGGTATTCGATGCAACAGCTTACTTTAAGACCACTATTTATTAATTCATCTTACTCTATCAATCAATATCGAATGCGCCGCATGGGTTTGGGGATCGATCTTTCTAACGTGTTGAAATGGAATTCAACAAGGGCACATCCCAACAGGACGATTACATGTGTGTGCTTACTTTTAGTATTTCTTTGCCACCGAGAAAGGCAATCCCATTTACTTGTTACCCCACTTTCGCATATGGCCCTCTGCCGCTCTAATCACTTTCATCGTTCGAGCATTTGCTCAAGTGAAACTCGCAGATCCAGTCATCCTCAATGCCATTGTGCGGCGTTTTATGGACAGCCTTGAGTTTTTTCGCGATGGTGAGTCAGAAAACGGCCTTATGCCCGATCCAGGAGCGATCCTTCCGATGAACGTCGACGGGTACTTACATTTTTGCTTACGTAGTACTGGGATGATGACGATGTTGATTTCATTCTGTAGAACAAATTGCTTCAAGACTTATAAACTGCTTTAGACAAGAATTTTCTTGGATAGTATGATGTACTCGCTGTCTGTCCTACTTACCTCACCCCTCTTAAAACTACTACGTGCGAGTTCTTCAGATCATCAGGAAGAGACCACTAAGCTTATGACACCCCCGCCTCAACATAACAGACTGCTTACTCCGGATGGTATCGACAGCGGCATGCTAGAGCGTGTTCGACAGGACCCGAATCCAAACCACCAAGCGTACACGGGTGTTCATAACATGCGTAAGTACAACCGGTATCACTATAGCCACGGCTGGAGCCGGCGCAGCCGACACGCAAAGGAACCCATAGCCGAATTCGAGCGTAGGCAGCGATGGTTAGCCACGGAGTCTGCATACGCCGACAGACGCAACAACCCGAGGGCCACCGCTGTGGAGTATCAGCAGTCAGCTGCATTCGCCGATGGTGGCAGCGATACTAGAAGTGTTGCGTCTTCTGGAGACAGAGGACTAAAGGCAAAACAACACGATATCGAGATGGAGGAGGGTCCTGCAGATGGCGAAGGCAACCTCAATAGAAAGGAGAATACGAGTACGACATGTACTTCCTTAGACGGTGACGATGACGTTAGTTTCAGTAGTGAAACTCCAGGAACCACGCACAAGACAACTGGTGAGTCAGCGCCACGCGGACGTCAGAAGCGACGAGCGCCAAAACGTGGAGGCTATCAAGCAGGCCCAAAATTCGACGGACAAAATTTTCGCGAGATGAAAAGCAAATCGACGTCGTCGACTGGCGAAGAGGATCTTCAGCATGATTTTTCTAACCAAAGCAGCAAACGGGAGAACACTGATGTTGTTAAGAGTCGTTCCGAAGTAGTATCACGAACGTCCTTGGAGGAAAAATGATTGTGGTCTGAAGAGCCCTTCTTGGTAATTCCAGTATTGTTCTAGTCCCTAGTATTTCTTGGATGGAGAAGGAGAAGGAGCAAAAGGGGAGTTTTACTAGCCCAGGGAAGATGCTTACACAGAAAGACGCGTAATTTCCCTGCGACCTCTAAGAAAATTAATGCTGCAAAAGATGAGACTGGAGAGCATGATTACTTGCGACCACCGAACCTTGAGGAATTGGTTTGTGTCTTAGAAGGTTGCGCCGCCTTAGATTTCAAGCATTTTGAATTCTGTGGGACCGTTGCTGAAGAATACATCCTGTCGCAGGTAGTCCTGTTAGACGATGACGCAACAGTGGATCCCTTGTTGCTGCTTCATGGTGCTCGAATAGCACTCGCATTTGCGAAACTGGGCTACCGGAATTACAGTTTCTTTGATTTAAGACTCGTCTAATTCTAACGTGCTTTATTCGGAATTATATTAAAACGTCAACAGTTACTACGTACAGGTACAGTTTATCGATGAAAAATGCACCTCCACGAACTTCTGGATTTCCATTTCCATCACCTCTAATCGCTGCATTGTCGTTGCTCGTGCGTCGTCGATTAGTTCAGGAAATACCGCTTTCTATCAAACTTACACCTGGAATCCTATTAGACGTGCTCCGGGCTTCGCGTGCGCTACGCATCCACGACACGGAGCTGCGGAACGCTTGCCGTATTTTTTGTCGCCATATGATTCCAAAATCAAAAATATGTAGAAGTGATTGTAGCAAGCATGCAAAAACGGATTTGCAGCTTGTCTTCGAGTTCAAACCGTACCATAAGGCTAGGTTGGACAAGATCATGATCTGAAGAACCGCATAGAAGATTCATCTTTCACCGAGAACGGTGACGTAGAGGTAGAGTGCTGCTTGCTTCCATTCCCTCATGAAGACAACAAAAATCAGTTTCACACATTGACGCTTATGGCTACGAGTATCCGGCACAAGAGCTCGCCTATGTGAGCTACGCATTAGGACATGCGTCAGAGAAAACAATGCAGATGCTGATTACGGAACACGACTGCCTGGACCTAAACGCAGCGACGGCTGTCGCTTCTCTAGCAATTCAAATGAAGCATTCTGCAGCAATGGGAGAGACTACGACTTCCAAACCACTACCACAGGCTGAAAACAATACCGTGACAGGATCTGCCGCTAAGAAAACTGAAGATGCTCACGCACCCGACGAAGCAGTTTCTGAGCCCGGTGAAGATGGGCAGGATGTGACTTCGGCTTTTGGATCGACAAGAGCAGTCTCTCGTGAAAATCGATCCACCAGCAGTTCGCATTCGAATCGTAAATTAGAGCTTGCAGACGCACTTCTCGGATGCGTTGTACGCCTCCTAACAGGTCCGCATCGCAGAGAATCAAGGGAGCGCTATGACATTGCCAAAATTACGGCCCATTTCCTTGTGTCCTTCTGCTTCTCTGTGGAGCATCCTGCTTGAGGACGCCCTCGACTTCAATCTCAAACCAGCGGTCCTTCTCAATTGAAAACCTTGTACCATGCTGCTAATGCTATTCTTTCTGAGCTACTATCCTGATGATAGATCTTCTTGCTGTACTAAGGCTAGGTGCAGGGCTGAGAGAGGATAATCGGCAAGAGATTTACGAAACACTTATCTCAGCAGCGGCGAAAAGAAAAATTGTAGGGGCTTTTAGAGTAGTTGTTAAGAAGATTAAGAACTCCTCCCTATGCCGGTATCCACGCGGAAAATACGCAGGTAGGTTTTGGCTTATCCATCGGAACTCGCTCGCGACACAAAAAAAAAGCAGAGGAATAAAATTGAAATGAACGCACCGCTAACAAAATGATGCAAGCGATGACGCTGGCATTGCAAGATGGCTCTGTTCGGGAGGTCGGGAAGAACGGTGGAACATCTACCTGCCTTAAGGCTGCTTTTTATAGCGTAAACCCATCTCATCGTTGACTAACCGCATTTTGTAGATACTGTATTTTTTTCGTATTTTTCTGTACTTCATCCTTGGCGAAGAGGCATTGATCTTGTAGTCGTTTACTCTAGTACTCGAAATGTTGTATCATGATGCATAGTAGTACGTAGAAGACCATAAAAGATGTAGTTTACGTTGAATGTTTGTGTTCTTTTCCTATTGTCGGCACTTCTGCCTCTTGTTCTAATAGTCCCTGCATTGTAACAAGTGCAAAGGACCGCGCAACGCTTTTCCACACATTCTGTCGTCACGTGCATCGCCACATGCAATTTCTCGAATCCTCGGACTTCATTCGCATTCTCAAGGCCTTTAATAGTTAAGGCCAGTGCTAGTCTTTCATCATTTCATCACCGGAGTGGAGCAATAAAGTAAAAGTAACCGGAGTCTGAGTCGGGGGATCTCCCCGGTGTAAAAAGGGTCATCAAGGGGGAAATGTTTCGAAGTAGGGATCACTCAAGAAATTTAATGACTCGAGTCAGGATGATGAAAAAAACAAGCTCTAAAATCGATTCGAGTATTGGGATGCCCGGGTCGCTGTAACAATTGATTACGGCCGTTAATAATTCACTTTGGCAGAGAGCAAACGGTTGTTAGAGGATCCCTTTTTCTTTAGAATTGATTCTCAAATAGACCAGATGAGCTCAGGATATGAATGATGAGCTAGAAGAGCTCTAAGACGAAAAATGGATGGAACGCCGAAAGCATGAATTTCACACCGCGCGATGGGAAGAAGGGCAAGCTGAGCTCGCAAAGCTGCAGGCTCGCGGTGATGGAGTCTGAAAGAAACATGCAAAATCTAACGAATATTATATATCATACGCTCATGTGACATGTTGATGATGGGGATAGGCCTACAACCTGGTTACATTCTTTTTGTCAAAGATGTCGAAGTCGATGTTATTACTATCCAGATGAAGGCAGGACCACACGCATATTTTTATTCCATCTTCAGACAAAATCGAGTGCGAAAATTTTCATTTTGTGGACTCTCGTCTTTGTTACGAAAATATAGAGAGTCGATAGTTACAAAGAAAACAACATCCCTTTCACGTGTTGGCTCTCCAGAAAATCTTACCATTGCTTGTGGTATTCGTGGGCTTGATGAGTGGAGCCGATCGATGCGAGTGATTTGCGAAATTTAGAGACAGAGAGATTGTTGAACCGCAATATGTATTTTAAGTCTCTTCTACTTTCTAGGCTCACTGAATCACTTCTCGAATCTGAGAGGAGGAGAGTGGAAAGATGTTGTCTGATAGTCGTTTCACGATATTCATGGTCCCAAGGTATCCGTCGTGTGAGTGGCATCTTTTCTCCAAGGGAGCGAGTCCGAGAAGGAAATTCGAATCGTTCAAGCTGGAAGAAGAGTACCCATGATCGCCTCGTGCATGTTGACTTCCCCCTTGTCGTGTTACTAAAAGAAGAAGAATTGATGATGATACCTATTTTTCACCATGGTTAATACAGTTACGACATCCAAAAGCTTTCCAGCATACCTGTAATTCCACGAAATATTCGACATCGTACTTAGATGAGGTAGTTTCTTTGAAAAAAGGTGAAAAGACCACTTCGAGATGCAAGTGATCAAGATTCAACAAAGATAAAGTCGTGAGTGAGTTAGTACAACTTGCACTTGCAGGGCACAAAGCCCCTGTAGTTTTCTCCTCCTTCGCCGAGGCCATCAACATAAACACGTCCAAATTGCTAAGTTCTATAGATGAGCATGAGGGGACCAGCTTCGACAAAAACAAGACATTGACATTCTTGATCATTTGACCACTACGGCAAGCTTTATTATTGCTTACTTGTCAGTCTGGTGCTGTTAAATATAACATTCGCCCAAAATGAACGACTTCGAGTACATATACATGAAACAGCGGAAAGACTTCGGTCGATACTGCCAATTTGACGAAGTGGAGCCGAAAATTATCGGCGTTGTCGAGAGAAACAATGAGTACTTGTTGATACTCGTCGTAGTTCCTTCTACAGAGTATCAGTAGTTGCAACTCTATCGCCGTCATAGGGTAGTAGGAAACTCCATGCACATCTGTTTTGTTGGTAATCGCATCAGAGGAGCAATGCTTGTGAGACATGATAATAATCCAACAACGAGCTACAACAACCCCTATAATCTATCACATAGCTGCGACTTGGAACCCCGTGAGGCCTGGGTTAAAGCCACCTACTTCTACTCATGTTTTTACTACCAAAAATTTTTAGCTGCGCAAACGATTTCGTGGAACAGACGGTTATCAATGTCATTCTCGACAACATTCCGGTCATGTCCGAGCATTCCGTCAATACAGCAAGGGTAATTATTTACTCGATTTCCCTCACTTGCGAAGGGATTGGAATTTTGATATATATTTATACCTCCTAACGCGTACACTTTCATTATCCTCATGTAACTGTCATGTTTAACCAACTTGAACATCTTAAATCTTGATCCTCGTCATCAATTTTCTAGGTACAAGCGAAGACTCGGGGTATGTTGCACACAGAAGGTGGTTGGCCGAAAGAGGTTGATGCAACAGAGGCCCAGGATACCACCAAGTGGCGTAAGAAACTTGAGAAGGACCCCATTTTCACGTCGGCGGTCAAGAATTTGTGCACCACGACGAGCAAATGCCTAGAGCAGAACAACACAATCGATCTCTTCGAGCACTACTTTTAAGAACTCCTGCTCAGATGTTACATCCATTATTACAGGATCTAAAAATTTATTTATATTTTCATCAGGTGCTCCGCCTCAACCTCTAGCCAGTATTACGTAGTTTTTTTTGATAGACTGCATTTGATGCCGATTGAGTACTTATAGCCTAGTATTTATGCCTTCTCATCTGGAAGCTGAGAAGCATGATTATCTTCCACTAATGGGGCAAGTAGGAAATACTCCTGCTCTTTTGTTAAGTGTCAGACGAGTACCATCTTCGAGTTCTAGGATTATGGTGAACCGTATCTGTCTAATATCTCTTCCAGGAGGAGCCAGATGCACTAGTCGAGAACCTGCAACTGAAAACAATAGCGCTCTTTAAAGACCCATCAGACTTAAGGCTTTATCGACAATTCATTTTTTCATGATCAGGTCATTCTTCCATAAGTTAAAGTCCCGTTGACGTTGTCCCGGTTAGACTGTAAGTGAATATGTTGCTGGAACATGACGCACAAAGAGGATGATGAGTCTGTGTATTATCGGGAACACCTCTAAGAACGGAGCCACGAACTATTTCGAAAATCGGATGGCATCCGGAAGGACCTACCAAATTAGTCGGGTATTTTAGTTCCTTCACTATGTATCTATAGGATCAATCTACAGGAAAAAGGGTTGTGATTTATCTTCCGACCGGCTCCTATGTAGTCCTTCTTCAATCCTACCAAAGAAATAAATCCTGTTCCTCTCTCACCTCGTCTCAGCTCCCCTCACTTTTAGACCAGGATTTTTCTCGTTGCACCACGTGAATTTTTTTTCAAATTTTGCTAGCCTGAGAAGGCCCAACCTCTTCGGGACCGCTGGGGCCATCCCGATAGCTTGGCAGTGAACCCTCGGAGCGGGACTCCGCTTCCAAGGATCGCGAAGTGTGGACCCTAAAAGCGCCTCCAGGGGAGCCCCAACCCTTGGGAGGCTCGGCTCGGAGGTGCTTTGGAGGGGTGTCAAAAAGGGGGGCAAAAAGACCCCACTTTGACACCCCAAACGACCCGGGTCATTTGGCGACCATTTTGGACCAAAAAGGGTCGCCTTAAGGCACCCCCTAGCCCCCACTAGATGGGGCCGCTTCGGTCCTCGCAAAATGACCCGGCAGCTTTTTTTTACAAATGGGGCGCAAAATGCACCCAAAGTGACCCGGTACATTTTTGGCCAAAAAGTGCCGCTTTCGGCCACCCCTTGCCTGGCTCAGACCTCCGCGTCGGAGGTTGGCACCATGGAGGGCGAGCCAGGTATCCTTGGCGGCTGCCTCTCTGCGAATGTCGACGACGCCGAACGCTCCCAGTCACGCGATGGCCGGGGTTTATGGCTGTGCGCCAGGCCTTGCACCTGGCTGCATTTTTCAAAAAAAAACTACGTGGTGCAACGAGAAAAGTCCTGGTCTAACACTTTGTAAGTATCCTATAATCAGGTACCTGTACCACCGTTCTCACCTCCTTTTCCTCCAACATCCTATCCTCTCAGGTCCTATTCTTCCTTGCGATTCCAGCGGATGTCCGAGGAAATGTCCACTAGTTCCCATGTCTGGGATGTTAACGAGAGAAATACGCCATTGTACGCGTTGAAGTCGAAATCACCAATCATTTGCGCGCAATACAATAACAAGCATTAAGAACTGCCAATTCTTGACACATACTTTTAGTCTTCAACTATGCATTTACATTTAGATTATAGACACCGATACCTAGGTAGTTTGCTAGGTAGATTGCAATGTACTCGTTTAATATTTGAAATCATCGTTACAAAAAGGACGATAGTCAGAGGACCACCAGAGAACTCCTCTACTATCTCCTAGAACTTCTAGGTGATGTTGAGGCTCCTGATGTGTCAATTGGAAATCCCTAACAGCAGAGTGATCTCATTTTGGGCGGATGTTACAATGGTATCTTGAACTTGTACGATTTGCGAAAAGGGTCAACGCCAGCCATGCAGAGCATAGTAGAAACAAGTCACTATGACCCAGTCTACGATCTATGCTGGCTCCAGAGCAAGACAGGAACAGAGGCGGTATTTCAGGAAGCTGAGAAGACCTAATATGAATTAGAGAAAATGAAGAGATTCTAGAAACTTACGAAAACTAGAGAACAAGATCAGACAAGACCTAACGTAAGTACAATCATAGAATTAACCTTTTTGTGTTGCAGGTATCTGTATCATCAGACGGCCGGCTCATGCTCTGGGACGTGAAGGACATGAGCGCACCAAGAGACTCCGTGCTGCTCACTGACGGCGCTAGAGAAAACCCGAAGGTATTTTCAAAAACTTGGAAGTATGATCATCAAACAACATCGACATTGCTTTTCGCCACACATCATCAACTTTTCTATAATGAAGCGATGAATCGAACCTCAGTCAACCTCCACCACTTCTCATCTCCTTCAACGCGTAATCAAACAAAAGAATATTACTAACTTTCAGACGCTCGGCGCGTGCTCACTAGAGTGGATGCAGGAGGCAGGACCGACAAAATACTTAGTCGGAACAGAGATGGGTATGACACTCGCGTGTCAGAATAAACCAAAGAAACCGTGCGAGGTGCCAACCTTAATAGAGATAATATGTCACAGTCTCGCTACCCCTTGGAATTGATAGTCACGAATTCCGCATTCTTCATGTTTTCTCCTCTTTCTTGATGAAAACTAACCCTTCACATATAGTCAGCCTGTTTTTTCACATATTTATAAGTAATCAACCACACAAGGTGACTGCATGGTTCGGAAACGAGGAGAAGGGAGGACACGGAAGGCATTTCGGACCAGTATATGGAGTGAAGAGGAATCCGTTCCATGTCAAATATTTCCTAACTATCGGAGACTGGAGTGCCAGAATGTGGTTCGAAGATCTCAAGGGACCGATGATGATGACCCCATACTCCCCAAGTTACCTCAGTGCGGGTACTAATCATGTTGAATGATGTGTTGATAGTTACAGATTGGATCAATATTTAATAGCTTAATTAGAATTACTTGGTCCAGAGAATATGATAGATGCCTCAGCCCTCTAAAAATTTGAGTGATTCATAACAATAAATATGCTGTGATCCAAACTGACCCTCAAAACAGCCGCCTGGTCGCCGACGCGTGCGGGTGTCTTCTTTCTAGCAAGACACGATGGCTATCTAGATATCTGGGATTACTGGTACCGAATGAACAGCGTGACACTCACGCAGAAGGTGAGTGACTTTGCATTAACCAGTATGGCAATGCAGAACCAGGGTGGCCTTCTCGCAATGGGTAATAGATTTAGTTTTCCTAGTACACACTGTGGTTGTACTAGTCTCATTTTAGGCATTGGCATGCACAAGATGAATCAAAGTACAAGCGAAAAATGTCTACTGCACAGTTTGTTTCATATGAATTTCGTCTTTTCAAATCTAAGTATCCGATTCAACAAGTAATCCAATTGATTGTTCTTTAGGCGACAGCAACGGTGTCATTACGCTGATGCAGCTGTGCGACGGACTCATAAACCCGCAGCCAAACGAGAAGAACATAGTAGGCGCTATTTTCGAGCGCGAGACAAAGCGAGAAAAGAATCTAGAAGCGCTGAAAAAGGCACATTAAGAATTGGTTTTCATGATTCCTTATTAAACGCGTATGAATGGTGCATCCACATATCACTAAGACTACAGATGACGACATCCGCTGTGCAAGGATGGGAAATATTCACTCTAGTCTAGTAGTTGGGGTAGTGGTTGTAATGGTAATAGCTCAAGGAATAAATTTCAGAATTCGTCTCTACGATCATGATTACAAACGAGGACAAGATGAACAGAGACAACGGCATGTGTGCATGAGTACTAGTAGATTGATGAGAGTTATTCGCATTCGCTCTAAGCACAGAAAAACCCGGGTGCGGGGGCTGGTGGCGAGGAAACAGCACCACTTACGATCGACGAGAAGGCCTACGTAGAATGCGAGGAGAAGTTCTTTGCGGGCGTAGGCATGGAGGCAGATAACCTCGGAACATCTGCGTACCTCAACAAAAACAAAACTGAGAACTAGAGGAAACTAGGACTAGCATAGGAAAATAATACTACAGTCAGGAGATGATTGAATATGTAGTGCTAGTTTGCAATCGTTTGGCCTAGTTGTCGTGTAGTAGTTGCAGGGTGGTATCGATGTCGTACGGGCGGTCGTAAGGAGGTGGATTGTAAGTACCCACGATTTACGTTTTGAGCTATCGATTCATGTTGATTTTCTACTTCAGTGACTTCGTAACTACCGGTGGCAACGTACACACGCGCTCTCCCATCAGATACTACGCTACCGCGTCCCTGTTGCACAAAGGTAAACTGTAGCTACAACAACTGTTCTGTTAAATCTTTTTTAGCCCCATAAAAAATATTCCAAAGTAGCATTCAATTTAAGTTGACAAGCCGTTACAATAGTCTCTCTTAGCAAACAAAAATATGTTTAGGAAAAGCTATCAACCAGAAGAAAGCAGCTGAAAAGCTGTGTGCTCCCGCAGTGGGACTATAGAGAAAATCGGACGTCGTATCGTGTCCGACTGGAAAAAGATTCAGGTATTCAGGTGCTATCTTTACGAATGAAACAGCAGAAACTCGTCATTGATGAGGCAGTCATGACTACCAGGACGAATTCAAGTTCTAAACTTTAGGAGAAATAGACATCAAATGAACAAGAGCGAACACTCGCTTCTGATAGATTCCAAAAGCGAGTTTTATTAAATAGTATCCCATCAAAATGCGCATATCGATCTTGATGTAATTGTTCGTGTTATTCAAGAAGAAAGTAATCTAAATCTTCTATGGTTCATTTGCAGATACAGCTCCACTCTAACTTGTAGGTAAAGCTTGGATGTTTGTGATGTTGTAGGTATGAAAGACGAAGTCGGACTCAACGTGCACAGAAATGCAAACGAGCTGGCATAGAAGCGATCGAGTAGCCGATTTTATGTAGGTTGCACTCAGACCTGCTTTGATTACCATAGTTCTTTCAGTGTTGAAATATCACACATGATGTAGATCTGTCATCTACGATCTGTGGCTCTGACTGTCTCTCTTCCCTCATCGGTTGTCGCCTGCAGCGAAAATAGGAAGTATTCTATCTGTACCCGTTGCACCTATTTAGCATACAGAAAGAGTAGCTGAGGAGAAAAAATTTCATAATGGAGAGTCCGAGTCGGATGTGAGCGACCATCGGGCAGATCCATTTCCAGTCTTGGTTTAGGCGAAAGGAAAAATCAAAAAGGAACTGTTTCCATAAATCGGAAATGCTCGTCGCCGTAAAAATAAGACTATAACGCTATTATCAAGTAAATTATAGCCTAGTGAAGTCGAGTTCCCCTCCCTTAAAGATCTCCGAGAAAAAATTGCGACAGAGACAGCACTAGCATTTGAATATTCTTGTGTACCCCGTGAAAGACCTGCGAAAAAAAAAAACGCAAAAAACGGTCGACTGTATCCAATTTGGCGATCACGATAGTTAAGTACATTTGCCTGTGACTAAGAAAATTTAACGATCATGTTAATTTTTTTGAAGACGCGAGCTTCCAGCCTTCCTGGTTGTACCTTTTGCTTGTCAGCAAACCACTGCGTTTCTGTTTTTTTGAAGTAAAACGCGAAGGGCGAGTCATGCCGTCACCGGATGTCGTTTCCGGCCGGGCTTTCGGGGGGTCTTCCCGCGAGGGGCACTCACCTGGGATAGGCGGAGGATCTGGAGACAATAAAGGCGTCGAGGAACCGCACAATGCACGATACTACCGTCCCCGCGGGTCGTGCCTGAAGCGGCCAGACCCAGTGGTTTTTGAACGTAGCACTACGTGGAACGAGGTTATGCAAGCTGCGGTAGATGTGCCTCTGACGGAACGAGTCATCGTCAAAGGTGACCTGCATTGCCACGCTTCGGCAAGCCAGAAATTTCTCCGGCCTACGGAGACCTTCCGGTCGGTGCAGGTGAAAGGACGAGTATTCTTCACGGAAGACGCCAATGTCTCCAGTCCGCTGTCTCGAGGTGGTCTTGTTAAGGCTAGTCCTATCGATGCAAATGCTATGTGTGCAGATCCTTCTCTTGATCATTTTCTTGGAAATATACTCTTCACGCATATTTTTTACAATTCTAGGCAACATGGCTCCAATTATAGACCAGGCGGAGAACAGGCGAGTCCAGCGCTGCGGGTAGGTACGAGCGCGGCCTCTCCAAGCAAACTAAAGGGGAGTACACCACAGAGCCGCACCAAGCCGTCTCACATACCTCCTCTCGCAGGTGGTCTGAAAAGAGGCAAAGACTACGACCGTCCGGAGGCCGTGCCCTATGGCTACAGACCAGTACGTGGATGGCAACCACAACATAACGAGTCGTCTCCGAGCCCTTTTGATGTAGCCTCTCCAAAGCAGCTGCCACCCCCCGAGGTCGATCCAAACGAATCGCCGAAACAGAGACAAGTGTATGGTGCACCAGCAGCTACTGTTATAATTTACAGACAGTTTGACTACTTACACGCCATTTTCATGTTGAGCGTATTTCACCTCATTTGTAGTTCTTGAAGAGATGTGACAGTTCGTGTTCGTTGGACTGGCTTTATTGTGTTTCCACTTAGGGCTTCAAGAAGATGAATCCCACAGATGCTACTTTCTTATTTCAAGAACCGCCTTTTTCATATAAGTAGGCGGCGTGCGAGTCAAAGAGGACTTCCTGAGTACTACGAAGATGCAGTTTCCTCGTCGCTGGAAAAAGAGCATAGAGGGAGCGAAAGTCAACTACAGACTCCGGATCCTGCATACTTGAATGTCGGCGCATTTCGAACACCCAGCTCAGCAGGAGGATTATCCGTCTTTATGAATATAAATATATATAATGCAGTCAATTATTGCATAATGACTCCCTTGGTTCCAGTAGGAGTAAACATTAGTAAGAAATGCTTCACCTTGTACTCGTTCATCAAAACATCGTAGGTAAATAGAGGCTTAGTAGTATTCATCAGCGCTTCTTTAGAATACCACTTTTGTTGTCTTCTATTAAGACTAGATTGTCTAGCGCTTGAAATTCATAAACGAGCCGTCTTCATAGTACTATCCGTCGGCGCACAATCCGGATATTCGAATACGCCTAGTCCGGTGAAACGGCGACTAAGTTATACTTACGGCGCCACACGCAAGGACTTTTCGACTAAATAAGTCAATATTGTCATTGTGTAAAAGGACTTTCGGTTCCTCTTTTGGGGTAGTTGAGCCCGACCTGCAACACGGGGCAAACACATGACTGAGAAAGTACCTTTAGACTACAATTTCTATCTTCTATTTCTAGTTTTAGTTCTTCTTTCTACTAAAGGAGAGACGTCGCGAGATGACACTCTTTCTTTTAGACAAGTGCTTCACTTCCCTACCAAAAGATCGACCCTATCTACTTACTCTCTAATACTTGTCGGCGATGGCTGAGCAGCGTCGGCCAATGGAAATCGTTTGCAGTTGGAGCCAACCAGACGGACCATTTGGGCTATTTGATCCGGCTCTTCCAAGAAAAGTGCACACCTGGGAACCAGTCGATTTTTTCCCCGCCAAGTGGCATCCCATTTTGACGCGCCTGTTATGACATAATTGATCGTAATTTTTAGTGGTTGTAGTCCGTCGTACGAGATCATGTATACTATAAATATTGTAAGTTTATAGCATCCTCCACCTTCTTTCTTTTGAACTTTGAATGTGAATTTGGCAAAGTATAACAGTCAAGCCTCCGCTTGGTCGATGGGCTCGCCTAGAAACGATGCTCAGGAATTCCGTGTATCCAAGAGCAGAGAGTCCTCACATCGTGGAGCGAAAAAACTAAAAAAGTTCTTCGAATGAGAGATCTTTGTAGGCACACCCTTAATTTTTGAGCCTATGGAGGTGTACGACACCGGGAAGCACAGTACCAAGTCCTTCCGACGCATGTTTGCTGGTTTTGGAAAGCGCGATAAGCTGAACATCGTGATACGAGAAGAGTCGCACTACGATCTCGACAAAGACCTTGGGATTCTCAAGCTCCTATGCAGGTATCTTGACTTTAGTTCTCAGTATAGCTAGTGGCACTATTAGTTGAAGAAGTCATTTGGAAACACTTTCTTTTAGGTGAAAGAACAGCTGTGACGCTTTTTTAGGAAAGCCACGTTCCACCCAACTACCCTATCAAAATCTTGATCTTCTCTCTTCAGCAATTTCGGGCATATAACCTTGATATTCGACTCGTGGGAGAAATTCTTGAGGCCGCATTTAGATTTCTTCTCGCAGATACCAGAGAGCTTAACGCTGCACATTCTTATGATGTCATTTCGCAATATCTGGCATAGCTAGTCCGCAGGGTGTGATGACGAGGTCAAGGCATGCTTCTTCGTATCCAGTTTAACTACTTTTAAGAGCCTACAAACATATAATGAAGTCACTCATGCCAGCTTTAAATTCTGCTTGCCATTTATCAAGGAGCTAGGTCGTCGGGAGGGCGATCTTTTTGACCCCTCGGTGGTTCATCGCGTCGCAGAGTTCAAGAAGCGCAACAGGTTGCCAAACTCACCTAGACCCGGTGATCGCTTGTCCGAGGATCTCCAGGATCGATTGCAGAGGGAGCAAGAGCTAGACTTGGCGGCTGCGCTTACCGAGGATCTCCGACGCTTCGACCCCGGCGACGAGAGCTACCAGCCGGGAAAGAAAATCGTCAAAGAGGTCTTAAAGAGGTCTCCTAGAAGTTTTATCGTTGTTTATCACAGGTGGGGCCGAGACCGTACAGCCAGATGGATCTGAGATTCTGGCCTCCTGGAGAGGCCTTCTGGAGGAGCAGGACCGGAAAGGATCTCCGTTATACCTAGTAAACTAGCCTGCTAAACTAGCTAATTAACCTAGCGACGCAGATCAGAAAAAAACGACTTTTGAGAGTGAAAGCAGTTTTACCTGTGATATTGTTTTTGTTGTATTTATGCTTCACATTATGTGCAACCAATAATTAGTTACGAAACTTTCTCGATTCCGTGAAGGCATTGCCAATCATATTATTCTACTTCATATACACGCCTAGACAACAGTTTGCGCTCAATCTTGATATTTGACGACTTTCTTACTCTCAGGTCGAACCGGATTTGCATTCAACGCATTATGAGTTGGAGATATTTGAAGCGAATTTGGAGTCTTTAGTTCGCATCTTATCACCTTGGGTGCAAGGCGGTCTGCAGTTGCTGAGGATAGAAATGCACTACGGGCCTCTTCCCCGAGTAGCCGAGGATATTCCACCCGACGACGACGCGGTGCGTGGCAGCGTTTTCGACTACGATCTCTTCACTGGGAAGATGCTTGCGGAAAACATTCGAGCTGTACGGACCTCATTCGACAGCTTTTGCCGCCATTTCATCGCGCTGAATAAGCGCGCCGTGCTATTCGAGAACGCCTTCAATGTGGTAGATTCAAAAGCGAAATTCAAAGAAACGGCATGGCGATACGAGAAAGGCGGAAGTGGGAGGTGCTTATAAGTTATAAAACTACTCCGTTGTAGTCGTGGTTTATTAAATAAATATCAACATTGAAAAAAATCTGAATATTGAAATTCATCTGTAGCCTTGCACCGCACTCCATCGACTCACACGACCATCAGGGCTAAAATACGTCTGAACGTGGACGCTGGATTGGATCGCAAGGACAATGTGTCTGCGGACGAGGCAGATGAGGAAACGCTGTTTTTTGGGCGGAAGACAGGCAACAAAAACTTTCGGGAAACCTTGATAAGGGGAGCACGTGGCGGCACTGAAGGAAGTCGCACTGCCGAACTGGCCTATGGTCACCTCAACGGGAACACTCACCCTTCACACTCCGGCTTGGAACGGGTTGTTTGAGCAGCTGACTGAGTATTGTTGAAGTATCATGGGCAGTAGACGGTTTCGTTTCTGCTTCTGGGGAATTTTCATTTTCATCACCCTCTGACGATGAGAAAACACTATCAACTGCATATTATTGTGTTACTGACTGCTCGACTTGAAGACGAAGATGCTCTATGATGAATCAATTATCTTGCGTCTTCTGTTGAAAGTTTTACTTACTCACTTTGGTAGGATAAGATAGAAAAGTGAACGGTTCGGTGTGACCTCGATTCGCGACCTCCGATACCCCGTGCTCTTATCGCCTCTACAGGACCAAAAAGAGTACGCTACGCGTCGACAGCAAATGAAAAAAAGCATGGCTTTTCTCATTTGATAATAAGAGTTCCGGTGTGTAGTCGCTCTTGCTAGTACAGCTTCGGAATCACTCAACAGTATGAAGAGGAATTTTCCATGCGACATTGTTGCAAAATTCAGTTCTTTCTCTGCTACTGGGTAAACGTACCACGCACAAGAACATCGGTTCGGTTAACGTGTCTTCGAAGTACTCAAGTTGCAGATTGAGGATGTTTGCATTTGTCTGAACACAAAAACTGTTTCTGTTTGCTGAAGCTGTTGAAAGCAAAAGGGACGGGCTGATACGACAAAAATTGAAATCATTCTCTAAGTTTTATACCGTTGAAGATGTTACGCTAATTTTGATATGAAAGATGAAAAGGAATGACATAAGTACATAGTACTAACGTGGCTGCATACTAGCATCTATCTTAGACTACTTAGTTAATGTTTTGACATGAAAAACATGCTTATGGGCGCTGAGATTGACTTTGTTCAGTGCGCATGCTGCATACAGACAAATTACAGCGAATATGATACTCTTGATCTAAACCTAAAGCTTTTCATAATTCGGTGAAGCGTAGTCGAGAAGCAAGCCATTTTTGATTTAGTTCCAGAAGAGTGACTGATTGGCATCGAGTGGTCCTTGTCACCTGTAATTGCATTAAATTTTGTATGATAACAAAGCAGGGTTAGAAAAATATGCCTCCGAAAAAAGGGCGCAGTGGAGCGGGGAGCAAACGCGCCATCCTCAAGGATGACGACTCTGACGACGCTGTGCCCCCTGCTGCGGAAGAGGCACCTCCCGTTGAAGGTGACGATGCAGAGATCAACGATGTAGAAGATGAGGCGCAACTCGACCAAACAGGAGTCGATGAGGAGGCACCACAGAACGCAGAAGAGGATGCTCCTGCGGAAAGTCCGGTAGAGCCTCCTTCAGAAAAACCAGTGGCGAAGAAACGTGAGCGCCTTTTGCCCGCCGAAGATGAGGAAGATTATAGCCCACCGAGTCCGAAAAAGAAAGCGCTCAAAGTTCAGTTCTCGCACTAAGGCTGGAGAGTTAATAACCTAAAAAGTAGAGATGAAATTTATACTACAGGTACAGATTGATATCAACACATACTACATACTGATATGAAACTCTAAATTACGGATGATCCTGTACGTCGTGAGATTGAGAGCGAATAATATTTGTGTACTTCCGAGAATAAAAGGGGCAATCACGTAAGCGATGACGATCATGAGGAAAGGCCCTGTTGTTTCGATATCTCGCTCTAGTCTAATATTCGGAGATCGAATACGACCACCCGCTGGTAGATCCTACCACTGGCAGGCCTATTACGGATTCAGCGCTGCTAGGTCCCGGTCCTGGAACGGCAAACGGCGAGAGCTCAGTTGCCAGTCTTATGCCAGCCGAGTCAGGCATTAGTCAGACAGGGGAGCAAATGGATGCTGCGGCTGCAGGCTTGCCGTCCGCATCAAGAGGAGTCGCACAGGCGGCAGGTGGTGCGCAAGGCTCCGCAGCATCGCCAGATAGCAATTTGCTCCCAGGACCGTCCGGTGAAGCTACAAGGCAGCATCAAGCCGATGCCATTGCGAAAATGTCACAGCAAGCAGCGACGCAAGGAGCAGGCGCCGTAGTCCTGCAATCGGCTCCCGGTGATGTTGCTGCGATTGACACACAACAAGGGCCGCTGAAACACAAGCCGCGACTCATGATCAAGACCATCATATTGGAGAACTTCAAATCCTACGGCACGACGCGCGAGATCGGACCATTCCATCACAACTTTTCCGCCATCATTGTATGAATACAGAATATACTTTTCGTGCTAGTAAGATGGAGAGTAAGCATGAGATTGAGAAGCACAGTAAATGATGTGCATGGAAGATTAATAAGTAGTCATATATGATATGTTCCAGGGGCCAAGGCCCCCCCGTCTAACTTTTTCAGGGGGGGGCCTCCAGCCCCAGACCCTTTTCCTGAGGGACTGCCGGGCGGGAAGGCCTCCCAACGCCCACCGTCGAGCCCGCGCGGCTTCTTAAATGTACCCTACAGAACCCAAACCCCTGAGGCCGTTCAAGCACGGAAGGGCAGGGGTGGAAGGCTTCTGAAGGCGGCAAAGCTGGCAAGGCTTGAATGTACCCTACAGACCTGCCGCGTGCGGGCTCCTCACTGGAGGAGCCCATTGGGGGGTGGAGGGACTCCGAGGGCAGCAGGCGGCAAGGCTTTACCCCCTTGCCGTGTTTCGTGTACCCTGCAGACCTCCTGTGTGCGGGCTCCTCACTGGAGGAGTTTGGCCCCTGCTGCCCCCCAGGAGGGCCAAAGGGGCCAGGCCTCGCGACCGTGGCCGCCTTCGGCGGCCTCTTTCCCCCGGAGTCCTCGGATAGGATCCAACAATCGGGACGCCTGTGGGGTACACGCGGAGAGCCGCCAGGGGCCTCCAGCTTCGCCTTTTGAGGCCTTCCCCCCCGTGAGTTCTTACATGTCACCACCGCGAAAAAATGGGCGCGCGAACGCCACCGCCGCTCCATCCACTCCACAGGGGGGGCCTCCACCCGCTAGAACATTTCGTAAGAAGGATGTTGGATTGCATGGCATTGCATGCATTGCATGAGCCGAGGGGGTCAGAGTGCGACCTTCTTAAGGGAGCGACACGGGAACGATACGAAGACTCAGGGCGCGGCTGCGGCATAGGAATACTTTACTTGGCTCCGTTGTAGGAGTACTTGGATAGTGCTGGCACGTACTAGCTATTGCAAGTAGCTCGACTAGGCTAGCTTGCCTGTGATCTCGACCGTCTTGCCACTGTTCCCTGGCGCACACAGGCCGCGGCGTTTGCGCTGCTCCTTGCTTGTTTCTGGGGCGAGGTCACAGTGGGGCCGTGTTTGTGTCCGTGTATCGTAAAGTAATTCTTCGGCGGAGCAGCCCGGTATTGCGGAGGAAGTATGGCGCCCGAAGGGCGCCGCGAAAAATATACTGTTTTTTGGGTGGTCCATCCATGCAATGCATGCCATCCATGCCATGAAATCCAGAAGTTCGGAGGTTGCCTCGTATTCTAATTATAAATATAAATATATGCACCAGGGAGGGAGGCCCCCCCCTTTGGATGGATCTGGGGTGGACCACGCCAGAGGGGTCCAGCCTGGCCACCTTTGCGCGGTCTGTATGGTTGGCCACATGCAGAACGCCAAGGGGGTGGGTCCCGCCTTGCCTCCTCTGCCAGCTCTGTCGGGTACCGCAACACGCCAGAGGGCGTCAGCCTTGCCACCTTTGCCAGGTCTGTAGGGTACAGGCAACAAGGCAGCGGGGCCCTGCCTTTGCCAGGCCTGTAGGGGACATGCCACAAGGCAGCGGGGCCCTGCCTTTGCTCCCTTTGTCAGGTCTGTAGGGCACATGCAACAAGGCAGCGGGGCCCTGCCTTTGCCCCCTTTGTCAGGTCTGTAGGGCACATGCAACAAGGCAGCGGGGCCCTGCCTTTGCCGCCTTTGCCAGGTCTGTCGGGTACATGCAACAAGGCAGCGGGGCCCTGCCTTTGCCCCCTTTGCCTTTGCCAGGTCTGCAGGGTACAGGTAACAAGGCGGGAAGGGGTCAGAAGTGGGCGCTTTGAGGCCTTCCCGCCCGGCAGCCCCTCGAAAAGAGGGGCCGGGGCTGGCAGCCCCCCCCCCTTCAAAAAGTTAGATTGGGGGGGGGGCCTCCAGCCCTGAGCCCTGGAACATATATATACATATATTTCATATATAGATACATCCGTTTTTTGGCCCCTTCCTTGTACCTACTGGCTTGCGCTTTGTATGTCCACAAAGTAGTCTACTTCTTGGACCTCCATTTTTCATGCATCGGTCCGAACGGAAGTGGTAAGTCGAATACGATTGACGCTTTGCAGTTTGTTTTCGGCAAGAGCGCGAAGAAAATCCGATTATCCAAGCTTTCAGAGCTGATTCACTCGAGCAAGCACAAGAAAGACCTACAATATTGTAAAGTAAGCGTCCACTTCCAGGACATAGTAGACGTTGAAGATCCGAAGACCGGATTGCCGTACACCGTCGTTCCAGACAGCGAAATTGTCGTAGGCAGACAGGCGACCCGCAAAAACAACAGTGACTACCTCATCAACGGGAAAATAAAGAAAAGAGAAGATTATGACAAAAACTCCTTATCACTAGGAGGACATGTGGGTTTGGATTAAGTACACGGAAATACATGTGCATTTACAACTATTTATCTATAGTAAATCACGATGCTCTTTTTGATTTCGCCTCTCTGCCACACTGGGCCATAGCACTCCTGTACTAGTACTTACCACGATTCCCCTACATATCATACGAAGAGCCATCCCTTAGTACCTTCCTGATCTTTTGACATCACATCTTCATGCATAAGTGATCGATCTGCTGAAAGGTAAGGGGATTGATTTGGTGCACAACCGTTTTCTTATCCTGCAGGGTGAAGTTGAGGCAATTTCATTGATGAAACCTAAGGCATCACAAGACGGAAGCGACGACGGCTTTCTCGAGTATTTAGAGGATATCATCGGGTCGAACGTCTACATCCCGCAGATCCGCAAACACGAGGCAGCAGTTGGGGAACTCACTTATGCACCTGGAGCATCATACTGATACTATTAGAGACAAAATATTAGTAGCCGCTGTTATACAAGAACTGGAACCTCGAATTAAAAGTACTAGCTGAAATAAGGCACCAAAGGCGAAGAGAAGTCGTTCTCCAGAGAACTCTGACTCAGACATCCATAGAGGCTTTAACAGGGGCTATGAGAGGCTGCTGTATCTATGCATAAGATCGCACGAATTAGTTTGATCATCATCATCATTATCCTCAGGCCTGGAAGAGCCTCATCGTAACATTGTCACTATCCCCTTTCTGTTTCTAAGTAAGAGAGGAGAGGCAAATGGCGCTGCAATCATTGACGATAGCGCAGAAGGCTCGCGATGCTCTTGATGGTGGTCGTCTCGAGGCAGAAGCATGGGTGCGAAACAAAAAAAGCCATCTTTTGCACACAGCGGCTTTGATTAAGATGCACGTAGATTGATTAGTAACCGTGTCATTGACATGGAGATCGATGATCAATGAACATTTATTAACTCGTAGGAGTCAGCTCTTTCCGGTATTCTTTTCTCTTTTCTAGGTAGTTGCTTAGCCTCCTGAGGCTTGGGCTGCACACTGCATAAGCGATTCATTCTTGGCAATCTCATCATCAACAACACAAGAACTCAATAGGAGAATGGTCTAATCTCTATCAGGTGGATCTTTTCGTTTCGCGTAAAGATGAAGAAAAACTTCACGCCGACATGCTCCTGGCAAAGGAACAGATGGCAGAATATGTTATGCAATGGAGGAGGGATAGATTTTTGAATGTTTACCTACGTGGTACATTTTAGTGTTTACAACTTACGATCATTGGGGGTGTTACCATTATCTGCGAGTGCGACTGTGTCTATGATACGAAGGCGGGTATATCCGTTCCATGAGCTAAAAATGCTAAGTGTCGTGAAGTTGTACTTTAGTACTGATGATAGGTTTACTTTTTTACCGGTCTACGACCCGTTACTTTGATCGTCGTCACATTGTTTCTTGTACGCTTGCTGTTGTCAGAATCCTTAAACATCTATTCTGTAGAAAATTGAAGCTCTAAGGTACATGCCGGGCTACAGGAATATCAGGTGAAGATGCAGGAGATCGAAAAAACGCAAAAGTTAACAATTTATGGCTTGGAACGAAAATTCATCCTGAGTAGCTACAGCTTCTTCTACCACGATCGATATACTACCACTTTCTTATGTGAATTTATTTGCTGTTCATCGGAGCTTTTTCAATTGTGTTGTACCTTTCAGCTCGTAAAAACTCGGCACTTGTCTCAGGCTGACGCTTGAACAATATGAATATTTTGTTCTATGAAAAAACTTTTGTTACAGTATCGACAACTCCCTTCCACAGATGAAGAAAATAGGCCAGGATAGAGGATCTAAAACGTGGATAAGATGGCATCGGAGAAAACGCGAAAGGTCGACTTAAAGAAAGCCTTCGAGGCAGTGGAGGAAGAACATGTACCGATTTTTAGTAGAACGCACCGATTTCTAGTATTGTTTGGAAGAAGCACGACTTTCTTAGTATTGTCAAAAAAGGTAAACGTACAACAGGAAGGACGGGTGAACTGACGTCAAGTTCCACGCGTTACAACTACACGAATATGCGCAAGACCACGTCGAGGTTTTGTTCCATGAGATTAAACTTTTGACTCTAGTACTTGACTCTACTATGTATTCACAAGTTCAAGTCTAGTCTCTAGGCTATTGCGATTCAGTTTGAGATGTATGACATCGACCACGATATTCATATTAATAAAATAGCACCTTGAAGAATTCCTCGAATCACTACCGTCAACACGAACAGCAAAAAGCTAGGGCGGATAAGGCATACTTTGAGGAGGAGAAGGTAAAGATCGCAAAGCAAATTGAAGAAGCAGGAAAAAATAGGGAGGAGAACCTCAAGGCAGCCCAAGATGCGGAGCAAAACTTGATCCCCAAACTGGAAGCCGAAGTGCACTCTTACTTATGACTAACTCTGCTTCGTCTCTCTCTCGGGGTACCCCTACTCTGAGTTAGGTATCTCTCTCTCAGAACGTGTCACCGTATAGATACAACTCCCCGTGAACAATATTATACGAGCGTCATCGTGCTGCATTTGCATTACTAGTGCATTTATTTCTTTTATACATGATATTAGGATGAAATAGAAAGAGATTTACAGCGCACACAAGACTACCGAGACGTCGCTGCAGGGGAGAAACAGCACTCTAATTTGCGATCAGATCAAGAAAAACAAGCAGAAGAAGCTCGACGATATTGAGGCTGAAGCAAAGGGTACCACTTAGTTACCATGAAAAAAATTGAAATTACCAACATGTTTTAGTAGTTACAGAAAACAATTTTCTTCAACAACCATCTACAACTCTACTACCTTCTACCAGCTGAAACGGAAATCAAGGAGCGCGAGAAGAAGGAGAAAGAGCGGGAGCAGGCGCCACTAGCGAAGGCTCTGGGTAAGCTCGAGCAGGAGAAAATTAATTTAAGGCTGTTCTTGAGAACTACGTCTAAAAAACTGTTATAGTCATTTTTATAAGTGGGCAGTTGTAACAGTGTGCTTCCTGCATATGTTGATATTTAATACATAGTTAACGGTAATTTTGTTCAAGAAGGGCTCGGGCCAGGCGAGTCCTGTATTCTTAGCAGGTGTTGTCTCGAAAGTGATCATTTCAACAGAAGTGGAGTAAGAACTACAGGAAAACGGGCCTCGATATGACATCACTACTCTGAATGATAGTGCAAGCGATGAAAAACCCTCTCAATTTTTTGATTTTTTCAGCACCTGAACTGGAGTAGCTATTTGAATTCGTTCTCTGCCTGGGGCTCCTCCTGAAGATATATTACAAGTAGTTCATTTTGTTGTAGGGTTTGGCTCAGGTCCAGCCGCGCTTAAAGCACAAAAAGAAAACAGCCGGTTAGAAGTTTTATTCCCTAATGCGATCTAGGTTAGTCCCTTCATCCAAGATATAACTCATCTTGAATTCGTACTCTGCCTGGGGCTCCTGAAGCAGATGGCCATCGATATTTGAAGCTTTCTAATCAACCTCGAGTCAGAAAGGGACCATTTGTTGCGCAAGGTGTACGACGCGAAACGGCATCTACAAGACCTGAAAAATAGGCGAAGCAACCAGCATAGCTTCATGTCTCACCTTGACGCCAAAATCGCTGGAAACAAGGATTACGTATTTCCACCTACTTATTTTAGTAATGGTAGTATTCTGGGCCATCGTGGTGTTCGTGATCGTCTTTCAATGAATAAGTCTAGAAAAAAAAGTCTCAACATCTCATAATAAATTAGAGAAAATACATCCCAAGAATCACGGGAGAAGAGGTCGAGGATCATTACCTGTAGATCGTACTAAAGTCAATCAACCTTTTTCCAATCATTTCAGATCAAAGAGATGGAAGTCTTTCTTCCCGAGGCAGCAAAAGCATTAGAGGAGAACGACCAGAAAATCAAGCAGAAAAAGGAAGCGATCGAGCAGCTTCATTATGGATATCGGTGCATGCTGATGCTACTTATACCTTGTACGCGATTAAATCAGATTCTCCGTCAAGCAGGAGCAGGACAAATTTAGATTTACAACGTTTCGCTTTCGGCTTCACTGAAAGAAGAGTCATTAGCATCCATATCTTCCTGCTCTGTCATTGATGAAGGTAACGTTTGCACCAGCAGTACCAGTATGAATTTGAATATCAAGAAACAGAAAATCCCTAGCACCATAACACTCCCCCTTCCCCACTTCCTCTTGCTGAGCTTATACTCCCCGAATGGGTAAACTACTACTACTACTTGTATTCGGTTCGGATTACTACTTGATGAGACTCATGCAGGTATGCTGGGTAGAACTACTCCTGTAATGTTGTTGTCCTCGGTCGTAGTCGTAACCGTCGCAAGGTTGTAACTGACATTTTGGTTTTCTCGAGAACCTCTACCTAAGCATCATGTTGAAGCATTCTAATTTGAAAGCAAAGTCGAAGTGGCGCATTGGCAGCTGAGCAATTTTAAGAGTCAAACTGCAAAACAGCAGGCCTTCGTCCGAGCAAAAGCAGAGGGAAAGATCAATTTCATCGGACGACTTGGTACTTTCACAATAATTCCACCTAAACCTAGTTTTAGTACTTCAAGTACAAGGACGGGTCTCCGAGCAGTCGTTTCACCTATTAGTTCTGAACTATTTAGTACCTAGTAGTAGTACGAGGAAGCAGTAACCTAAGCGCTAAGAACACTGTGGAAGCACATGACTCACCAAGCGGTCACGTTCTAGAAAAACGAAAAATAACAGGAGAGCTTGAAAAACAACAAAAGCATCAACAAGCTTGGCCCGCTCTTTGTTTTTGATGTCAATTGATGAGGCTGGGCTGTGTACTCCTCTACATACTTAAAAATTTTACTCCACCAGTACTTTTGGCTCATTTATTTCAGGGGATCAATATTGACTTCTTCGAAAATGTGACTCTCAAAGTCCGTGTTAGCTTGCGATCTTTGTTAGCTAACGCTATTCGGGTTAGCGTCGGGGCATTTTTCCCATTATTTACTGAGCAGGTAAATAACCGAAATCGATTTCGTCTTCCCCTACAGGTGATCTCGCAACGATCGATGACAAATACGATGTTGCAATTACCAATGCTTTCGGGAAGGCAACTTTCGATCAAATTGTTGTGGAAACCACTGAAGACGCTACGCAGCTTGTTGATTAAGAGCAGATGGGGATGCCTCAAATATACTAGTCGAAGTTGAATGCGTACTTCTTGACACTCTAGTACTAATACCACATGCGCTTTAGTAATCTATGACGTTGAGCACCAACAGCATTCCCTGATGACTCTCTTACTCGTGATATTACGACCTAATTGTTAGTGTATCTAGATAGATTATCTGTCGCTAGTATCTCTAGATTATCTTCTGTACTGTTATCTGTACTACGCACTTGTAATTCTCTAATCTCCATTTGTGCGTCAGAATCAACATGAAATTCCGGGAAGAATAAACTGCATGTGCCTCGACAAAATGCGCCAGAACAAAAATTGGAATCGTCCACGCCCGGAAGCACCAGCCCCTCGACTTTTTACGAGCATGCTCCTTCTCTAGTGTCGTGCATCGATAGATTAATAACCTTATTTGTATTTATTACCGTCAGAACCGTAAAAAGTTTTCAACTTCAGAAATCAGAAAGTGAACTGCTTGGATTACATACTGCGCGTCTTGGATTAGGATTACATACTGCAGAGCCGGAAATCGGCATCTTCAAACTTCCAAAGGAATCCAAAAACTAAATCGATGTACGTTGAAATCCAATACCAAGATGAAGCACTTTCATGACTTACGATCTGATCAAGGTCGAGCATGAGCAAGTAAAACCTGCTTTCTACAGCATTCTCAGAGACACACTGGTCGCCGAGGACATCAAAAAAGCAGACAAGGTAGATAAATGTTCCTGATACTTCTTCTCTTCGCAGCAGTGAACGATGACCGTTACAACATTTTATCTCTGATTCTATTTACTGTATAAAGAAATTCTATATCAGAAGTAGAGGTACTGCCTTCACCAACTTCTCGAGTGATGTTACGCTAACTAATGATGATGCCAGTACTTGTACTAGAAGGTATCCTTATTAAAAACTAGACTAGACCTCAGTGAAAATCCTACGACCACCTAAAATTTTCATCCTTGTTGGGTTCTTAAACGCTATTTAATATGGTGGTAATGCACGAAAGAGATGTCCAAGGTAGCCTTGATCAATTTACCGTCCAACAGATTTCCCATGATACGCGGTCAAACAATGGGCATCGATGGAGGGTGGTCACTCTCGGGGGTGATGTCGTCGAACCGGTCGGTACGTTCGTTGGTTAAGATTGTTGGTAGTTTGATTAATAGGTATTCATGTGCATGGCGCCGGAATCCGAGGTTGTGTGAGAGATCTTCATGAGACGGGAAAGTCGTTTCCTCTGGTAGTCGCAACTACACGATTGAACCAGGAGACTTTGATAGTAGACCTGCCATTCACTAGCTCGACTTCCTTGGGGGGAGGTTCTAAATTTGGGGTGGAAAGCAGAATCCTTCGCGAGGCGGGCTGACTGGAGGCGGAGCGCAAACGTGTGAATACACGGAAGCGCAGCTGGCAGCCATGCAGCAGGACCTGAACAAAATTCTTATGACCACGTGGAACGAAATTATTTAACTGTTAAAAACAGGCAGCTACAACAAGGTGCTACGTGATTCGGCTGACCGAGAATGGCCAGTAAGTGATTATTGACATTCCCAGTTCCTTTATTGGTTGTCGAGCTCGAGATGGCCACTCCCAAAATTATCCCTACAATTGTGCCACACCTAATTTGTAGCTATACCTGTGAGGCAGGTGACGACGTGTTAACACGATTATCGGATGATCAAAGATAATCCGTAGTATTATGAGTAGTTGACTTCCTGCTTTCATACATGGCGCGGAAAAAGACAAGATGGAAGCCGAGCAACACGAACTTAAAAAGGTCTCGCTGGACGAAGAGAATACGATACACAAGCAGAAATGTGATTTGCGAGTTACGATGTCCATTGTCTCTCAGAAATACTTTCGGATCTTGTCGCTAAGGTCATCACGAACGATGACAACAGAGACCACAGCATGCATGCTCTTGAAGGCCCGTTATTGACACCTCTTTTCATGTTCTTCACAACTAGAGATATTTTTGATAGTACTTGTAGAATGCTCGCCTAGGTCTATCTAACATCCAAAATACCGAAAAGAAGAAGCAGACTGAGCTGAATTTGAAGACCTTGGAACAGCAAATCACAGACGCGGAGAAGATTGAAAGTCTCTCTCCCGAAGAACAGAGGCAAGTGGACAAGCTTGGAGGACTGGTAAAACATATCTATTCTGTACTTATTTTCGATGCAGCATACCTGTAGCACGTCTCGGAACTTTTCTCACGCTTAGTACCTTATTGAGTAGGCTAGAAATACCACCAGAAGGAAGAAGTGATAATCAGAAAACGCTGCACCAGACGCAGACTAGATCGTTGGCCGTTGCAAATAGAAGCTTCCACAAGCAAACGTTTTTACGAGTAAACGTGATAATCAAACGTTACAAGCAGACGCTAAAAGAAAAAGCCGTTGTAACAAGTGTATGCTAGATGTAAAACATCTAGACAACGAACGAGACAGAAAATAAGATGCACTAGCATCTGACTAGGTTGCGTAATGCTCTGCTTAGTCGATTAGGGATTCTTCTTCGTCCCTTTTCATTATACGCCAATAAACGATCATCCACCAAAATCTTCAAACTTTTTAGCGTATTTCCAGATCCATGCCAAACAAGGGGAGATGGGGAAGATAACGAGCCGCGAACATGAGCTGTCTGCAGCAATTGACGCACTTAAAAGTGAAATCATGAATGCTGGTGGTGACCGGCGTCGACATGCCGACGCTGATTTCCAAAAGGCTGAGAAGGAGCTCGCAAGCCTGCAGCAAAAGATTTCCAAGGAAAAAGCACAGATCCAATCAAGAAGAAAACAGGTACTACTTCTGCTTGTTCGTACAGAGAAGTATCTATAATTAGGTCTTAGTAGAGGACTTCTATGTGAATGTGAATGATTAAACCTTGGACTTCTATGTGAGTGTGCTCTTGCTTGCTTTTTCTCCCGCGTACTGACTATTTAATGGTAAGGCTCGCCACTTGTTACACTAGTACTAGGTACTTCAAACTTTTTGTTTTTCGGGCTTTTCTCAGAATCTACCAATCCCTACCAAAATATCCCATTGCAAACCAAAAACTTGAAACTGTAGGCGGAACAGCAGGCCAACGTCGTGGAGACACAACAAAAAGAACTCTTGGCGCAGGACGAAAACTAAGGCACTCCTATTTGTGTTTGCGATAATTTCGTGCTTGAATAAAATAGAAGTAGTACTAGAAGTACTAAATCAAACTTTGATGAGTCGGTAGCTAGTGTAGTGTTGGAGGTCCTACTGGTAAAATATTTTCGTGAACAGTGAGACTCATTGACCGGCTGTTCTTCTCACTTGATACTTTGTTGAGGAGAATCAATAAATTAGAATTTCATTGTTCTAAGCAAACATTGCAAACGAAGACGTGAAAGAGAAAGATGCGTTACAGAGAGGTGAAGCGCTCTTCGCGGATATGGAAGTTAAGGCTACCGCTGAAACATTCTCAACACCATCCTTGGCTTCTTTTTCAAGGGGAAAAAGGGACCAAGGATGGCCTCAGGGATGCTACGCGGTAGCGCTAAGGAAGTGAACACGAAGACGATTGATGATCTCACAAAGCTCCTGGACGATATTGAGAAAGAGCACCAGGGCTACGAGGGCGATGTGAAGAAACTCAAAGACGATCGCTTTGCGCTTTATGAAAACATGATTGTCTATTGCGCTTTATTATGAAAACATGATTACTTATTCGAAATCTTGAAATACTTAACCGAGTTGCTGACTGAAATGAGGGAGGTAGCTTTGACAGGGATACTCTTCCTTGTTCAGTATCTTGCTTATATTGATCAGTTGCTTGCTTATTTCAGTTTATCGAATATGTATTGTAACTAGAAGCTTATAAACAAAGTTCATCAAGTTGTAATTTCTATTTGTATTTTGTTGTTGCTTAGAAGTGTGAGCAGCTTTGATTAATTCTCTTCGTATGATCATTTAGCTTAATACTGTGTATCCACCCCTCTTCACCTGGTGTCTTTCGATGATTCTCTTCGTCGCCCACGTGGTCTTTATATATTGACCACATGTTTACTACAAATCTATTTTCCACTCCCTTTCTCATCATCCACATTCTTCTATTCTGAGACTCACATCTTACATCTAATTCTAAGCCTAAGCAAGAAACCCAATTTGAGTCTCCTTTCATATCTTCCAGAACCAATTGACAGAGCATGAAAAGGTGTACGAAACGCAGAAAGCCAAAACGGGCGTGCACGACGCAGAGCTCACGAAGTTAAGATTTGTATTTTTTTCTCTACTGACGAGAAAGAGCTGCATATTACAACTAGAGGTTGTACTCATGCGAGAGCGAGTTTTTTACACGAAAGAACTACAGCTGATGTCCTCGTGGACTTTCGAAGTAGATGAAGACTGAGCGTCATCAACCTAGTGATTCTAATTAACTGCAGAAAAGAATTTGCGGAGTTGCCGGAAGAGGCAGAAACCGCAATGCCCAGGCTCGACGAAGAAGATCCTTTGTCGTCTGACGATGACACGGAGGTGGAAGAACAAAAGTTAGATGCTGCTGTCGCCGACAATCCTGGAAAACAGGACCAAGCGCCTGAGCCATCGCAGCCCGAAGTGGATCAAGCTCCGACAGGCGGAAAGAAGGGTGCTGCTAAGATGAAAAAGAAGAACGATGCTAAAGGTGGGACGGGTGATAAAGGCACGGGCAAGAAAGGCGCAGCAGCAGCTGCGGGGGCTGGCAATGCACCACCGGCAAACCCACAAGAGCCGGGCAGCGGACAAGCAGCGGAACAAGTTGGGGGATCGTCAAGTAGTTCGCAAGTACCTCAATTAAGGTTGCTCACGGTAATTCACTCCCACAAACGACCGTTTTTTTCTGCAGTTTCCTTAATGTAGTTACAAGGTTCTGAAAGGATGAACTTCCTTGGCAAGTGAATCGCCGCAAGCGCTAACTCAACAAGCTGAACCTCCACAACCGAAAAAACCGAAGCGAACGCCTGAAGAAAAGCAGGCAATAGCGGACCTCAGAAGACTTATGAAGTAGACTCTTTTTCAGAAAGTGAAGATATATTTCTTTGCTGATATATTTCATCTTATTTGCAAACTTATCGACACTGACGGGCCAATCGGTGCCTTCGTTAGGGCAAGAACCATAACATTCCGTACTATCGAGCATTGCATCACTCACAATGGTCGTGCATGAGTGCGATTGGATTTTTTATGGATAGAAGAGAATATAAGCATTCCTAAAAATGTTAGTTATTCTCGACCTACTTCTATCACTCCTACATAAACCTCTAAAAAGAAGCGGCGTCTCGCGGCGGCTGTCCTAGGCGCGAACACTGGCGCAGAAGGGCGCAATCCTATCGAGGAGGACTTTCCGGAGGATATCATTGTCAGTCTCCAGAACCACACTCATGTCCTGGAGATGCTACGACTAGAGGGGGAAACCAAAACCAAGAAAAAAAATCCGAATCTCGAAGTCATCAAAGAGTACTATCCAACTTTTCTTGGATCTAGTTGTATTGTACTTACATGTACTATAATATGCAAATGCACTCGCGAATGGTAATGTTTTATTTGTACTTCTTATCTTAGCTGTAAGTCTAAGTACCAGATGTAAGGAGCGGAGATTGATAGTCGGGCAGAATCATGAGTGCCTCCTACTCATACTCTTGCTCGCATCCAAAAATAGGTACCGGCAGAAGGCGAAAATAGCTTTGAAAAGACAACTGAAATACGAGGATGCGAACAGAAGACGGGAAGAGACGCGTTTGAAGCTCGAGGACGAGAAGGCTAAAAGGAAAGCTGAGTTTATTTATGACTTGATCTGTCCTTTTTAGTTAGAGAAAAATTCATTTCTGATTCTGAACAAGGCGTGTCGTAGTATGTGTCCTACTACCATACATTTCATCATGCAGTGTGCCCTAGTATGTGTCCCTGTGCGAGTTCTATTAGCATTTCATATTTAATCATGAAGTATGTGGGATCCCTCTTTGGAATAACATATGAGAGGAAGCTTGTCTACGTCACCATTTTCCTTTCATGCTACGCTTGGCTACGAGCAGATCTCGAATAATCTGAAAATGATGTACCAGATGCTTACCATGGGAGGTGACGCAGAATTTGAACTGGTGGAGCAACACGATCCTTTTAGTGAGGGCGTCGCGTTTTCCGTCAGGCCGCCGAAAAAAAGTTGGAAACAGATCCAGAACTTGAGTGGTATCAACGACGTGTTGCATTCTATCCATGTATATTAAGGTAATGCACATCAATGCATAAGTTGGCCAGGCTTGTGATGAGGCCAAATACTACCCCGGGGAGAGGGTCGACACGCGCGCTCTGGGGGGCACTAGACGACATTCCACCGGCCACAGTTGCCACCTCTTTGCAGTGAAATAGGGCTAGGGGCGCGGGGAGTGCTTCCTTATTATTGCGGTGTCCTTGACGAAGCCGCGCCGTCTCGAGTTCGTAGCACCCCTGCCCGCGGTAACGCTTCCCCATCAGGATGAGACGCAACGAAGGGGGAGGGGGGGCGCGGATGCTTGTGCGTTCAGCGCCTCCCTGGCTCCGCTTGTAATGTAGTAGTCCCCCTGCCTTCCCTGGAAGGCAAGGGGGTGGAGCGTGGTGAGGGCAGGGGTGAGCGCCAGGCGATGCCGCTTAGCTGGTTGATAAGAGACGTGAGACAAGGCGAGGCACACTGACAGCGCGGGCCAGCTTGTCGCCTCTGTGTTTGGCCCGGGTGTTCGCCTTGGCTCACGACGTGGCTACTGTTATGGGCGGCGTGGCTGACTGTTGGAAGCTTCTCCGCAGCGGCGGCACGGAGTGCTACCGGATGGGCTTGATGCGTTGGGAGGCGGCGCTGGTCTGGTCTGCTGCGTCGTGGGATCCAGCAAAATTGCTGTGAAGAAGATAGAAGCACGGCGGCGGGCGTGTGCGGGTGAGTGCTGCGCCGCGCTCGTCTGAGTGGATAGCACTGGAGGAAGCCCGCGGAGAAGTTCACCGCCGCAAAGGTCTGACACTTGTGCAAATAAAGTAAGAGAGGCCAAGCAAGCAGCGGCAAGTGGGGCCGCAGTTGTTTCATTCTGCGCGACTCGGTCAGCGATGGGACGGCCAGAAGTCGCGCGTGCTCGCTATCTTCGTCTTCGAGGGGGCTGCGTTTCGTTGCTTGGCGCGTGGACTGGTGGAAAGCCATAGCCTTGGACGCGTGAGCAGGCTCGCCTCTTGTTGTTTGTAAAGGAGAGTGCCCGCCGGAGGGGAAAAATGCCGAAGCGTTGTCGGGGAAACAGTTCGGAGGTGCTACGTGGCTTGTAGGTGGGCGCCGGCTGCAGCTGGGTGCCGTTGATGGGGTGTGTTGTGAGGACTCGCACTCGCCTGCAGTAGCATACGTTACAACTAAGGGGAAAGCAGGCAGACGGCTGCGCCGCGCTCGTCGTGTCGCCGGTGTGTCGTTTCACTTTCAAGGCGGTGCGTTTCACTCTGGCTGGCGATTGTGTTTGGCTGAGTGGCTTCGCAAGTCATTGTCATTGCGAGCGCCATCAGGGTGGGAAGTGGCGCTGCCAGGGTGAGGCGTGGGCGTTTGGAATTTATTATATTAGGAGTGGAGCTGGCAGGCGGCGGTGGGTCTTGACGTTGAGTCATGCCATACGGTAGGGATGGAGGAGGAGGCAGGGGGCCAGCCCCGCCGAAGGGCGAGCGTTTGCGTGTCGTTGTTGGTTGTCTTGTTTCTTTGCTTGTTGTGTTCTTTCTGCTTGCCATCATGCTGAGAGCTGAGGCCGAGGGACACAGAGGGAGCGCGGCGCCGCTTGTGGCTTGCGAGCTGCGTCGCACCTTTTTGTGTTTTTGTCGTTGTCTTGTTTTGTTTGCGCACCGTAACGGCGTGCAAGCTGCCTTCGCCTGGGCGTGCGCTTGCGTTAGCTCCAGAAGAAGTAGGGACTTATATATAAGGCATCGTCTGCGCGGTATAGTATTGTATGGGCATCAAGGGGCGCAGCAATAGAATAGGCTGCCGGCCTTGATCTGTCTGCTTGTAGTTTGTCACAGATCTTGTCTCCGGTCTGTTGCTTCTATTCTTGTTCCCACGCAAACTCTGTACTGATTTCTTGTCTTGTGTGTCGCCCGCTTCTGCTTCTGGTGTGTGGTTTATTTTCGTGCCTTCTCCTGAAAGACAAAGATGTGCGCGTGATTGTTTAGCACTATGATTGAATAAGCCCAAACGCGTTGTTGACTCACCAGAGAACAAAGAACTTCTTTAGCCGAGTAGTTCCTACCACCTAGCATCTGTTTTATAAATATATATTTGCAATTGACTTCTTTTTAGGCATCCTTACCTATTCTTTAATGTTCATCTCCATGGTTCTCGCCATCAGGTGGCGAAAAGACCTTGGCATCACTATCCTTGGTGTTTGCGTTGCACCAGTACCGACCAACGCCGCTCTACTTCATGGACGAGATCGATGCAGCGCTAGATACCCGCAACGTCGGCATCATCGCACAGTACATCAAACGGCACACGAAAAATGCGCAATTCATCATCATCTCCCTGCGAAATCAAATGTTCGAGCTTGCGGACTACCTGGTCGGCATTTGCAAGGTCAACGATATCTCGAATTGCACCACGCTGAGTCCGGGTGAGTGGGTTGTTCCGCCTACAATCCAGCGCCACTCTTTTGGGGGCGATAATTTTAGCATCGATCCGATTCGCGAACCTCTGCCGATCTTGAATGCTGTCTCACAGTCGAGCAAGCAGGCACCAAAATTATGGTAGATTGGCTTTTGAGTGTTTTGTTCATCATCCATTCCAAAGTTTATGCAGCTCGAGTATAATATATGTACCAGGGAGAGAGGCCCCCCCTGTGGATGGATCTGTGGGCAGCACAGTGGTGGAAGAGCGACGAGAGCAGAACGAGGAACGAGAGAAGAACAAGACCGAGAGCAGAACGAGCGACGAGAAGCGCCCACCCGTGACGTGGTCGCCTCTGGCATACCCATCCACAGGGGGAAGATAACGGCAAAAAGAGCCGAAAGAAGGGAGGCACTCGCCTGCCCCGATCTGTATAGCACACACGTCAAATCGGTATAGCACACACGTCAAATTCCTTGGTTGGTTCCTTGGTTGGTTGTGGTTCGTTGCTTGCTTCGTTGCTTGCTTCGTTGGTTGGTTGGTCTGTAGGGTACATGCAAGAAGCCCGAAGGGCTCAGAAGTGGGCGCTTTGAGGCCTTCCCGCCCGGCAGCCCCTCGAAAAGAGGGGCCGGGGCGGGGAGGCCCCCCCCCTCAACAAGTTAGATCGGGGAGGGGGCCTCCCGCCCTGAGCCCTGGACCATATATAAGGAATATTCATATTCCTGATATTCCTGAAAATACTTAGACTTACTAGTGTACTCGGCTGTTATAAGTAAAAAGTAGAACATATAGCAGGGTTATCAACATGGGACTTCGCTAATTTCAGTCAATGACAACGCTGCTGGCGCAGGTGGTACGAATAACACAGAGAGGACCAGAAAACGGAAAGCCGCTGCCGACTCCATCCAGGTGTAAGTGTGTAAGACCATTGCTATTAAGATGTAGGGCAGCCAGAAGTTGAACTTCTTGCGCCCTGCCCTCAAGGAACGCACACTAATCACTTCTTTCATTCACATGAAATTACTCATTCAAGAACTTCCATTTTAACGTTAGACTGACCAAGCGTACTTGCGATGTAGCATTCGAAAATATGATCATTACGTTTCGCGAGACGGGTTTCATAATATGCAATCGTTCCGGAAAAATTATCGTTTTCAGTTGTTGTTCTGTTTGCCAGAAGTGGAAGACTCAATATCAAGATCTCACTCTTTAGTCCATTTTAGTTTTACTGTTTTTTTTACCGGTATACCTGACAACAAGCGATGAAACTGCTGTCCTGGTACTACACCACGACACGCAGTTGCGTCACACAAGGATAGCGTCATGAAGATACATACTTAACAAGATCAGTTACCTAGTCATTTTTTTGCAGTCTATTTAACGCTAGCCATAGCCTGTCAAATAGCGTTACTCGACAAAGTGTGTGCGTTCAGGAAGTATCTGCATTAACTGTATCATTCAACAAGTGTGTTGTGCGTTCAGAAGTACACTTTCTGTTTCTCTTTTTTTTCTGATAGATAATAGTATGCATTGCAAGGGGAATCGAAGAGGAACATCATAATTAATGACTAGAATACTACTACTCTTTGTGGCCGCCTCGAAGATTCTTCATTCTACATTAGAGGCTGTGAATGTTGATTTTTGTCATCTGTCCTTTTATTTCATAATTGTCATGTCGTGGTCATCCCCTTGAATTCGATGTTGCCCAACAACAGGAGTGTGTCAAAGGTAGTGCTGTAAGGAATTACATTGCTGCCATAGTAGCTAAACTACATACTTGTATTTTGTCTACTTGGAGTCGCAGCTGCGGGGAGGTCGGCGCCCTGTGGGGGCAACCTGATTGATTGGTCTACTACTATGGATGGCCTTTAGTGGGCTAGGTCAGCGGGAGCACAGGCGTGCTCGCAAGCACAGCCCAAATTTGGCCCTGGGTCTGTTTTAGTTCCTCTGTTATCCAGCACCGCCGCTCGTAAGGCGGCCGCATACAGTTGACTGATCGGGCCCGGAAATAAAAGGCCTGACGCGGAGCTTTCTAAGAGAAAACGCTTGCGGCGCAGTATGCCCATCTTTCTTCGTTCCAGGTTCGCTCATGCGCAAACACTCTGCCACTGTAAGTTTTTTCCAAAAACAAGATTTCTATACATAGTGGTCATTCAGAATGCCAGCGAAAGTATAAAGAGGGCGGAAAAAGCCAGAGAACGATGACATTGATAAGAAGAAGAACGCAAGAGTGGTCGGATGTGATCTTCAAGCTGACCACGTTATTAAGCGAGTAGTCTCTCTGTAACAACTCACGAAATCTGTGTAAGTAAGTGGTCTTTGAGTGAAAGAGCACAAAGAAGTGGAAAACTAGAAGTCAATGGCCGTTTTTGAATTCTGTTTGGGAGACAGAGGGAAGACGCGGCTCTACCTGCTTCAACAGGAACAGCTTTTACAAAATATATGGTCATTCATGTAACATAGTGCGCCCCCGAAGAAAAGATGAGCAAAATCAGATTACGTGAACAAGGTTAAAGATCGGTTTTCACGCGCTCGATGGAGCTGCAAGAACAGAGGTTGCATTTGAGCATCTTCTCACCAAATAGTCTTACGTGAACCCCTCGCAGCTATTCACAGCCATCTTTTGACATTCATTAGCACGTCGTTGTCGTATAGAAACAGTGTGAGGAGGGCGAACGCACGCGAAGTCCTCCTATTAACAAACATGGATCGCCTGTGAGCGGCAGCACGCGATCCAGGAGTATATTCGCGGATATACACACACGAGCGTCTTTAGCGGCTGCGGTAAACGCCTAATCCCCGTACCTGCGCCCTATCGCTGGCCAAGGGAAATCACGAGCACGACAATAATTCGAAGATCGTCGCGTGCGTCCGATGATGCTGACATCGTTGTCGCCAACGTTCCGTTAGAATCGAAGCGTGGCTGGATCATTTGCTATCGACTGATCCTTTTTTTGCGCATACCGCATGAGCTCATAGCATTGAGCTCAACTCCAGAAGCATCGACAAGGATATGGCGGACGCCGAAGTGCAGGAGGAGGAGGCTCCGCCAGAGCCGGAGCCCCCTTTCTATGAGCCTGGCAAAGGAACGATAGCGAATGAACTGGAGCTTCTCTTCGACGACCTTTATCCAGACAATTCTGTCAATCTCGCGCGCACACAATTAGCTGGAGGTAGTGCGAGCGACTTGTTCTACCCCTAGAAGTAGTCAGTTCCTCTAACCTAAACCTTTACCTAGTATTGGAAGAATTTGTAATTTCGATTGATTGTACTACAAATTGTACCTTGCTTTGATGCCTTGCTTCATCCATGGCTAGGCATCCTTACTAACTTATAATATGAATACGTCTTCTTTCTGCGGGTTGGGAGTATTGTCCTACACACTAGGCATTCAAATCACACAGGCGAAAATGAAGAGGGAGAGGAGGAACTTTCGCCGGAGGCGAAGCGGGCGCTCCAGGATATTGATGTACAAGCAGAAAACGAGACGGTCAAAAAAGCGAACGCTGCGCTTAAAGCGGAAGAGAAGCGCCTTGAAAAAGTCAAGGAATATCTGAACGAACAGAGTATTCTTACATCTTTGGAAGGTCGACCTTAGTTTGATAGAATGACTATCACTCTTCTCAATGTCGATCTCTTTATGTGATGCCGGGTCGGCGCATCGTCGGTGAAATGTAAACCTTCTTTGCGCACACCCCAGCTGGTGCGCTGGCCCTTTGGCCGAAGCCTTTGAAATTGAAATTGAAATTTGTTGTGTGCAAAAAGTGCTAAGCTATGGTGATGCCGCAGTAATTTGATAATTGTAGTTCTTTCATTGCGTCGTTGATCACACCAAATACCAGAGGCGCAAGCGCATGCGGATGACCTCCAGGTCGAGGATTACCTCTTGTCACAAGGGCTGACTCTGAAACATCAATATCCGGTAGGAGACACGCTGTACCGGGTTGCACAAGAAAAAATAAAGCCAGATAAACTCATAGATCCGCATGATGCTGTTGTTCCGGTACTTTGCGCGTAATTCTGTCAGCAATATCTGTGACACCATATTGGCAATATGACTTTCTTTGTTGTATTTACTTTTGCCTGTAGTATGAAAGAAGTCCTTATGGCAGAAGTTGCAGTTCGTGGTCTGACACCCTCGCGTTCAAATCCTCTGTACCTATCATCTCCTTTTTATCGCTAAAAACAGGTTCTCACCGAGCAAGCCATCGCGACAGGCGCGAAGAAAAAGCATCCCAATTATCTGCTGGGAGCTAAGCCCGAGGCGCCGACATATTACAAGAACACCGCAAGTTTGGCGATAAGAAAAGAGGTTCGAGGAATCACGGCTGTGTACACGGAAGAGCAGAAGCAGGAGCTCCTGCAAAGGCATCGTATAGCTAATGTTTTTTCAGCAACGTCAACTTGAGATTTCGGGCATCAAATTTTTTACGCAGGATGCGTTGCGATGCAAAGTGTCATGATTTGGTCGGGAATGAAACACGGTGTTGTAGCTGCGTTAACCTTTGCCTGTTCGAACAGGAAATCTCTATGCACCCTTCATAGGCACACGACCAACGCGACCTCGAGCCAAGGTGCTGCCAGCAGCCGAGCGAGAGCACAATGCCCAAATTTTAAAACGCATGGCCATCCCAAGCGACTTCCTGAGAAACCCTCGCTACGTGCCGCAAAACGAGGGGAAGTGCCCCTTCCGCATCACGCCACCGGAAGTTCTCTTCCGCGGCTATGAAGTAGGCTCAGTTTACGAAATCAAGGTTGAGTTTCTCAACCGGGAAGGACTTGGAAGGCGACTCAGGTAATGAGAAATTCGTCTTTTAAGCGTTACCTAGAAGTAAAAGATATAATCTGACTCTTCCTCTAGTTCAAGTAAAAAACACCGGCGCACGCCTCTCCTAAGCGGACTCAGAGCGGAATTCATATCGCTCGTTCCGAGTTTCCTAACACCATAGATTGATGTTTGTAGCTTCTCAAAAAATCAAAAATCAAATTTGGCCGCTCGCTTCATCCAGGCTCGTTCCGATGCAGACTCAAGTATTTTCAGTTTCAAGTGGCTTCACCTACGAAAATCGGAATGTTGGAAAGGATGCCTCCATAGCTCCCGGAATGAAAGCCCATCTCTCCATATGGTTCTCTCCGCTAGACCTCAATGATGTAAGCGAAGTTCTTTACGTCCAGACCGAACAGGGACGGTTTCCGATACCACTCAATGCGAGAAGGGTACTTCTGCTATGAGAAGGAAATGGAATATCTCTCTAAACTTCTTGCGTAGTCAACATCACATTCACAGTGATGAAAACTGTTGATTGTATTTAAGTATTTCGTATTTCTTCAACTTACTCCTTGTTTATCGTTACAACTACTACATTCAGTTTCAACCGGAGATCGTGGTCGAAGAGAATCCTGTGGACCTGGGTTGCGTTCGAGCTGGTGGGTTAGTAGAGAAAACGATTATTGTGAGAAATATAGGGGGAGAAGGTGCTTTTCGCTTTGTGCAAGGTGCGGATACGGGCGGTGGCGGAGCAGCTTTACCTCCAATTCTCACAGATGAGGATGAAGAGGGCTCCGAGTATGGCGAAGGGGGAAGAGAGTCTCAAGTTATGTTAACAGATTGTTTGAAAGGTTAAGTAGACAAGTACTTAGTATTACTATTAGGAACCTTCTAGTACTAGTTCTAGGACTAGATCCCTTCGCGGAGTTTCCTTAAATAAGTACAACGTCTTGGTTCTTGTGTTTACAAGTCTAATTCTCCAGCCGCACATGCATACTACGACGTGGGCGATGCGAATAACATTGTTTTTGTCCAAGGTGCATTTCGGATATCACCGGCTTCCTTCTACCTCGAGCAGAACCAGGCAGTAGAGGTCACCTTCGCCTTCAAGGACATGCCGTCAGTCCCGATCGGCGTGTCAGAACTACCGTGGATTTATGAGACAGAGCTAATGAGCATTTCGAAGGACAACAGGCTACTTACGCAGGTTGTTGTTGTCAGGTTGTGATTGTGTTGTTGTCGGCGTCGGGTAGTTGGCATGCTACAGTCAAACAGTGCAAGAACTGCAAGCACATGAGGGACGTAGCATTTCGAGCAGACTAGACCCTTCATCTTTTTTCCACTTCTTCATAGAATTCTGGAGGCGAACAATTTTACTTCGGTCGCTGGCAGCGTGCGTGTGTTAGTGGACACATTACGGATAGAGCTACTCGCCTTTGCAAAGGAACAAGATGCCAGCCTTCAGCGGACCCTGAAGGAAGACAGGCCATCATCAAAAGAGGCCCCGGGAGAGACGCAGTTGGCTGCTCCAACCTCAAAAATACCACCAGACGCAAACTTTAGCAACATGCTGAAACCGGTGCGAAGAATTCCTACCCGTACCCCATATTTGAGTACAGGAGTACAGTGTTGATTTGCGCTTTAGTTAGGAATCCTGAACTATGACATCAACTATGTTCATCTTAAAGATAGCAACACAATAATGAAGTTCCACCCCTAGCTAACATCAACTGAACTTTCAGAGAAAGAAGTGTGGGGCGCCTTGCCTTGGCAGCTTCGGTTCGAAATTCAGCTTCCGGCTGAGGAGTCTCTGCCAAAGCATGTCGTGCTGTCGAACGGAAGCTATCTGCCCATCACCGTCCAGTGGGTCTTCGTCACACCACCCCCACAAATCGCTCAGGACATTGTCAATGGCGCTAGACCAGTATTGGACCAAAGAATTTTGGAGGATTAAGGCAGTAACACTGGGAATAATTCAAGGAAACGCAGTCACGCACACGCTGGGGGTAAAACAAGAAACTTGAAGGAGGAGGTACTGATCTTAGAGGTAGAACCTCAACACAGTTTCTAATTCTAATCGATCATCAAGGGAGAAGAGGTATAACAGAATGATGATTTTTACCTCTAAGCAGACGTGGCAGGTTGGAAGGAGATTCCTTCGGAGCAGGCACCTTTCCGCATAGAGCCGGCAAGGCATGTGATTCAACCGTGGGAGCACTCGCAATTCGAGGTCGTCTATACCCCGTTGCAGGCATCGTCAGACACGACCAGTCGACGGACACAAGGACGTCATAATGTGTTTGCGTATTTGTGTGTCGTAGAAGACCGCTGCGAGAAGGCCTGCAGCACTGTCGGAGAGCAGTTGTTGATGCAGGAAAGCTTGCAGGAAGAGAATTTCAATCGTGGAATCCCACTAGCGGCAAACAAGTGGCATGAAAGGTTTTCTATTTGGGGTAGCGTAGTCAATAATAGCAATGCATAGAAGAGAGGACCGACATTATGCACTTGTTAGCAAGACTAAAACCTTTTCACTCCATTATTTTTAACTTCCGACATTTACAACTACTAGGCTCGCGTGGATTACGCCAGATTCTTACGTGCCCGCCAAAGCGGCCGATCCGAAAGCTATCACCATGTCGAAGCATGACTACTCTTTGCAGGCGCCCCCCGAACCTGAGAAGAGCAGCGTGTGCATAATGTACGCGATGAACCTCATGCTAAGGCGAGTGATAGTTGAGTTTCTGATAGATAAAGAATTCGCATTAGCAGGTGGATGCTTAACATGTAGCTTTTCTAGTTTCGCTGCAAAGGGGGACTCATGATCTTGCTCCGTTTTCTAACTTTGGGCTCGCAGCTGGCTCCGTCTGTGACGCTGAGTCCGAACATGGCTGCTTTCGGAAATGACGTTTTGCCGTTTCTCACCTACCGCGCGAGTGTGACGTTGTCGAACATGGCGTCGCAGCCGATGCAGTATCGCGTGCGCACCACAAGGCGAAAGCGGGAGCTGCGCGTCGCGTCCACGGAGGTCAAAACAGACTACTACCCAGTCCTATGGGTTGTTGGAGCAGAAGAGATTGCAGAGAGTGCGCCGATGCCATCGTGGCAGGACATGGAGCGGCCCAACGTGGAGCACCGCGAGGAGGCGGAAAGACTAGAAATGTATTCCACGTGGTATGCGAGTGGGCAGTGGCCGCCCCTGCCACCGCCACTGCGGGGTCCGAAGATCGGGCCAGACGAGCTCTCAGGGAGTGTGGTCGAGAGCATTGATGGGGAAACGAAAACGAAGAACATGACTGCAGGAACAGTGCCGGTTGTCGCGTCGCTCGTTCCTATGCATCATTCGAATCTTCCGTGTGGCACCGTTGAGCACCTCTCTCCGCGGGGAAAGACCACAAAAGCAATAGTATCATCTGAAAGCGCAGGTCCTATGGGCGGCACATTAGGCGACGCGGCAAAAGCGCCGGGTCAAACAGAGGGGGTGAAATTATGGAAATCCTGAGTGATCAATCGCTTGTTGCATAAATCCTGTCACAAGCTGTCGTAGTCAACATTTCCTGTAAATTACAAGCACAGAGTTCGTTCACATCAGGGTAAACACTGTAACATCAGTACCGACAATTATATTATAACAACAAGACTGCACATCAATCTAAGTAGGCCAGAGGACGGGGATGTTGGTCTGCTGCCTCGTGATTCTGACGTGCGCGAGTTAATCAAGTACCCCATGGATCCAAACCGAAAGACACCACAAACGGAACTAGAAGTCCTGGGTCGCAGCCTGGCCCAACTGGATATGGAGAACGATCTACAAAAAACAGGTGAGTTCGAGGAGTATCTAAAGACCACGCAGATGAGTCTGAAGCAACTGCTTCCCGAAGAAGAGCAGGCAAAAATAGTTTTCAGCAGTGATGACCCTGCGGTGGAAACGAAACGCACATTTTCCCTACAGAAAGAGAGAGAACTACTGCCTTTTCGAGCAGCTGGTCTGCTCGAACCTGGACAGTTGAATGGCAGCGTAATGCAAATGACGGCAAATAGCAGTCTCATGGGCACAACTGCGCACCAACTCCTTCTAGGCAAAAAGGAATACGATGAGGGCTTTGGCGCCCTTGGAGTTCTAGGTGTGTATCCAGAGCAGGGAGCCGTTAGGCCAGCAGCAAATGGAAAAATTATGGCAGAATAAAATTGCGATTGGTTCGTGCAGCAAAAGTTGGCAAGCTCACTGAGAGGAGCGAGGCATTTCAATCTAGGTTTCTCGTTACCGTTTGATAAACAGTTACTTCACGTGAATCAAAGACTTGCACGTGACGATAATGTCTTCTTTCATACCCAAAGGCGAGGTCGAATTGCAGTTGTACTTTAGAGCAGCATGCGAGTGCGATTTGGACGCGATTGTAGAGGTGGAAGTTGGCGAGGCCGTCTTTGCGTTTCGAGTGGTAGCCGCCGCCCGATCCCCAAAGCCTGTATTCCGGACTTGCGCCCTCCTCGATTTCGGCATCGTACATGCGAAAGAGGTGCATTCTTTGAAGATGGAAATCGCAAATCCCAGTGACCTGCCGACAATCGTGAAAATAGCATCACTCAATTTAAGACTGATCATGGCGTCGGTGCATCTTCTGTCTTTAGATCGTATAACAGTAGTAGCTATCCATGCATGTCGAGTTCTCTTTTTCCTAGTAGGTTTTACTAGAAGGTAGAAGCACTTGTTCCACGTGGTGCGCATTCATCGTAGAGTTACACATCAAAAGCACGTCCTTCTTCTAAGTGTTGCAGGCTCTTCGCGAAAGAACGAACAGGTTGGCGGCTCGTCGTCTTCTTCCTCGAAGCATGAAAAAGACGCACTAGCGACTCTCGATACTAATACGAACAACGCGCTTGCTCAGCGAGGGAAGGAGCTATCATTAGAAGAATTCGAGCGGGACAGAAGTGAGTTTTACCGCCTTTTCCCGACGCATGCGGATTTGGTAGCGACCTTTAGGCGGCAAGCCGAAAAAGGGACGTTATCAGCGGATGGCAGCCAAGACGCGTTCGAGGAAGCGCTAGATTTGAACAATATAGCGTCAGCAGGGACGACAGAGAAGTCACGAGCACTAGCAAACGAGGGACCTTTGTGCATCGGCAATGTAACAACTGCAATAAAAATGAATCCGAAACCGGACAGGCTCAGTTTTTTTCCGGAATTCGCGCTCCTACCGCCGAAGGGGAAGAAGGAAATATTTGTAGCATTGCGTGCCGGGGGAGAAGAAAGGATAGACGAACTGGCTAGAGTACTAGCATACGGCGCCCCGACGACAGGTGCGGGAATAAAGTTTCTACACGACAAAAAATTGAATTAAGCATGCATACACATCTTTACCAGCAGGTGCTACTAAGGAAAAACAAAAATGTCACTACGACGGATACATGTTCATTCCTAAACCAACATTTTTCTCCTAATACGGTGGGCTCCATTATTACGTATTTTAGTCGGGTCTTTGTCTTATTCTTTTTCTTATAAGAAAGAGGTTCATCTCACTCTCGAGTTGGTACATAAATTCGAATTGGAATTGCATCTTTCTCTTACTCTTTCTCCGACAGGTAACTTATTCATGCAAGTGCTGGCTTCGGTTCAGGTGCCAAAAGTCGTGTGCAATAAAAGCCACTTTCACTTCCCGATCACCTACACTGGGAAAATCAGTGACGATAAATTTGTGCTCAAGATGCGCAATATTGCGGGTCTAGCGGCGCCTCTCAGGTGGCGACTTCCGGAGAAAGACGTCGCCCCCCTTTTCGTAACTCTCACTCCGATGGTGGATGGTGTACCCATCGCGCCTGCAGGCGACGAAAGCGGAGACGAGACCCTTGCCTTGAATTACGGCCTTTGATAATTCTTTTTCTAATAGCTGCACAGGAGAGGTGCGTAGAAGAACTTCGTTTAACCCTACACTTGTACACGCGTTCCCGAATACTCCGTGATCCATTTCTCCTTCTAAACTAAGCCCGACTTTTCTTCGTATATGGACGTGATTCGTCCGGAAAGCGCAATCGAGTTAGAGGTACGGGTGACGCCGCAGGTGCAGTTAAGGGCAAGGGAGTCGCGGGAAACGCGTGTAGATGTGATGGTCGAGATTGCAGGCGTTCCGTTGCCGCTGCGAATCACCGTGACGGCCGTTGTTTTTGGCCTCGAAGTGGACTACCTAGTACGGTCACCAGAGGAGGAACAGCCCTTCCCCGACATACCATATTTGCGACTGCCGCGGTCGATTCTGACAGAAAAGCAGCTCCGGTCGACACACTGCCATCCAGTATTCAATTACGGAGTTGCTGAATGTCTCAGTTTATTCGTAGCTACTGAGTATAGTTTAGCTCTACCTCTATTTCTGCGCCTAAAGTCGGAGTTAAAGAACACATCCATCAGTCTTAATGTGCCACTGTGTAGACTGGTAGATTGTGTGACTTCTCTAGTTTTCAACTACATGAGACATCGACTCCACAGTCCTTCTTCTCTCCTCTAACTCTTGGAGCTAGTTGAACTTCCAGCAGGCACATTCGGTGGGCGCTCGCAGGGTATTGGCACGCGGTCACAAACAGCAACACGGACGGCAACGCTTTCCACATCCCTGAAAACTAGGTCGGGGACAGCCTCGGCCGCTCGTAGCGCAAGCGGAGCTAGCGGGTCTGCGCTCACTTCTTCATCGTCTGCGCGACGGAGACAGGAGCAGTTCAATAGCGGCCCCACACTCGACTCCAAAGCCCTAGACTTTGGACAAATGCCTCTACTCGCGAAGCGACACCTGAGACTTATACTCTACAATCGAACAGGCATCCCGGCCAACTGGACGGCGCACATGGGCAAGTACAAGGCTTACGTACCCCCGTCTAGTCCGAAGAAGAAGATCCTGTCTTTGGCGGGCGGAACGGGAGCAGGCAGCTTGACACTAAGACAGTTGAATACACGTTTTTCATACAGATGATCATAGCACCATGGTAGATCTGGCGCACTACAAACTGAGTAAAAGTAAGTCTAACAAGTCCTTATTTTCATTAGTACTTTATGAAGTCGCATGCCTCGCCCTCCGACCCGGCACCTCTTCTAATGCTAGACTCGCCAACAGCGGCGCCAATGGATGCCTCTGCAGCGGCATCGACATTTTCCGCACAGCCTCAGGGGAAGCTAATTTTAGACGACAAGCATGAGTCCCAAGTTTTTAGCAGTGCTATGGGGATCGAGTATGCGCAACAGAAACTTTCGAAGGAGGCTGGAAGCCTTAACCTCAAATATGGTCTGGGCTTCGCGGTGGCACTCGAGCCGTCGCAGGGAAGGCTGGAAGGTTTTGGGGTGCAGGTATTTTGAAAATCAAAGTTGATGTCTTCTGAACTCGTAGATAGGAGAACGAATCCGAGACTAAAAGCTTGTAGCGTAGTGCATGCCAGTGCTGCGTCGTAGGTAATTATACTGCGCTCGCGCGAAGTGTGCGCCTCGTAGAGTTACTTGGTGCCGCGCGCTCCCCCGTGGGGGCAGCCCAACTATGAGAGTCACCATCTGACGGTAGTTCTAGACTCAGTTCTATTTTTCTCCTTGATCTTAATCTTTATCATTATCAATAAACAAAAACATCATCGATCAGGTCATCGACTGTTATTGCTATTCTGACTTGCCTGGCACTATGACGGATCATGTGCATATCCGCATTGGCTCGCTGCCGGAGTTTCTAGTGGATGCCAAGGTCGTTAGTGTGGGTAATCCTTTGTACCTAGTACCCTTGCAGATTGGGTTGAATCTGAACGAAGAGCCTGAGGAACAAAGGGAGAGCGAATATCCAGAGCTTTCTTTCGGCACGCTCGTGCTCGCTGATAGGACCACGAGGAGGAGATTGAGATTAGGCAATCTCAGCTCCGCAAATATAGACGTCGAATGGCGATTCGTAAAACAAAAAATGCTAGAAGATCCGGACAACAGAGCGGGTCTCTCAGCCATGGTGCTTGCGGACGAAGAGGCGGCGGGCGGAAAAGGTTCACATACATACAGATACTGATTGGCGTGCTGGGAGTTGTGTATTTATCGCGCAGCAACTTTGACTTTGTGAGCAGTTGAGGCACTCGAGGTTGTGGTAGAAGACGAGTCGGAACTTTACAACACGCAATGCGTTCGTTTCTTTCAAACATTATCATTCTTATGCACGGTTTTACTTTTCGTTTACTTGTACTAGTTTTTCAGACCGACGGACGGCTATGTCTTCTAACAGAAAAAGCCTCTTGACCTTGTACATCTAACAGACAGTCCGAGCGAAACAGCATGTCCTTTCAATTGTAGTCCCCTCACCATACCACAGATGATTGCAGATGGACTGTAATGGGCGTAGACCCTGATCCGGAGGTCCACGAGCCGTTCAGCATCATGCCAAAACGGTTCACTGTGAAAAAGCACTCCGTAGCCGACTTTCAGACGAAGCTGCGGACAGACCATGTCGGAAAATATCATTACATTATGAGAAGAAAACTGGTCAAGCTTGAGTCGTGAGCTTTGACTATTTGATGTTGTGTCTTTTTCATGCATTAGTCGAGCTAAGTTTAAGCGAGAGAGCGCAAGCGCTTATCATCACTTCATCTGTCTCGAAAGTGAGCCACCGAAGGAATCCACTCTAAGAAGAAACTAGTAGGCGTCGGCCGGTATTCGAAGACCCCGTCAACCGCGCCGAGCAGTAGCAGCGAAGTAGAGGGCCTTGGAGCCACAACAGGAGTAGCAGCAGACACGGAGGAGCTTGTGCTACCTCTTAAACCGCCAAAGAATGAGGAGACAGCAATGGTGGAGCAGCTGCCGGAACTAGAGCTAGAGTAAAGTCTTGTTACCGACGTTAACTTCGCGCTATTGCTTAGATGAAATAGAATCTGAATCGTGTTCATGAGAATATCAGCTCACACTCTCAGGCTTGTGCTTGTCTTGCTGATCGGTTTCTTTGCGGTACCACAACCTGGCACCACCGCATCGCAACCTTTCTCAATCAGGAACCTGGCAGACTCTGACTCGGATAACAGTGAGCAGGCACTTGATGATATGACGTCAAACGCCGCGAAAACAGCAACGAGTCTATTCGAAGAAGAGGACAAGCCGAGAGCAAGGATACTAGTCGGAGACTCAGCAGCATCAAGTAGCACCTCTCGAGGACAGAGAAATATGACATGGATCTAATCGTGGAGAACATGCACTAATAAATACTGAATAGATACGAGCTCGTCAAATTGTAAGTGTATCTATTTAGATTGATAGTAGGTTTTCCTGAACAAGGTGTTGCTGTTGGTCAACATTTCAGTTCGCCATAGTTCTCATCAACCCCTTCATATCGCAGAAGCCAAAGAAGAAGGAAATCCCGCAGAGCTTTGTGCAACAGGTGGTTTCGACAGTTTCAGTCGAGTGTAACGGAGAATGCGTCATTCCTACACTACATCTCTTAAGGCGTTTCTTTGATGATTCAACATTTGCTTTGTCTAGATTTTGCTCTCTGAGAGTGAGGAGATCGGTACCCCGGACATGTATCCGCACGATCGTTCTCGTTGCTTCTTCTCAACAGACTCCGTAATTGCACTCCCGGATACGGATTTCCAAGGAAAGAAAAATAGGCGTAGGCAGGATACGCCCTCGAGGAAAGTATATAGAAGTCGTGGAACAGCTCTAAATCTCGATAAGAAGTTGAATCCGAGCTACGCAGAGCCGGTGGTGAAGTTCTTTTATCAGACACTGAATCCAATACCAAATCTACACACAAAGAATCGCGTCGGCGCAATAGTAGTTGGTGGAGGCAACCTCGACCCTGCACCAGGGATTGCTCTTGGTACAAGTGGCAACTCTGCTTTGACTGTACTTAGGCTTAGACCTGGTAATTGAAAGAACTGGAGGTAAAATTTATTCCTGCAATTCCTTTGAAATTCTGAGTCCTCTACTCTATCCGACTCCATCCTCGTATCTTGTTATTTTTACAAACGAGTAATCGAGACACCCAATCCCCTAAATGTCAGGTCTCATCCGTAAGGTGTCTTTTACGCAAGAGATACCAAGTTTTGTGCATTGTCGGTTCAGAATAGCACAGGGGCGTTTCCGAATTCTGAAACTAGAATTACCAGGGAGACAGGCAATTTTAGGCCCCTTCTTGACCAAGCAGCAGGAGACCGACGACCACTTCAAGGTCTGTCTGAAGCCACGCGATGTAGCAACGCTTTTGATAGAATTCGTGCCTCCAAAAACATGGGAAAAGTATGGCATGGTTGGCGACTGAAAGATGTGTAGGTTGCAGACCACGAGCTGCTGGAACTTGTCACGTCCATTCGATTTGCCTTTACAGACTATCCTTGTTTGGTCATGGTACTCGAGGCACCCATTGGCAGTATAATGTGAAAGCAAGATCTTCCATCCCAGCTACTTAGATGAAACTGTGAGAATTCATGCGGATCTCTCTCCTCTTTCGCCTTTCATATGCCTGCATCGTCAAAGTCATATGGGGAGCTCTACATCGAGTATCCTACCGAACAACAAGACACAGGAAGGCAAGACGCAGAAGAACAGCTTGTGGGCCTAGTGCAAGCCTCAGTGACATCTAGCGGTGGTTCACTTATGACTCGAAATAAGCACTTCGTATGTGGGTGTGGCCTTTTCAAAAGTTCCATTATAACTAGTGCATTTTATTTATCGTCCTGCACGCAGTAGATGACGGATACCAAAAAAAATGAAAATAGGATTGAACCTAAAAGATAAAAGCAGCAAGCTGAAATCTTTTTGCTTCTTCTACCTACTCTCTCAAGAAGCACGTTTCTCTCTAATTAGCTTACAGGAAGTTCGGGCACAGGAGGTAGCACAGCGAAGCAAAGTTGGCAGCGGGCAACATCAGCCGTCAAATACCCCTTTCATCCACCGCAGATTGTTCGCTTAGAGGGAGTCGCGAAGAAGCCAGACCTGAGGTTGGAAATCATTCCACTCGTGGCTACGGAACCACCGACGCCAATACCGAGCGAAACGCCACCATGGGGGGCACAGCCGCCGCCAGTGGTACAGCTTTTGCAGAAAATGATGAATCTCGTTAAATTAGAAGCTCACAGTATTTTTGAGTATTATCGAGCCACAGACTTTTTAGGTAGGTGCGTCTAGACTCAAATTATAATTATCGAATATCATGGATTTCAAACTCCTTCTGCACGTTCCGAAATCGATTTGAATTTGAAACCCCCACTCTACGTCTACTCAGATCGAGTTCAAGTTTACACATGTGGAGGCTACAATGCAGCGGAAGAGGCATTTTGTGTTGACAAACCATACCAACGTGGTAGCAAAGTGGAAGCTTTTCCATGTGAAAGCGCCTACAAAGAACAACAACGACAAGTATACAGTGCGCGAGCGGGAAGAGCAATCTGTAGACGACCCTACGGCTTTCAAATTCGATATAGTAGAAGGCACGCTGTGTGGGCCTTCGCAACGGTCGAGGCTACTGCCGGTACTTTGATGTTGTATCTCTCTCTCTCTCTCTGATTGTTACTGTTAAGGCCCTTGTGGAAGAAGTGATGAAAGTAGGTAGGACAACTACTAGACTTGGAAAGAAGAAGTCGCAATCAGCCAGGATCTGAGGACTCGTACTCGATGAAAGTAAATAAGGTATGAGCATTGGAAAACTTACTACTACAATTGAAATCAGATTGGCCCCGCATTACCGGTTGCATGGGGACACGAGGACGCAGAGCTGTATGAACCGCAGAAAGTCGAGGTGACCTTTTTGCCTAAGCTTGCGAGGCTATATCGTTGCGAGTTCCGTTTGCAAGTAGAGGGTGGAAATCCGGTGTCCTTTGTGTGTATGGGCGGCGGCAGCTACGACGAAGAGGATGACGTCATGGAGCTACTTGAAGCGTAGATGAGAAAGCATCTAGTACAACTATCAACTAGTTGCACTAGCTCTAGCCTCAGGCTCAGAGACCGGTTGAAAGTAGAAAAGCGCAGAGACCGCGGCCTCGCATTGCAAAAGCAGTCGCTGGGAAGAACAGTCTCCAGTCCTTTTTTGCTCCACCAACTTTAGCTCAGCCATAGCTTACGAATTTCAACACCGTAACACAAGAACGACAAGAAGAGACGCGTCTTTCAACGCATACATATTCGTACGCAGGTTTACATTTACTAGGTCAATACGCGTCATTCTTCCAACTACTTAGAAGGCTCTTCCACCAACGTAGAGTCTTGTTAAACAGCTTGTCTGGAACTCCGCTCGGAACCCATGGTCGCATGCTTTTTGTTTTTTTCAACGATATTGAGATGATGTTACGTGTTTAGTTTACTATTTCTAGGTCTAGGATGATCTTGTTCTAAGTACTAATGGGCAGCTAATTGCTAATTTTCAACCATGCTAATTTGGGTGAGCTGGCAGCTCACTCCCCTTCCTTGTACTAAGGAGTTAGCTTTCATTTGGGTTTTGTTATCAATGCATTCGCAGTCGTGATGTCTCCATGACCATGATGTACATTTATATTGCGTTGTGTCATATGTAGATGTCTTTTTTCGTGACATCATAATCCTACGACCAGGCTGATGTGGCACTGGCATTGCATAGTCAAAAACCCAACACATACAAAAATCCCCTGAAAACGCCCGCATTCAATGAACCTCGACCTTGTTAGAGTGTAATAGGTAATCTTCAGTACAATAGACTATGAACAAAAACAAACAAAGTTAAATACGATCATTGACAAAGTTACCTTACATGAAATCTATTATTGCGCTGGCTAGTATTCAATCCATTACAATTACTGCGCTCCTGGCTAGTACTCAATCTAATCCGATTGCGACAAAAATTTCTACACAGCGATTGACAGTCAACTGCTTAAACGAAAACTGCTACTTCCACTAGGTATACAATTTACTCGAAAGTTTTAATGGAGCACCCGTCCTCCTTGTGGTGAAGAGTACGAAAAACATCGCCGTTATCGGAATTGCAAATGTCGGAGAAAACGTTTGAGCTTTGCACAGAACAGACCGCAAGAAGATGAATGAGGAAAGAGGAAACGAGCTTCATACTGCAAAAAGAAGCAACGCAGATTCCCATACGGGCGGGCACATGATAATGGGTGTTAGTAGTTGTGAGGCAGGGTAAATTTTTAGTATTCGACAGTGTGACGAGGGATTCGTTGAGTGACAGGAAGACGTCTGGAGCATGAAGTGTTGGCTGGTGCTGTCAAAGAAGATGCTATTAAGTACAAGGATGTCGGTAGACTCGATTTCTCTCGAAAGAAGCCGTCTGTCTGTGTCATGAGAGGTGTAACACATATTACGGGACGAGCCAAATGTAGTTACATGTACATCGGTGTAATCCGGCCGGACTGCTTTCTCCATTTTGATGGGTTCTCCATTTTCTCTCCTCACACTTTCGACAACACCCACATCTCTTCGTGCCAAAAGTCCTGCCTATGATATCGAGTTGTAGCCACAACGGCTACCGACTCCATTCTCAAACCGCCCTTGTGGGTACCGAAGCTGGGACTCTCGAAGGGTTCGCACCTCTCTCTCTCGGTCCTCGTCTTTCAAGAATTAGCCTGGGCAGGATAGCCGTGGTGACGAGTCATGCGGTGGCATCTCTCTCACGTCTGGGAGAAATGGACCGACCCATCGTCTTTCGTCACCTAATATGCGAGCGTGCTGAACAGTTTCCTCATTCGGCTGGGTATCAAGACTCTTCGCCGATTTGTCGTCAACCACTGTGTTTGAAGTCGAAGGAGCCCGCAAAAGTTTGCGAACAGATTTTAGAAGCCAATGGTCTCATTGCGTTTGCCAATTGATCAAAATATGCTCATTGTTACTATCTATGGGAAAAATTACGATGATATATGGCACAGTAGTGAGACTATACCTCAGGTTCCGCAACTTTTTCCGTTACATGCATCGCGGTCTCACCCGTCTGAACAAAAGTATCCGATACACGATGTAACCTGTAATTACTTAAATGATTTTAATATACATAGGTATACTTGCAGCCTTGATGCTTCATTTCCTCAACAGGCCCGAGTGCAAGTACGGGACAACTAGAACATCTTGACTCAAACATCTATTGTACTTGTCGAGAATGTTGGTGATTATATCTAAATCGATATATAATGAAACTAGATGTGATGAATTAATGGAGAATTATAGGTGCTGACAGTAGTTGTAATTGTGACACGATAAGAACTTGAGTGATGCCATTATATGTGCCATTTCTATTTGGATATATAAAACAGATTCAGATGATGCAAGCATAAACATTAAGATGAAGAATAGATACGCACATCTAAAGTAGCCAAAGCTACCCAGTCCAAGATCAGAAAGTTGACTGCACATTATTCACACTTCTTCCTCAATCGTCTCTGATGTTCCTTCATTGTTCTCGACATTTTTCTTTGCCTCCTTGCCTTCGGCCTTTCTATTTGTCTGCGCACTTCGCTTCTTGGAAGACGGCTGCTTTTCAGTCCGAAGCATTTGCTGGCGAGTATCGATTTCGACACCTGCTGCAGCGCGTCTACTATTACGCCCGCAGCGAGTCATGACTCTCTACAGGAAGGACTCAAGGGCGAGATTTATCCTGCTTCATTCAGTCTGACTAAACACTATGTCGCATTTGCCCCTTGCTGGGTACATCACTATCATCAACATGAGGAGAAGGATCTCCGAACCACGAAGCAACTAGTTTTACCATCTGATGCAAAAAGAGGGAGCGGTATATAAATAGGGCTCGAGTAGCTCAGATCTATGTATACAATCAATCTCCGTCCTACTATGCAGGGAAAACGCGCTGGACGAAAGGGGCTGTTTCGTGGTTTGAAAAAGAAAGGCGTTGCTCTGTTTGATTTGCTCAAGAACTCATGAGCCGAGCGTGAGTAAATTGTCAGCTTTTCCGATTTTTCTCCACTTTTTCTCTCATAGTCCTCCGTTGCACCTCCCTTCAGCTTTGATAACGTCAGTACCTACATCGAGACGGGAGAACAAGTGCCGGGAAACACAACGAGCTTCAAACAGCCATGAGAAAAAACAATGATTATGAAGTCAAACCCTGTACATCTACATGTGCTACTGCTCAGATGTAGAGTTCGAGTTTGACTAGGCTTGTAATCTCAAAGTCAAAACCGAAAGCCACGAACTACAATAAAATATATTTTTTTTAGTCCATCGCCCCTGACAAGTCCCCACTAGTTTCCATTTCCGTTGTGCATGTTGTGTCCAGATTGGATCCATGACAGAGTACACGCGCCAGTGCTGTTCCAGGAGAACCATCAGGATTCGTGGTATTCTCTGGTGCAATGGGTTCCAATACAAGTTCTTTCCAATGAGCCTCTTTCATCTGGATGTGTGTACTATTCGAAGGCAAAGGCGGCCACAAGCGCCTCACGTCACCCGCGGCAACGAGACAAGATGCACAACCCGCATTCTCTGGAGCCGCGTCCTCCTGACAATTTGTGCACTCGTGCCATCGGTGTGGTTCGTCCGTCGCAGCGGGTGGACCACTAGATGCAGTTGGTGATGCGGTAAGATCGGAATTGTCAGGCGCAGCGGCTGAAGGAGCGTTACTAGGCCTATCAGGCGCAGTGGATGCAGGCTCAGAGCTGTTTCCTTCGTTGGTCGAAGTCGAAGATGCATGTGGCACTGTATCTGCAGCAGTGGAGCCCATGGATTTGCTCGACCTCAGAGCAAAGAACGTCCGCGGCTGCATATCTTCTGACCCTGGTCCTGGGTCATCGAGCTCCCGGCTAGCATTCGAGGAACCAACTGTCACCAAAAAAGTTGGTTTATCTGGGTCAGAGGATGAAGCGGCGGCGTGTTCGCCCGCGATAGTGCCTGTACTCTTGTCTCCTCTCTTGTCTGGTGCTGTGTTTTTTGGTTCTTCGTCTCCTAGATTTGTTGCCGCTTCCTGAGCCTGCGTGCCACCAGATTCCGTAGATGCAGATGCTACAGTTTTTTTCACTTTTCTCAGAAAGTATTTCTTACCCGTAGATTGCTCCACGACGACGGGGAATTCTTCCGGGTCAAAAAACGACCGTAGATCAATCGGCTGCTTGTAGACTGTGCCGTCATGAGGATGCAAGAATCCCGGACAAGGTTCTGTATACCTACGGGCTGTCTGGATGTTGTGATCTGGATATTTGTTTGAAGACGCTGAAACTATAGTCGGAGGACGAGGCTTCGTAGCTTGGCTTGCGTCCTCATGATGCGCGTTTTCTTGTTCCGTGCGAACCTCGTTGTTGTTCGAGGCAGGCGCATTTTCGCGTAGGTACAGGGAATGAAAACGGTGCTTCGCTTCACATGTGGCAACTGCGGCGTAACAACTCCTCTCACGATACTCGTCCGCTTTGCTACTTCCAGTAATGCTACCACCATGATAAAGTTTACTTGACGGCGCAGCCTGAACATCGTCAAAACAAGCCTTATACTTCGTGAAGAATTTGTCTTGGTTCCCCGCTGATTCACGACTCAGATCGCAGAAACCGAATAATCTTATCGAGGTATTCTTCGATACACCAGAGGAGGCACTAGCACGCGCATCTGGCGGTTCTGTTCGCGACTGACTTGAGGAAGTCTTTCTTGGCTCTCCAAACGCTCCTCCGTCCTCCACACTTTTAGTTGGCGTATCTTGATCGCTCGTGAAAACCGCAAGAATCTTAGGCGAAGGCCGGTGGCGCGGTCCCTCGCAACGTAATCGAGGAACCGCGCTTTTTTCGATTTCCTCCACAGTTTCTTGCTCTGGCGCAGCCTCACCAGTCCCATCGCTTCCTGATGCTGTTTCGAACATCTGTCCTTCCGTTCCTCCACGTCGGAAGCACGCTACTTCCACTAAGAACCCAGGACGCGGAAACTGCATCGCAGCATCTGCATGATCGGTGTCGTCGGTGTCGTTTTGACCTTTTGTTGTCGAATCTGGCGCTGTTGCATCCCCCTGTCGAACTGTCGCGTGTGTCAAGCGCCCAGAGGACATCAAATGCGGAAAAAAGTGACCAAAGTACCTCTTTAAAAATTTCGTAGGGTTATCGTGCAGAAGCATTTTCACAGGGTTCTCGTGCAGTAGGCCCTTTTTCGTGGGCGCGCTCGCCTCCTGTTCGCCGCGCGAAGATATAATGGCTTTACTGGTAGACGCGCCAGATTTTGTGATATCTCCTGTTCCGTCTACGGAATCACTTGAAGGCTGCAGTAGTCTCTTAAAGAGCGCGGCTGAGGCCTCTGTGGTGTCCTCAGACAGTGGTGGAGGCCATTGGTGGACCGCGCCGCTATTCGAAAAAAAGAGAGACGCTTTTCCCATTTTGAAAGAGGACGGAAAATTGGCTACATATCCGGTCTGTATCTATTGTGTAGCCGTAGGATTGCCTATGCACAACTATATATTTATTTATAAGTAACCAGAGTGAAAAAATGTTTGCCGCTCACAAGACAGAGGGGTTCTTCGTTGTAACTTTTGATCTAAGATACTTATTTAAATTTATAAGATATGACTCATCATGTTTCGCACGATCGAAGACGGAGACCACGCTGCGAGGAGATCGTGCACTGCCACCGCGATACGACATCGAACGATTCGGCTCACGGGAAATAGGGGCAAGTCCCATGTACATGCATGGAGGTTGTCAAGTACATGCTCATACTGTTGTGCTTCTGCTTGTGGTCACGAGAAGAGGAGCCCGTTTATTTCCATCGAGACAGCCTTACCAAGCACTTGACGAAAGGGGTTGTTCAATATTGATTCTCACCTTACGATCATTGTTCGTCCTACAGCTTCTCCGTGACCAAACGAACGCGTTTTCCGCCTAAGGCTTTCGTTCTGCTTCAGAGCGTCTTTTTACATGACAAATCAAGATGATAGAGATGCAATGTTGAGAAGTCTCAGTCATGACTACTTATAATCGAGCATAAGGGAAACCTAAATTGCAGCACTAGACTATGCATTGCTCATCGAGTTCGTACATGCATCTTGTAGTTGTTGGATCACAAGTAGGGCTATGCTAAACTGTGATCGAAGAGGTTGGCTTTATATGAAACCTCAAACCTCCACCCAAAACAAGTTCCATGACATGATAAAAATGTAAATGAATTTATATACAATGACAAGTTCCGTACTTACTGTAAAGGTTAAGTTGGAGACATCAATCCAAAACACCGCCTAGAGATCAAACGTCTTTGCTTCATACTCAGTCTCTTTCGCTGTGGCACTGAAGAAGCAAGTTTAAGTTTTCAATTTTCAGAGCTGAACCTTTCTCGAACAAACTGCTGTGCGGGAAATCTTTCACAATGGCTACACGTAGTACACTACGTTGTGCGCAGAGACTCTAAGATCTTTTTCACCATTCTTCGCCGTAGCCTCCTGGCGAGCCAGAGCCGCCTGGCGGGGCATAGTCTCCGGGCGACTGCTGCTATTCCCCTCCTGACGGTTGATACGTCGGGTAGCAATAGTCTGCAGGATTCCCGGCGCCTGCACCCCACTGCTGACCAGCACCACCTGTCATGTCGCCCGCAGGTCCGCCCCACTGGTTTCCGTAGCCGCCGTAGAGGACTTGTGACCACTCCGCTTCGCCCTCGCCGCGCGCTCCACGAAAGCACTCAAAGCGTGGCGGGCTGTCCTCCTCGTCCATGTACGGGTACGAGAACGGGTAAGCAAGACGAACCACAGCCTTTTTCACATTTTTGAAGCAGTAGTTGTGAAGCTTCTGCTTCTGTTGAGGTTGTTAAAGTACCAGAACCGCGTCCAATCCCACCTCGGCGTCTGAGGTGCTTCATCTTGTGCGCTCGGTGGACCAATGCGCGTCCAGAACCCGCTCCATCGCCCGTCGGTCCCTACTTCCTCGTCGCCGCCCGCTTTCGGAATCGGACATGCTGCCGCTGCCGGTGGCTGCTCGTGACCTACGCTTATTTATACTCGAAAGCTTCGTATATTGATTGTGACGGATGTATGACGCTTCCCCGTCCGATACAGCGAACGCCGGCACTTTGTGCACTGGGTTCATCACAGTTGTTGGAAGGCCGAGGTGTCCAGAGGCCGACACCGCTTGCTGCGGTTCTTGGACAGTGTCGCGACTCTCCTTCACCAACCTCGGCATTCCGTCTGAAAAGACCTCAGCACTCAGAAGGGACGCCGACGTGTGAGAATATTCTCGTGTTTGATCGGTTTGGTCGTGGATTCGCACGTAGGAGGCCGTACTCATACGCGAAGTGTGGGCCGCATGGAGTGCAGCATGGTCAGCTTCATACTTAGCCGCGGCCTCATCCATAAGCGCGCTCGCGCGGAGCGGTAGCTCCACGCAGAAGTACCAGTACGCCATCATCAGAATGGCGAGGATATTGAGAACCAGCAAACAACACTGCGCTTTGAAGCTGCGCCCTCCCTTACCGTCCCAATTTGCAGTTGCGCAGGCTTCACAGCCCACCGGAGACCCGATGCAGCAAATCAGACAGAGGCTAGCCTTCTCCGGCAGGCAGCCGGCTGGGTTATTGCGCTTGCATCCGCACGGTCCAATTTCCCCTAGCTCCTCCTCGGCTTGCGTATCTTGCCAGCAGATCTAGCAAATCTCAGCCATGCTGAATGATGACTGGACTTCAAATTCCGCATTTGGCACTCGAATTTTCACGACGCACTTTTCTAAAGCAGCAATAAAGGATGTTCTTGACTGAAAAACGCGATTGATCATCATTACAGACAAGTTTGTAATGTAACTATAACTATAACGCGGGTGTCACATCAACGCTGGTGTAGTACCCACTTTGATTCCGCAACACACATGACACTCGGTAGTACCATGGGTATCGACCTCGGCAATGAGATCACAGCGACGTTACGATCATGGCTGTGAGGTAATCTTCAGTTACATCAAGTGAGTGACAGGAGCAATAAATTTCTGTCTCGGCGGGCTAGGGGGAAGCAATATGCACTGGATCTGGGGGACGGCGGGAAGGAATTATAAATATTCATGAATATCAGAATAATCGATGAACTTCAAAGCCACATGACATACAGTCACATCGACGGTTTCCGAAACCTACTTCTATCACATAACGAAGCCACGTCGATGGACACAGCTCACCGAAGTCGTCAACACAACATTTCTGGAGTTCAGATTTTTCAACGGAGAATCTTACGTCTGATTAGACCGAGTCCAGACAGCACCACCATCCTTTTTTCTGAGAGACAAAAATAGAGTGAGCTACGAGGAAGAAGTGTCGGTAACTCTAACTACTGGACCACGAAAGAAAAGGTACTAAGTACTTACACCGAACTGGAAGGCGCTTTATGACTACGGATGCCTGAGACAGACTTGGTGGGAGAAAACGACACGAACAAAATAAGAATAATCTGCATCGCTACAGCTTTACCTGTACTGGTTCCTAAGACTTTGCCAAGAAATATGGCTGTCTATGGAGCAAAAGCAAGTCGCCAAACCTTCGCTCGCTTTTTCGTGTGCTTGCTGCAAGAAACCATGAATAGTATGCAAATAACTAGAAACACGAAGCCAGAAACCCAAAATGATGGTCGTTTGTGCATCCGACGCAAAGTATATAATGCGAAACTGAGCGAAACCGAAACACTACCGAATACTTGAAAAGCTTTCGAGATCACTGTTCTCTCTTGGTACACTACTTGCACGCAAAGTTCAAAACTTTACCTATACAGCTGCAAATCTTGAAACACTAGAACATAAATCAATGCATATGGATGTGCCCGAAAAGGAATTTCCCTCGAATATGGCCCTTGCTCTAATAGATATCTACGTGCACGTATACCACGGTACTATCAACTTGACATCCACCCCGAATAGGCTTGGTAATAGAAGATCGCAACCCCGACCGCAATCGCAAATCCATGCGAATAGCGCAGAAGACGTCGTTCCTCCAACACTGCTACCAACATTTGGACTTGTTCTCTTGTCATGTCAAAGCATGAGCACCAACGGACGATGTTGTTTCTGCCATCCGCCTTAGAATTTCCACAAGGCACGACTCTTTTCCAAAATCGTCTTGCGCGTCCTGTATATCAGAAGCCAGCTGAGCGCGCAGGGAGGCGTAGCTCTGCTGATTGAGACACTCACCTCGCTCCAAAAGCGTCCGCCAGAATTCCAAGGAAAAACTCACAGCATCATACTGTCTGCTTTGCTGCACATGAAGAAGGAAGATAACTACTTCCCACACTTGGGATGACCGTCATCATGGCTACAATTTTGATCTTAGTTGAAATTTTTATGCTAGCGTGCTTTTTCACTCTCTGACCAGAAGAAGTCAAAACTGGAAAAAAAGCTGCTAAACCGAATTTATTGAACGAGTATTTCCGACCAGCAATTTTGGGATTGATCAGATGCCGGTATAGCAAGCTTGAAAGGTGAGGTCAAGTTGAGTACTTATCACCAGCTAACTACTGCATTACGCATTACCTTTATCGTTAAAAATAAAATCAAATGACGCTACGTCATAAATGTTGAGAAGAGCCTGTCCTCGAGGCGTGGCCGTGTGCGCATGTCCCGCGGCTTGGCCGCCCTCTAACCGCGTGTCCAGGTTAACTGCTGCATATTGTAGTAGTTCATGATAGACTTTGACCTGCTTTTTCAGTTCGGGTGATAGAAATTCCGCCAAAAACTGTTTCTCAGACGCCACCCTAGCCGTCCGCAACAACGACGAGGAGCATTTTGCCCTTGGTGCCATGGATGGGCTCCCGTTTCCCCTAGGAGTCTTCGACGACAGCGAAGGAGCTGTTGGTGCAAATGTTTGATGTTGTCGGTGTTGATGCGTATCTTTACCGGAAGTAGTAGAAGTTGTCCCACCTTTTTTGTGCTGCCGTGTCACGCTGCTAGTACTACTACTACTATTATCTTTTATGTTGTCTGGAGGAAGATGAGCCCCAAAAATACGCTTGTTTTTGTTCCTATTCGTCAGCCCTTGTTTCGACCATGAATGTTGTACACCACCACGACTAGTAGTGAAAGCAGATGATCCTCCACTACTTGGTTCGACATTGCTCCCACCACCACTAGTACTAGAAGACACTCGCAACAAATCACCGATAATCTTGCTTTTCCTTTCTAAAGCCACTTGTCTACTTGCTTCTTGTGAGCAAAGAACGGATGACAGTTCTCGATCCAGAGTGGTCACACTGCCATGTGCCTGCTCAATTTTCTCTATCACTTTTCTTGTTGGAGAAATAGAGCCTTCGGGACGTAGTAGGGACCGTAGAAAATGCTTCTGCTCTCCTCCGGGCGGCCCAGTTTTGTCACCGGGGGAACCTGGCCATATGTCAAACAATATCTCCTGTGGTTTCATGAATGAAAACCAATCTTGAAGTTCACATCTACGGCTGCCATCTTCACCGTAGTACAAGCCTCGTCTTACCCTACCTAGTGAGTGCCTTGAGCTTCCAATTAATTCTAGAGAAGCGAGGTGGTCTGGGTGTCGAAGGTGGACAACATGATGCGCCACAGCTATCGAGTATGAAAATCTGCACTACAAAGATCATCAGATAGATATATTATATATAGTATAATACTACCACTCCCTGCGACCGCGTTTGTCCCTTGGGCAGCAGTGCTTCCACCCGTCGGAGCAACCCCACTTGTCGTTCCTTCGTCGTCTAATTTGTGCACGTGCAGGTCGAGTTGGCGATCCTGTCCTAACTTGCGGTCAAACACGACTCGCAGTTCCCGACCATTCTCCTTGAATTCTCGCCATTTATCCCGCTCCGCCTTCTCCAACCTCCGCCTCAACCGCTTTTGCCAGTGTACGCTTGTCTTCTTTCATGAACTAGGAAGGCTAGTCTATGTGGAACGTTGAAGATAAGCACACTGAAAGTTGTTAAAAAACTATGTATCACTGCACCAGAGATATCGACTAGAAATGGACAAACTTGATCTTGCCTTCATTATTTTGTGTGGTGTGGTCACTTGTTTTGTGTGGTGACGTTCGACACATACACTGTGCATACATCTTGATCTTCGCCATCGGCAAAACGATTGTTGCCTGCCTTCCCCGACTTATCTTTTGCTACTTCGACAATGCTGCGGAGTTGCAACGGGAGACGTCGAGCGTGACCGGCATGCGAGACGTATCTGATAGTACCATGCATAAAAGATAGGAGGCATGTACTTATTGTCAACACACGTTATCACGCCATGGGCGGGCGCGGAGCTCAAGAAAACATGTCTCAAAAAACGAGCTCCTGAAGTACCCCGTCACCTTTGCTTGTTCTGGTGCATCTATGATTCGTTCTGGGCATTTTTGTCTTAGCATTCGCCATCCATGAGCCCCTACTATACTTCGGAACTGAGGTTGTGCTTGTACCTGCGGCGAAATGCCTCCGCTTGTCAACATCAACTGCCGTCCTGTTATTCCTCCTTGTTCTTTATCAGAGCAGGCTACTGCAAGCCCCGTAGAGGACGTTGGGACATGTTCAACATGACGTGCAGAGTCACGTAAAACGCGAGTTTTGTCTAGACTCGGAACTAGCGCAGCGTAGCTGTCAAAGTCACCTAAGGCTGCTAAGCTGCGATCCGCGCCGCGTGCCAACTCGTCCTCTGCTGGGTCGTTGGCGCCATTGTTGTGTAGCAGAAACTCTCTTTTTGGATACCTCTCTTGAGGCGACCGCCAGGGCAAGCCAAAGACGTATGTAGTCCTTGTACCCGGCGGAGGCTCCGGGACTGGATCGTTCCTGTTACTGGAGGATGCACTATTCTGCACTAGCATAGCCCGCTGAGGATCTTCTCTGGTAGTACTTCCATTTTCAAAATGAACACTACTAGGAGCAGGTTGATCGTGGTCTCTGTTCCCGCTCATATTTTGTTTTTGCCTGGCGTGTACTCCAGCACCAGACTCCTCTAAAGGCTGCGCAGCCTCTGGCGTAGCATTAGACATTTTTGCGTGCTCATGCTTAATATTCGACTGTTCTGTGATGAAAGTCTCAACACCACCGCCCGCGCCGATGTCCACTCCAGCAACCAGCTCGGCCTTGCTTTTGTCCATCTCCCCCATAATTGTCGCCTTTGCCTGCGCACCACCCTGCTCAGCCTCTCCTGCCCTCGGACCATTCACATCTTGCACCGGAAGAATGTTATTCGTCCATAGTTCGGCATTCTGCTGTACAACTGCTTGATGCTTGACAGAAAAGCGTCGGCTTCGAACGTATCGGAGACGTTCCTGCGATTCCCGCACGAACTGTTGGAGCGCCTTGCCCCTTCGCTTGCAAGCATGGCGAAAACTACTTTTCGGAAATTGTGCTTCACGTGGCCCGTCTTTCTTTGCGAGAATACTCGAAATGATGCCCTCGCGCCAATTCCGACTATGAGGCGCCGTCGTTTCTGCATTACCCTCATTGGTTACAACTGCAGTTGCAACCACGCCTGAGAGAACAAGCAGGTACGTACTGGTTTCTATCTAGTACTTCCTCATGATCTTTCACTCACATGAATGTAATGTCACACTCAGTGTGAAACTAACGCAAGCAAAACATACCGAAAACACCAGCTAAGTAAAAAGCAAACCTCCTCCTGTCTCGTGGCCGCTGTGTAGGCCGTCAACAACGGTGCCCAAAGGCACGTAGGGAATGTCCCGACGAGCTGCGAAGCCACGTAGATGATTGCTTGGCTTATTTCCATTGCGCAAAGTCGTCCGTGGATTAGCGGCTCCGGTTTCACAAGAAGGATTATCCGCTTCCTTTACGCTTTTCATTGAATACAAATATTAAAACGACCCTGCCTCCTCCCTGTACAGCTTTCACCAAGAGATGACTGGATTTCATTTGCTTGAATCATATCTGATTATATCATCTGTCTATGAAAATCTGTTCTTGTCCAAAGCGTGTCATAATAGCTGTCCTTCTATAGCATGTGTGCACCTCGCTCCGGTGCAAAACGACGCGCTCTCCCAAATCAGCTAAGCGAGTCTCCTTTCCCCCTGAAGGCAGGGCCATGGGTGATGCAGTGGTCAATAGCATTTTATGTGCGACAAGCAGAGGGGAAAATGATCTCGATCCATGAACAAGTGGTCGTGGCGTGGTTACTCCCCGTAGTAGGCACGTTCTACTCTAACCACAGCTGAAGATCCGCGCTATTTTTTGTGAAGACCTTCTACTTGCGCAGACAGTACACGGGATAGCTTCTCAATATAGTAGGAACAACAAATTCACGGATTATTCCATGAATTACGGGCGCTGCGGAGTCTCTTTAACACTTTAGGAGATACTGATTGATAGACACTTTTTCAAGACCGATGAAGATGTTGATGTTAGTTCTCTGTAGCTACGCTACTCGCCTCGGAATCTAGATACATCACTCGCGCTCTTCGCAGTATGCTGCACAACACTACATACAATTTTCTGAAAAACCGAGAGCCAGAGCTACAACTGGATCACAATGGACAGAGCTGCATGCCCAGAGCGCACAATAGAAGATCAAGACCTACAGAAATGGATGCTCGACGGTCAACATCATCGCAGAGTCACGCTAGCCGACAACTACTTACACTAGTACTACTGTAGGACCCAGTCTGTGAATGTCCTCTGAGAGGAAATAGTGACCAACATGACCGTGGTTTGGCTGTATCATGTCTGCAGACAGACTGTCTTTTCGGTTGTAAACAGGCATTTGTACCAACATACTAATTCTTGTTTCACGAGGTTCTTCGCAATCCATGAGTGTCAACATGTCCTATGTATGTGTTTTCTCTTGTTTAGTGGGCGCACGAATTCAGCAGACAGCATATGCTCAGCAAACGCCTCCACGCACGCAAGTTACAAATCAATGTAATTTCCTTCTCCATGAACCTTTCACGACCATGATCATACAAAATTTTAGCACTCTCTATCATCTATGCAACCAATTATTCATCATGATCATGAGGAGTGTCAGTGTCTTGTAAAAAATCAAAAATGGCTGACGAGAGTTCATCCTACCTTGACCAGCCCGCCCTGTGGTTAGTTGTATTTTTCAATATAGGTGCTATACTGTTACATAACCGGTAGAAGACTAGTAGTGCTACTCAAGACGCCATGATGATGACGCTGCTTGTTGTCGGCAACGTCGAATTAACCAAAGTTACTCACCCTTCTCTTTCTCTACTGCATTCTGTAAGCCCATGGAGGCGGATAGGAGAATTTTCAAATTCGAAGACCGAATCCCTTGCCCTTGACGCCTTTCGACAAGCGCCTTGCGATAGAGTGGCTCCAGTGCCTGCAAATAAAACTGCGCACCTGGTAATTGGTAAAAGGGAGAAAAGGATCAAGTGGTGTGAATATTCATTCGACGAGAACAACAATGCACTTCTCCGTCTGCAGGAGCTGCTATGGTTATGGTATAACAGAATAGTCTGAGTCAAATCCTACATCTTTCTTCTATTTGTGGAAACCGGTGTTTTCATACAACCTGTGATGTTCATTCTAAAAAGAGATGTGAGGAAGCACGTACTACCGTTGTATGCCGTTGCTGCACAGATCGCGACGAGGAAGAGGAAGTGCGCCAGCTGAAAGTGGAACAGCATAGAGGCAAATGCCATTGATATCACGGAGTAAAGCAGGTGGATCAACAGATAGAATGCTTGCACGAAAATTTTCGGGAATTTCGTAAGCATCCACTTTGATTAGAACTACGACAAGCTTATAAGTTGTCCATCTTGAAGAGCATTCTCAGACGTTTCCCCCTTTTACTTTAACATGGTCCCAGGATCATGCTTGGGAAGATGAACTACTATGGGAAGCCTTAATTTAAGAAGCGGCCTATTCTTCCCATACCCAATACTCGGTCCCACAGGGTCTGATAATTGCGTTCCTCGATGTACTTTCCGAGAGCAACAAAGATCCAAAGGAAGTATATCACCGACCACGGCAAATAAAAGTAACGCATCGCATCCCAAACTAGTTGCAAATGAGTGATATTAGAGATGATGGAGTAAGAAAGTCCTTGTTACAAATCAATGTGGCTGCTTTGTAGCTGTACTACCGGTAAATCGACTAGATTCTGGTATCCCTTGACTACAACTACAATTGTCACTATACTCTGCTGGGACTCGACTAAGGGACCGCGTGCGCAGGCTACACTATCATTCCAGTTTTCAGACAGCAGCAACAGCAACAGCCATAATAATTTCCTCGCAGGCAGGACCAAATCGCTCGTGACGCGTTGCAACGTGGTCGTCGCATACCGCGAAGTAGGGATCCGAGTACCATCGGAGCCCGTAGACCAGGCAAAAGCATGAAGAAGGCGAGGATTGTTTCTTCAAATTGGGTGGTGATGCTACTGAATCTTACGATGCTTCTTGTCTTGCTATAATTCCTTGTTTTCCTCCCGCATATTAATTTTCACTCTATAACTCCAGGGTGGACTCCAATTCTAAGTACTAGCAACATGATTTTCCGCATGTTGGAGACCTGAGCTGCATTTGGATCAAGTTGCAGAAGTAGAGAGGTGAGGTGTAGTGTCTAGTACTACTGCTTGGTACCTACTCAAACTCAATGTCATAACAGCGGACTAACGTGGATAATAACGCTGGTCATGTGCGCGTAGGAGTGGAAGATGAGACTGTGGTTGAAGCACAAGACCGCCAAAGCCAACGGGCCGGTCGCGTTGATGAAAACCACGCGAAACATCACCGAACTTTGCGGAAAGACCCAGCACAGAAATGAAAGAGTGTTGCTCGGGATGCATCATCTGATACATGGCACATGATGATGATGCACGTGTTTCTTTATTTGATTTTGCAACGTTCTCAGTGGCCTCGTTCTATACACTGAAGAAGAAGTCGAGAGAAGTATTTTCATACCATAGGGTAAGGCTACGTGTACGTATTGTAATTATTTGTTTCCGTTCACTCATACATAAAGGAGACTCAAGCCGTTGCACCAATAGCAAAAATCGTAGAGCAGGTAATGCTGGCGCTTTTTGACGAATTTCACCCACCTCAGCAGCGTCAGAAGCACCACTTTAGGAGTGTAGTACACGTAGTACCTAGGGAAAAGATGAGCAGTGAGTATCCGGGTGGCGATTAGGCAAACTAAGTTTTAGCCCAAAGAAATTGAGTGGCCAAGTACGAAAACGCCGAGCAATGCTCTAGAATATAAGCATGAAAAGGGAAAATCGCGCCGAGCAGTTCAGGCCATTAGATGGTTGAAGAGCAATATATATATATAAAAAAGAGCGCCAATGAATGAAAGTACCAAGTCGGAGCTAGCCCCAATATGTATGGTGTGAGGGCGACGTTACCCACTCCTAGCACGAACCACAACTTGTCGATCGCACTTGCTTCCGATAGTAAAGCAGGCTCATCACCAACAAGGCTCTCTGATGAAGCCTTACGCTCGCCCACAGCTTTCAGGCAAGGCTCTTTTGTATCATCTTCTGACGTGCATATTAGAAATCTTGGCCACGTTTGAAGATGCCAACATATGTAGCCGGACGAGAAAAAGAAATAGAAGTACCACAAAGAAACTTGAATAAGTACTTTGTTTGTATAATTTGTACTATGAAGTACAGGCTTCCGATAAGAAGAATCGCAAGCGCTTTTGCACCACGTCGGACAATATAAAAAATTTCTAACTCAAGCCCATACAAGTATTGTCGGCTGCCCTGATTCTGAGCGCAGCGCCGGCGAGCTGATTGGTGTTGTAGCTTTGTCTGTACTCGAGGCCGCTCGAACCGCCACATCGTTGCGCTGCTGCAGTGAGCCTATCTGCGCAACGGCAGCAACGCCTTTTCGCTGGTTTCGTACCGCGTCGAACACGAAATACAGTGGCAGAAAAGCCAACAAATTGTACCACGCACTGTGTGAGCAGAGCTGGTTGAATACGATCCGCAGCAGCGAAGAATTAGAAAAGGATGTTGCACATGTTGATAGATTCGGGAAGAATCTCATTGTGTCAGGCACAGGGGCACCGTAACAAACTACAGGATAGTTTGAAGTAAATAATGAACAAGTATATTTGAAGTACTAGGTGTGCAGAGATATAAGTACACAGAAATCACTTTCGCCTTAATGACACAGACCTCGAAGGCGTGCTCGACGGCTCCTTCACTCACGACCGTAGCCAGCCCGGAACAAACCATGTTGCCGGCCCATGCCAGCCATGGATAAACTGCTGCGACCACCGACGCCATTTCTTCAAATATATGAAACTTCAGTAATGTTTACTGGCTGCTTACTTCATAATCATGGAAGATGAATGGAAAAAGACATTTGTATAAGGAAAACCCAGAATGTGATGGCTTCTACCTCACCTGAATGTTCATGTGGCAAAAGGAAACAACCTGTGCCGCATGGAGGATACAAACGAAGCCATGAAGTGAGCCCAATTCGGGTGGCGAAAGTTAAAGTCTGCACTTACGGGAACAGCCAACATTATATGCTGAAGTCAATTCAGAATCATGATCATAACGTGCTTCGCTGCCCATACTGGACACGAAAACGAACTAGACACGTAAACGTAATCAAACTTTCAACCCACTTGTTGCATGACAGCTACAATTTTTGTTTGACTTTTTTCGGTCTCGTTTGCATGAATGCTACTTTAAAAATAAAGCACGGTTCCTCGAAGGCATGTTTCTTCGTTCCCGAACGGAAACCTCAATTCTTCTGAACTTTCTGGATTCTCTCCTGACGTACCTCACCCACATAGTGAAGAGGACCTACATGCTTTAAATGCCTCTTGCCTCAGCAACGCCGCCCTCCTTGGGAAGATGAACACATCTCTAATACCGTCGGTGGAGTAAGTACCCCAAGACTGACTCTACTTGGAAAGCACTGCTACGCTTTGTTGCGTGCGTTCTTCTCTATTAGGTGGTTTTGCTTCGCAAGATGAGGTTTACGTTTAGAAAGATTGGTTACAAGTTGTAATATGGAGAGTGACACGCGCAAGCTTGATCATGCCACTTTCCTATCTTAGCTATTAAAAACTGAATAACCGTTCTTGATTGACTCAAATTGAGCAGTCACGTGCTCGAGGAGGTTAGTTTCTAATGATCGCGTCCTGTCTAAGAAGTTCATCTCTGGCGGAAGTTCTTATCAGGGCGAGGACATAGACATCGATAATATACTTAAGTAGCACAGCAACGAAGGAACTACTACGACTAGTAGGAACAATGAGGCATTATAGGACAGGATGTGATCCACCGCTTTCAGGTGGATAAAACTCATTGCCGTATCCCGCCATCTTAGATTTGAAATAAAAGTGATCAATGATATAAGTTTGACAGCGAAATGAGGTCAGGTGGGGATTACAACAAGTACAACACGGCAAGTATGATGAATGTTAAATAGGTATTCTTGTCGTTGTATCTCCGCAAAAGCAAGTCCAGCTTGGTAGTACTATGTAGTCTCGTCTCCCTATGATACAAGGTATAGAATGAGCCCAGATTTCAACACCACCGGAGAATGAATAAATCGGAAACGTCAAGTACATCTTCATAATTAACGACAGAGCTAGTACATCGACAACACACCGATACTTGCTGTTGTGATTACAGCAGCAAGGAGTTAAAATATTGAATCACGAGCGCAGATAGCGACAGGTGGACATCTTCAAAATAGTTAATTGTGAAGAAAGCATTATAAATTGACATTTCACCTTTCTCTATGATCTGCGACGAAAATCCGAGTTTTTCTAGAAAACTGGGCTAGTTCCTCTAGAAATCGTCTTCTTCGATCTATGTACAATAAACGTTGGACTTCTACTCTTCCGAGTAGCGTCGCTCTGTCTTCTCAAACTAAAAACTTGTAACGATTGAATTCAACATATCATGTCAAAGAAAGATGCAAATATCATTTTATTCATATTCATCAGGAATCAACATAGATAATCGTTGTCATTCTTTCGAGGAGAGAACGGGAGTAGTGAAGTTGGTTTGTTTTCTAACATCGCTTGTGGATTTCAAAACTTGGCATCGTGGTCTGTTTCATCCTGGTCCTCTTCGACATGAAAGTAGGTACTTGGGAAGCCGACTTTGATGGAAAGAAAAAGAGAAAGAGACAGAGCTATGATGTGGTCACGTACAAACTATGTTGCTCTTAGTGCTGTAGTTATGAACTCATATATTTCTTTACGATGTGTATTTGAAACCTCTGATATCCAGAATGCGACTTTCATCTTCAAGTATGACCGTCATCACTAATGACAAGTATTTATTTATCGGTAATACAACATGTGGCAGTACAGCTCCTGAGATAGGAATCATTTATTTCTTTCTCTGTAGCCACTACCGTCCTCTCCCCTCCAGACTTTGACAAGAAATTTCGATTGATTACTCGCTACAAAAGGTTGAGACTGGACCTGCTCATATTTTCATAATTTTCTACTTCGAGCAGCAGGGCACATCCATCCACGACACAATGGTATAACAATTCACCATTTTTGACAATTATTACGAGCAGCAATAGCAATAGATGATATGTTATATATAAGATCTTCATAAAAAATTTGATCCGAATAAAATCCGGTCGGTCAGGGGAGGACACCAATCACACCCCCCTGTGAGTCTTATTTGACGATATTTGATTGACAACTTCTTAAGTTAGTACATTACCAAATCTTGACAGACACTACAAATTAAGTAGCACAATGTATTGTTTTCAAGTAATCAATTAGTAGACACAGTTTCTTGTCGTTCCTAGATAGATTCATCAACTCATGCACTAGGAGATTAGACTTAGAAGTGAGGCAGCTCCCACACACACACACAACAGCAGAGCAGATCAAATAGCCATATGAGCGACGGCTCATATTGCCGAGTTTTCCCGATTCATCAAGTAGAAAGCCGCCTCCAGTTCTTGTGTGAAGACTACTGCTCTTGTAGAAGATTATTTGATCGGTTTTCGTCCACCAGCTGCACCCTATCCTCTCCACAGCCTTGTTCTTTGCGACCAAAGACGACCATGGTAGGTGATGTAGAACTTCGTCGATTTTTGATCTGTTGACGCATATGCACATCAGTACTACTACGGGTTCCAATAGAAGTGCGTGCTGCTCTCCTGCAAACTATATCTTCTTCTTTAAGTACAAGTGTGCAAGAACGTGCTCGTTCTTCCTCGCATACTATCGCTGTGCTGGACGCGTCCATCATTGTTGCAAATTGCGAAAACTCGTTGACGTTGTTAACCCTGCTCATAAATAATCTGGCTGCGTCCTTCTGTTGTACTATGTTTGCAGCAACACTACGTCGACTTCCTCCACGTCGAAAGTCCTTCATCTACTAGTACAGTGAAGAATCAGCGATCCACCTAGAACTGCGAGCCGAGAGCTGGGCCGCGGTTGTTGTAGCCCTTCGGCTTTCCTTTGCCCTTGCCCTTGTTTCCTCCTTTCTTCCCATCGCTTCCTTTCTGCTGGTAGCCGCCTTGGTAGTCTGTTTTTTCGAAATATGATGCTGCATAAGATGTTTCATTAATAGCATTGTTGAAAAATACTGACCAAGACATTATCATGTGTTACTTGCTCAAAGAAAACATCAATGCGAAATTCATCTTGTCTTGCGGAAAGCGAAAGACTAGAAATCACAAAGATGGAAATCAAGTAGTATCTACATGAAAAAAGTAGTACTAGTTCTTTGATCACGCCAGTTTCCGTCCATCATGCTTCCTTTGTCGTAGTTCCAGGCCATCATACTTCGGATGTTCTTTCCGTCCATGCCCTTACCACCATCGACCATACCGGAAGAGCTATAAGGATTTTCATAGTGGTGGATTCAAGTAACGATCGATGGATAATGTTGTTGTAGAGAAAGACAATCATCAAATTTGTTGAAAATCAATACGAGAAGAGATGATAGAAATAGACGACCATAAGCACGATGGTGTGTGAGTATGCTTGTCCGCCACAAAGTCTAAACCTGGGAGTGCAGCTGCTCTACCTTCTGGAAAAATAGGCCGTTACGTACAAGAACTTATGACTATCATATACTTAACTACAGAACAACGAATAAAATACCCATCGAATGCGCCCTGTTGTTCACGTCCTGAGTCGCGGAGAGCCATCTTTTGTTGTTCCATGATCTCGGCTGAAGCGGTTGCGCCCCAATCATCTGAGGGATCTCCACCGACATCTTGGGTATAACCTCCTTGGTCGGGTTGCGCCCCGTTGTATGCATGCTCCATCTGATGCTGTCCATAGCCCACTGGTTGCTGGACACCTTTGATTGTTTCGGGACACCGTGTGGGAACAATCGTAGGGTAAGGAATGGAAATGGAGGAAGGATATCTTCGATATTTTGAAATGAAGTGCCAGCAGAGGTTTCTGAAACAGTACTAGAGTTCTTTGTTTTTGAAGTACTGGTGCTTTTTGAAGGACTGGAGGCTTTTGAAAAATTGCTGTAGAGGTATTATCAAATATTTACGCAAATCAGAGGGAGCTCTGACCTACCGGAGGTAATTATACCCTTTTTGCTCTCATAAGTTTGCGGCGGGGCATATGATTGCTGCTCTACCGGTTGTTCAGCGCCCTTGCCTTTGTATCCGAAATTTGGCCCTTTCTTTCCGGCAGTGTAACCGCTGTTGTACACGGGGCCGGAGGCAACACCAGCCCAATCACCTAATATCAGGTCATTAATAGTTGCATATTTGATGAAGTACTCGGCGAGGACTTAGATTCTCTGTCTCAATCGGAATTATTCGAGGAAGCAAGTAGCGGGTTACCCACTACCACTTAGACGTGCTTTGTTGAGCTTGAGCTTACTTAATTGCCATAGTCAATACTACTTACAAACGTGGACGTGCCCTGCTAGCTTCCAGTCAACAAGTAGGAAGTATTACCTGCTGCGCCTGCCCTGCGCTGACGCTGGAGTGCCTCCTCTTGCTCCTGTTTTCGTCGCTGGTCCTCGGCCTCCCGTTTTCGCTCCTGCTCGAGTCTTGCTGCCGCTTCTAGCTGTCGCTTGGCCTCTGCGGCCTCTGCTTCGGCCTTCAGTCTTGCCTGTTCCTCTTCATGTCGCTGACGTTCCAAACATTAGACAAAGCTCTCCTTGTAAGCAATTAACCTCGAGATGATCTACTAGCAAATATCTCTTCATCTAACTAAGTGGTCTAACAAGATAGATGAATATACACATGATAGTAGAGCTCGTTGGATTATCAAGCCTAGGATTTGCACTTGCAGTCTTCAGCAATGGGCCCAGATATAGCACTATGTTGATATTCATGAAAATGGAGAAAGAATAAGCAACTGATAGTCATAATCTTCCTCCTTTCGCTTTCGTTCCTCCTCGATCCTTATGCGCTCGGCCTCCCGGCGTTCCTCTTCAATTCGGCGCCTCTCGGCCTTTTCGGCTTCAATCCTTGTCCATTCTTCCTCAATGTGTTGCTTGCGCAAAGCCTCAGCTTCCTCGACAAGTGTCTTATTAACCGCTGTTTCGTACCCTTCCAACTCAATCCTGTTTTGTAATTGTAATTCATGATTGGATACAACTATCTTCATGGTGCCATAGAAGATGACTGCGTCGACATCTTTCTTGTTGAGACTACACATCTAGGTAGACATCTTCATAACTTTCTTCAACATTATATGTTCAACCGATTTTTCAACTCTACCTCTAGGATGGTCTAGTATCTATAGCCACAAATACAGCTAAACCCTGGTTAAGTAACAAGTACAAGAGCATGCAAGAACTGAACATAGTTGTTGTAAGTAGTACGTCAAGTCGCCTTTCTTTTCTAGTTTCGGAAGTTGGAGCGCGTCCACTTTCTCGTTTGAGGCCAATTTTTTTTCGATCATTTCGATTTCTCTCATTTTCTTTCGCAATTTCAACAAATGTTTTTCCGCTGTCGTCGGGGCTCGGTCCCTCTTCACCATGTTCAAAAAATAACTGGTAGATGGTCGTAAATGTAGTGCCAGATTCTTTGATGAGGATGGGCAAAGGAGGTGCTTGCTTGGTCTCTATTTGAGAGAAGATCTAGAGTAATTGTGGACAGGAGTTGATTCCAATACCATCCTCCTCCAGGTACAAATTCTTGCCTTGATATCATTGATTAGAAAAGCACAAAGACAGCAGGTCTAAGTAGGAAGTTAATACCTCATTTCGGGAACGTTTGGTTGGGGATCAAACACCTCTTCTTCTGGGGGTGCAGGTTGTTCCACAACAACTGGCTCTGGTTCGACCGGTTTCACTTGTGTTACTGGCGATTTCGGTTGTTGAACGATCACTTGTTCTACCTCCTCTTCCATTTGTTGAATTGGCACTTGACTCATTACCTGCTGCGGCACCACTGCCGGCTGTGTGGTAGTTGGGAATTATCGAAGTGCACCAGAGTTGGGGAATCGAAAGGCAAAAGTGGGAGTTAAGAAAAAAATCCAATGTGAGACGAAACCTCTTGTTGCTTGTTATCGCACTGAGAAAAATGATCAATAATACCTGTTGAGGAACTTTCTTCTTGGGACTTGCGTCCATACTCGTTAACAAAAGTTCGATAGCGCCCTCGATGTCTTCGCCTGCATGAATAAGGGCATCACATGCCTTTTCCTCGCTGCATTGCGGCAAAATTGCCATAATGCTGTGAACCTGTTGATTTTTTCACAACTTACTTTCTTAAAATCTAAAAATTAAGTACTACTTATTATTACTTTCTTAGAATTTCTACTGCTTCTTATAATAACATATTTTCTTAGAATAATAACTACTAGTAAGTGAGTTACTATAGGAAGCCTGGTGGCACTCCAACATCATGCAACCCGAGAGTCGTATGCGGGGCCCGATCAGTCCGCAGGTGTTAGTATGGTCGAGATTCGTAGCCATAACACGGGAACGCGATGCAGCGGCGAGCTCGCCCAGGACAGTCGCGACCCAACAGGGACCAAAAGGGCGCGGCATCCGGGCCAAGACGGAAAGCTACGTCTCACGCAGAGGGCCGGTTTAAGGATGCAGCGCTACTGCAACTGCGGGAGTATGTGCGAGACTCGCAAAAGGCGCGCCGCTCGAAGGCGACCAAGTCGAGGACGATGGCGGTGAAGAGGTGCCAAGGCGGAAGCGAGTCAGGAGCCGAGGGACTGAGGGGCGCGGAGCTTTAGCGGAGCAGACGCTTTACTTCGCGGCTGAGTGCTCTACAGCTAAGAAAAGCCCCTCAAAGGACCTGACCAGTTCCCTCGCCGCAGAGAGTCATCGCGGACCGAAGTGTCTCTACCTGCGCAACCTTGTCAGTGTATCAAGACAGTAGGGGAGCCTCACTAAACAGATAGAGAGTCTGCACACAGCTCGCGCGCGGCAAACGCAACAGAAGGGAGGGATTGCCCCATTTCTCGCGGGTCATGCTCAACAGCAGATCTCTCGTGCGCCGCGGCCAGTACGCGCCATGCTCAACAGAAGGTAGGGATGAGCTCATCTCTACGGAAGATCTTTCTCGCATCACGCTCAACAGAGCGGGAGGATGTGCTCATCACTCTCGCGCCACGCAGTGGCGTCTTGTGGTAATTTGGCAGCACTCTGCCTCCCGTTACCCATTTAAGGAAGACGGGATAACTACTAGTAGTGGACATGAATGTTGTAAAAGTACAGGCACAGGCAGGTTCGTTTTCATTATCAAATAGGATTGATTCCGATCATTCCCTAGTGCTTGGCAGAGGCAGACATCAACAACACCTTCTAATTATTCCAAATCGCTTACCTGTGGTCCGAGATCCCGGCTTTGATAAGCCTGGAGGTCTCGTGTAACCGTTGCCGTGAGAGTCGCCATTTTCTTCGTTTTTGAGGTGTGATTCCTTGATGTAAGTAATCACTCAACAAGAAAGCAATTTAAGCTAATTCTTTCTTACTTCTTGTAATATGAATGAGTAAGTAGAGCAGATGAAGGTCGTGTTGTACTCGAGTAGAGCTCTGAGTATTCCAGATAACAACCGAGGCGGAATGTTAATATTACAGTTAATCCGTGTTTCAGCAATTGTTCATTTACCCACTGACTGAGGGACAGGTCTTAAGAAGAGAGCATTGCACAAAAAAATCCTGGGTAATGATAGTCATGCAGGAAACAAAGAATTGGATTTGGAATCAATCCTGATTATCGTATTCATCTGCATAACAAGTACGTTTATTAGATACATATAAGAAGGAAGAGGATCAATTTACTGAACTTGTATTCGATATAATAGCGAGGAGATGTTGCAGCATGAAAGTGTTACTGCAGGCAATTGAGTTCAGTTTTCGATCATGTTCCTGCTCGTCTGATTCAGTCCATTGATTCTTTCATCAGAGCAAGATTCATCCAGCATTCTTAAGGTTACGATTAGCATGAAAATTCAATAGTCTTGGATCGCGTGTTTCTGGTCGAACAGGACCACCATTTTCTTGGTTCCATTGCAAGAATAGAATTTTTGCAAGAACATCTTTTCCTTTTCTCATTTCTGTCGGTTTTTCATCGAAGTTTCTTCCGACATGAGATGAAAGTTCTATATTTCAAGACTTAGGTGCACACCACCAACATTCTTGAGACGTCGCACGATTTTCTTGTTACCATGAATGTCTGTTGAGAGTGCATGGGCATGCCGCGTAGTTCACAGTGAATTTCTCAACACTGAGCTGACGATACAACCCAGAGTGATCTACTTATGAATATTGCTATTCACGCTAGCAGATGAGTCCTTGTTTTTCGCGCAGGTTGTACTTCATGCGCAACCGAAGAAAAAGGGCATCAAGCTGCAAGAGTGAAAAGCGATCGCTCCTGACCATGTTCGCGTGCGCAATCGACAACTCGTGGACGATTTCTGCACGTAAGACATCATCGATCTCTTTTTCCAATGAATGAAGTGCTACTCGTCCCAGCCAGACCATCACGTCACGCAACGGATAACCTGCGCGCTCCAGTCGGAGGTATGAAAGAAGACAAGGAACGAGAACAGCTTGGTGTGATAGTAGTAGGATCAAGCTTGTTGTTGACGATACAACATGAGTTTCGAAATCCCATGGGACCACACCTTAAGCTTAACCTCACTAAACTTACAAATATTTCTACATCTACTCAAGAAACACTCACAATGAATTGTCACAAGGAACTCCCTTTCAACATTGAACAGGAGTGGGTCCATAACATTAGTGGAAAGAATGCCCGTCGCCAATCACGACCAAACAGGCAGTTTTTGAGGCATCCTTTCAATAATTCTGGATTTGGTGCGTCCGATACCTTGAGAACGTTTGCTTTAGTAACATCAATGCATCTTTTACTCGGAGGCTTTGAACTCCCTGCGGCCTGGGCGTCTGCTCCTGCTTCGTCAGTGTTTGTAATATGATCCTTCTTGTTTGTTGTACTTATAGCGGCACCACTTTCAACATCGTCCACGGCAGCGTCTGTCATTGCAACGTCGTGATCCTCGGCTCCTACCGAAGATATCATGCCTGCTCCTTCTCCTTCTCGTGACAGCACCACTTCTACAGGGTCGTCGTCGTCTCGGACGCGATCTGCGACAGCTTGCAGCATGGTTATTGCTTTTCGCATGTCTCCGTCTGCGATGAAAATCAATGCGTCTAGACCTTCAGCATCGTAGCTTAGACCCTCAAAGCGCGCCACTTGCACTACGCGATACAGCATTTCAACGGGTTCGATCTTCTGAAACCTGAATGAAATCAAAATAACATCGACCTCCGTCCGGTTCCGAGAAAATATTAAAGTCAAATAAAGTGCCACTTAATACAGCTGAAGCTGGAGAAGACTTGATGATCTATCCAGATGAAATGATCCGAAAATGAGAATCAACTATCTTATACATAGCAAGCTGAACAAATTTTTATACTACTTGAGCACGCTGCATCGCGATATAATCGCGTCCAATATCTTATTCGGGTGATTGCAGGCCAGTGCAAAACGCGCTCTGTGCGTATTCTGTTCCATCACCTTCCGTAATGCCTCCTGAGCTGGCATTGTCATCGAATCAAACTCATCCAAGAAGACGATCCGGTACGCCTCTTGGTTCTTCAGCTTCACGTAGGTGCGCAGCCAATTTGTAATGGTGTCACGCACCACGTCTATTCCACGCTGATCTGAGGCGTTCATCTCCAGTACGCACTGCTCCTTCTGATCTGAGAAAATGGTCTTTCTGAGGTGGAGACCAACTGAGACAAGACATTGATTACGGACATAGTAGATCTAGTAAAAATATAAGTGTCCAAGAATCCAACGAACTGCGAGCGCATTCGAAGTACTTACTAGGTCAACCCCCCGTCTACAAGATCAAGTTGCAAGGAATTATGGTAAAAGAACGATTTTAGCCAAGCAAGAAAGTAGGGTGTAGAAATTTGATTTTTTAGGCCTTGTCGAAAATACCTCCATGCAGTGTATGTGCGAGGATGTGTAGTGCGGTCGTTTTGCCGCATCCTGGTGGTCCGGCCAAAATCATCGATGGCATGGCTTCTGGTTCGAACGTGTACTGTTGTAAGACTGAAAGCATGCTGCAATTGCCAACCGCATCCCGGAAGCACTTCGGCGCATACTTGTTGACCCATAGCTCGTTGGAGGAAGAACAGGAACTACCTCCAATCCCAGCTGCCATAGCATTTCCGCCTAGCGCAATGCCTCCCGACGACGTGGTCGACTCCATGATCTTGATAAACGAGAATAAAGGTATAGACGGAATAGATCATGTGATCAGATCATACTTTTGATGTGTGGATTACGTTTACCGGATCGATGACAAAGATCTTGTGATACTCAAGAAAAGAATCAGCTTCACGAATAGTAAACACTACTACATGATTGACTACTGAACAGATACATAGATAATTTTTCCGAGAAGTTCCAACATCTAACAACTTAATCTTTTTCTGAAAGAGGCTTCGATTTTCGTCATGTCAAGCGGCAATGCTAGCCTTCGACGTGCAAATCGTTTTTGGTCGGATTAGCAAAACCGTGACATATCCATACGGAGTCTTCTACCGAATGGTAGATGAATCGTGAACACACTTTCTATTTCGTCAAGATAATGGAGCTTTTTGGCTCTGTTTTGGCATTGGCATTACCTTGCCATATTTAGAAGTTCTTGCATGTCGTTCATTTCCCGATGGAGGTAAAGATTCCATCATCGTACATTTTTCATCGTCTTTGCCGTTTCATTTACGCCATTATGGTAATGGAGTACATCCCAATCCGTGTTACACGGGCAGCAGCCTGCAAAATGCTATGTAGTGACAAATGGTCTATGGCGGAAGCTGGGAGCCCGGCAACATGATGTTCTTGTTGACAATGTGACAATACAAACAAACTAACAAAATTCATCTGCCTATCCTGGGATGAGGGGGCACCACCTTTTCCCAGAGATAGTTAGATGGTAAAAACAATGCTTAACAAACTCGGAAAAAATTAACAGCTTGAACGATTCACTCTGTGCGATAATGATGATGATCAAATAAACCAAATGCGTAATCTAGCACCACGGAAAGCCGATGTGGCGAAGCTTTTTAGTGTAAACAATAAGGGAGTTATTGAAGTTGAGAAAGGAAATTGGGATAATCTTCTAGAAGTCACAGCCACAACCATTGCCCTTCTCCGGTGGCCTCTCACCCGTCTACATTTGTAAACAGCTGATTCCGCCTCTTTTGGTCGAAGTACTTCCTCTTCGTCTCCTGAAGGTCATTTTGGGCCTTATCGACCTCGTCGCGGTAGTCTGTGACTTGAGCGTGGCACATGTTCAACTCAGCGGCGATGGATTTCATTTGGTTCGTTATTTCCTTCAAGTAGGTCTGGAACGCGGAAACCTGCGCAGCTACCTCCGGGCCAGGCTGCCGCTCAGTCACCTCTTTGATTAGAGAGAGAGGTAGGAGTGCCTGATTATTTTGAGCTTGGTCGTGCTCCTCTTCACGCGTGAGGCGAAGGTGTTCACTTGCGAACTTCATTAAATATGTTTACGTTGAGGATTCAAAGTTAGGCTGATCAACCTCAGTCTATTGATGCTAGAAACAGTGAGCCAGTCCTCGTGCATCGTAACTTAAGCTCCGCTATGAGCTTCTCCTTTTCCTGCAGCATGAGGTCGTAGTTGACGCTCTCCTCTGTCTTGTGTATGAGGCGCTTCTGCAAACTTTTGACTTTTTCTATCATCTCATAGACAGCCGGATCGGAACCTGTTTGACAAGAGTGAGCAGACAGAGCTAAATTCATTTTCGTTTGTATTTACTATTACTTTCTCGGAGAGAATAATTCATTTCTTGCCGATGTTGAAAGTCACCATTCTTTCAGTCACACTTTCTTACCTCCTGCAAAATAAAACTACTTAACGCATCATAATCGGAACAGCAAATGAACAAATATATGACAAGAATAAGTTTACCTTCCAACTTCCTCCATCTATGGAGATTCATGGGGTTTTCGAGTTCTTCTGATAAAGCCTTGACCTTTGTCCGCTCTTGAAGCAAGTTCCGCTGCAAAACGTAAATTTTTCTCTTCACGTCGTCGAGCGATGAGCCCTGAAAATGAGAGACGGAAGATTGATCAATCTGTAGGCTTTGTATTATCGAAATAAGATTCCGTTGTCGTTAATGTCCCGATGGCAGCTACGTAATCTATTGTCATTACTAAAGCCTATCAAAAATGTGGAACCTTCGCCTTGTTGCGCTCTGCTTCTCGCTGCAGCGTCCTATGCGTCACCTTCATGTTCCGCAGGTCGTCCTCGAGATCGGTGTAGACGAGTTCAGCCTTTTCCAACGTAGAAAATTGGATTTTCACCTTTTCGTACAGTAAAGCTAACTCGTCATTCCGCCTGATCAGTTGCGTTCCTAAGAGATCTCGCTCTGCAACGACTTCCTCGTACTCCGCTTTCTGCGCTAGGCGTGTCTGTTTATAAGGACGAAGAGGGGCAAGGATATTTGTAAGGAAGATCAGCAGGAGCAGAAGGAGGTCTCTCGTACGACCTCCACGGGAACTAACATTGCTGAGAAAAAATAAGGATGATCCTGTGAAAGCTAAAAACCATGATGATGTTGGTGCACCCATAGTACGACAAAGGATTCCAAGTCCAACCTAGAAACAATGATCAGTCGAACGACTACAAGACACAATCAGAAGTCGTTACCGTTTCGAACTCGTGTATTCTGTGTTCGAGTTTTTTGATTTCCTCATTCTCGAGCTCTGCCAATTGCGTTAAAGCCTGTTGCTTCTGCTTCGCCTTGCTCGCCTCTTCCTTTCGTTTCACACACTCCTTCTTCTTGCGATCGAAATCGTTCGTCTCCCGCTTCAAGGCTTCATCTTTCTCCCTAATCTCCTCTTTCAACTGCTCTATCTGGTGGAACATGATCTTGAATTTCCGCTTCGCTATATGAAGAACTAGGAGGAGGTGTATCTATACTGGAGACCACAGAGGCCAAGTCTTTTTTTGGAAACAGGGGGGAAGCCTTATCTCTGCACACACAATCGAAACTGGGGTTCGGAGCGCGGAAACCACGGGATTCTATATCTATTCTGATTGATGGGGCTAATTTAAAAAGAACAAGTAGATTATGAACATCCAAACAGCAAGATGAATTTACTTAGGCAGGGTCTAAACTCACCAATAGCAGAATTACTCTTGCAAGTCATAAATCTCGCTTATTTCGTCTTGACTTTCGATCAAATTCCGAGAGTAGCTATTCCTGTCCGTTCGAAGCTGCTGATATAGCTCTTTTTGCTGGTTGAGTTTCGTCTTCACTTCACCGCACGTCTTGCGCAAGTCCGCCGCCTTGTTTTCCGCTCCTTTAATCTGGTCTAACGTCTGGAAATACCTGTAGCGAATTGGAATGGGTTTTAGATCCACAAAAGATTGAATCTGAAGATTGCTTTTGTACGTTCTTGAAGTTGATAGAAACATCCCACCAGAAACAATTACTTACACAAGGTACACAAGGTCCGAAAATACTTTGCATTTGCAACGTTGCATTCTATGCCTAGCTTTTCTCGCGCTTTGTCCAGTTCCTGCACCCTCTTAAGACCCACTGCGACGTCCCTCTTCCACTTCTCCATTTCTGCCCTGCTGGCGTCTGCAGCCATGTCGAAAACCTTTACCCTGTCCATCTGAAGCTTCGACCGCTCATCCGTCTTTATCATCGCCCTATTCAACAAATCGCCTGGACAAGAGCAGTTGGTCGAGGAAGGAGAATGAAATTATGAAGAATGGAGATCAACACATAACAAACAAATCAATGCGTCTCAAGTAGCAATGCTACAGCAGAAGTGTCAGCAAGATCAACCGTTTTATATAGATACAACTACATAGGATCGTCTCTACTAGGAATGAATCTTCAAAAATTATCTGTACGTTCGTGCAAGAGGGAGTTGAGTTTGTTGTCGTCCTTCTGCGCGAAGGCGTGCAATCGATCTATTTCTTTTATTATCTCTTTCGTGTCAGCGACGAAAGCCTCCTTTGTGCTCAACAGCTCGCGAAAATTCAGATCTTCGAGTCTTTTTTTCCTCTTTACGTCAACCAAGACCCTTTCCGCCTTTTTGCATGAAGGAGGAAGAGGAAATTGGTAGTAGTTGTATCTTTAGGAACTTTTGTTCCCTCTACCTAGTACATATTTTCGCGGTATTGAAGCAATCGAGAGAGGTGCCCAATTCTGACCCTAGCAACTACCTAGAAGTAGGAGCACGCAATCATTTACTTCGCACACCCGTCAAGTACGAGGTACTCAGCTACGGTGGCGCAGGACCTGTGCACCGAATAAAACTTGTAAGCCCGACGAAACTGCAAACATTTTTTGGCCATAACTCGCTTTCCTGTCGGCAAATCCGCAAATCCTCGTTGAGCTTCTTTATCTTGCCCTTCAATTCCATATTGCTGTTGCTCAAATCGTCCTTCTTCTCGACCGCCTCCGCGAACGCCTTCTCTGCTCGTTTCAGATCTTCACTAAGAAGTTTTTCCTGCACTTGCAACTTCTCCAGGATTCGATTTTGCTCCTTCAGTTGCTGCTCTATCAGCGCGGTCCTTTCTCGTTGCATCTCAAATGTACTCGTCTGCTCCTGCAGTACTTCTTGAGTTAGAGCACGCAGTGCTAGCGAAATAAATCAGCTAGTTATAATCTGTGGTTATATAAGCAACTCGAATTTTTACTTGTGGATTTCAAGTTAAACTACGACAATGAATGGCAGGTTTAGGTATTTTTTGGTAATTTAAGATACCACTTGATTTCTGCAACATCTATGTTTCAACCTCATGGAAACGCCAAATTTTTTACCGACAGAACTCATTCATTGTTCTGCTGCAGTTGTGAATCCTAAGCCGAGATTTTGATACGTGTGCTTGAGTTCCGCCATGTCCTTGGAGACACGATCAAGTGCGCGCTGTTGCCGTTCGCTCTCGTTTTTCTTCGATGCGTTCATTTCCCGCAGACTCGTTATCTCCAGCTGTCCCTCACTCCGCTCGCTCTCCACCGTCTCCAACTGCGCCAGCAACGCTGCATTGCCAGCCTAGAAAAAGTAGACAGTTATGAAAAGTAAGATTTACTTAAAAAAGTAGAAACTGCGCTAGTACGAAATACTGCGATTTACGATCAACTATTGTTTCATTTGGTGCCGCTTTTAGACTCATTATTCATTGCAACACTAGCGAAATCACGAGTCAACATTGCAGTTTAGATACAGTGAGTGTGTCGGAGGTTTTCTGCAGATGCTGCTTGCTGTCGGTCAGCTCTTCTCTTTCCTTTCGTAGCTTATTCACCGTTTCCTCCTGAGACTTCGCTATTACGGCACCCTCCTCCACTAGTTTATCTGCGGAGAGAGTGGGAAATGAAATTGAAAATTCAGGTACCACCTCAAAAATAATTGCAAGTAATAATCCGTCAAGTCTTGTAGTTGGTAAAAGGAAAATAGCAAGGAAAATCGTATTTGGTATTTCTTCAAAGAACAAGCATCAAGTAGCACACATCTATACTGAGTTTCCCGATCTCTAATTTCAGCGTCTGGATAGTTTTTTTGGCGTTCGACTCTTTTTCTGCGGCAGCCTCGACTAAGCCCCAAGCTCTTGTAATTTCTGATTTCAATTCGTTGATAGTAGCTTCGTCCGCTTCTGACATGCGGAGAGCCGTTTCCACCTTCTCCGCATTCTCCACAATCTCTCCGTTCAACTCCCGTCCTTTCTTCATCAATATGAAAGGCTCGGTCAGGCTTGGGTGGAGGTGGACAGACGCCGTAGGTATCCATTGATTGGGAAAAAATGAAGAACGACAAGAAAATCAATATATCAGACGCTAGGAGTAAGTAGTGGAAAGCAATTATAGTGGCGAAGAGCTGTGCCCCTGTCCTGTTTAAATCTACAACATCCAGTACTAGGTACTTATTTACACTCGTCACACAAGCCCATTCATAAAAAGGCGTGTCTCGCTCTCGTGGCTTTTTTTCACTGCCCGGAAAAGCTTCTCGTATTCCGCGCGAAAGTGCTCGAGCCCCTTGTCGGCAACTAGTTGTGCTACAACCTGCAGACAAGTTGAAATTACTTTACGTACGAATGCAGATGATTCAAATCTTCGTGATGAAGAAGCTTTTCCATCACTACAAGATGAACATCGTCGAAGCGTCGTGACAAAATATGTTCCGAGGAAAACAACCAGCAACAGCAGCAGCAAATACAATAGTCCGAAGATGCAAAAACATGTACATGATGCAGTTATGGAAGTACCTCCTCAAATTCTGCTTCTAACTTCCCCAATTTTTCTGCCTCTATATCCTCGGGGAGTTTTTGCACCGGCTCAGGTTGGGCGCCTTCGCCAGCATCTGCCGCATCCAGGTCCTCCACATTCTCGCCTCTTTCCTCTCCTTCCTCCTCCTCCGCCATTTTGGTTGGCGGAAAAAGCGGCGGTCGTTATCTTCCTATAGATGCGTTCTTGCTTGCTGAACAGCTTTTTCTTTTCATATTTTCTTTTTCACTTCTTCCTCCTACAAACTAGTGGTCGTTGGATCCCGTAGCTGCTAGGTTGGATGAATGTTTTTTTTGTAAAAGTAAGCACTCAATTATGTCAAAGTCATTATGGATGGTGAAGATTTCTGACCACAGTTCTATTTTTACATCTTCATCTTTGTCTATTTTCTTTTTCTCTGCATGATTAGCACTAATGTTTTTCAAATCTTAGAGACTCAAACAAAGACTCCCACACTAATCATCCATGATAATACTGCATGTCAACGAATACGAAGGCCCCATTTGCGCAGATAGTAGTTTCAATGTAGCACTTTTGTACCGACAAATACGAATCATTTTCTCGGATCCGCACAACCGATAATAGCCGACTGCAGCAAATGACACCACGACCATTCTTGGCTAGATTCTCACCGACCAAGGAAATGATATCAATTTATTACTCGTCGTATTTTATATCCTTCGAACCCGAATGCAACCGAGAAATTCGACTTCCTGAAAACGAGACCGACATCCTCGAAGTTATCTCAAGAGATGAACAGCAACTAAGTACGATGGCGAGCTGGTGCCAGTTCGGAAGGGTATAATAGTTCTTGATAGGAAGATCGATATATTTATTCATTTTTGGTATAAGTCGTGTAAGTAAGGAACAAGAACGAGTGTTCTATATCTATAAGTCGCTGGGAGTCTTAGGTCTTGAGGCATTGGTTTGCGGAGAAGAAATGGACAACAGCTAGCACAACATCTTCTCATCTTCACGATGATACCAAGAGTAATTTTATTGCAAGACGACATGTGGATGCGTCCAAAGAACAGCACGTCTTCGCTTGGAAAATAAAAGAAGCCCGAAATATATATATAGTTCAGCTAGCGAAAGTAATCGGTCAAGCGACCTCTTGAGAGTCGTGTACTTGTTGTACTCTAGTATGACACACTGTGATGACTAGCTACTCACTTATGGCGTAGATATAGAATCCTCTCGTCTTGACGTTAGCAGAATTCTTTTCTCACCAAGATTCATCCATGAAGACCCAGAAGCTCTAGCCTGAAATACTCTTTCTCATTCATTACGGATGGAATTACGACTACTCACGGATCGGCCTACGACTGCTCACGGATCGAACTACGACTACGCACGGATCGAACTACGACTGCTCTGTCACAGCTACCGTTCGTCTATTTCTGGCACTGCTCTTTTTCTGTCAAACAGCGTCTGTCATTGCTCTTCGTATAACGTGAAGAAGATGTTGCAATGCGATACTGCTGTTGCTACTTCTGCTACGAGGATGTCACATCAGGGGTATAAGTTGGAGTTTCGTTCGTATTTCGGAGGCGGAAGTCGGATTCGGAACGGTCTGTATGTACTACTGCGAGAGCGAGGGGACAGCGAGCTAGGTGGAAAAGAAGAACGTCGTTATAACAACTTGAGGAAAGGGGAACAAGAGTACATTCGGGTTCCCGCTCACCACGTCATCCCTTCAAATGTAAATGATATCGAAGGATGTCATTTTGTTGTCGGGCCTTCCTCAGTTCCTCTTCTAGTTCCGCGAAGCGTTCCTGCTTTTGCCGTGACGTCTCTTCTCTTTGTTCATATGATTGCCGCTGAGTATGCAATCGTTCATTCAAGTTCCCCACAGCCTTGTACAGTACTTGATTTGCCTCTCGGAGCTTCTCGTACCTCTGGGCCACCTGGAGTGGGAAATTATTAGGGTTAGATGAAGCGGCATGCAATAATCTTTGCGAGCTTTCGACTCTCACGACCAGTCGAAAGGAAAGCTACAGCGTGAGAAGCATTTTTGTCGCCTAGATTTATTCGTGACTACAACAAGAACCTACTGTATTATGTAAGAAACAAGGACTATACCATGTGCAATAACAGCATCCATCGTCGTATTTTAAGTATAACACTAAAAGGTCAACTAAGTACTTACATTCACTGTAAGTTGAGTAAGTACCTCGCTTCTCTTTGCGAACTCCGTTAAGAGCTTCATGGCTCTTTGCCTTTTGTCGCTTTCATCACTGGCGGTCTCAAACGCTAGCAGGAATTCTTGTGCCCATCCCTCTAGGGTTTCTGGTGCAACCCATGCGCTGTTTTCTGGTAATCCACCGCTCGACGACAGAGAATCCGCATGGGAGGATGACAGTAGTCCACCTGCTCCTCGCTCTTGCGAGGAGAACATTCCTCCTCGGTCATCCTGGTCCCTATAGGCTCCTGTCGGCGATATGTTAAAAGCGTGCTGTCGCTCCTCCTCTTCGACGTCGCGCAGCTGCCGCTTCCGCGGCCTACGCTGGAGACACTCCTGGACCTGACCCAGAGCCTTGATCCCCTCCTCCACATGGCTACTCTCCAGGATAGACGAAACAATGCCCGAAGGAACTTCGTACCTACAAGAATAGATGTTTTTGACAAGCGTGATCGAAATGATAAAGAAGACAACAACCGTGATCGGACGATTTTAGTGGAATTCTGATAGGCTAACTGTAATTACTATTTTGCAGAAATAAAAACATTACACTTTGATGCATCCGACTCGCGAGAAAGAGATGAACGGCATGGAGACCCACATGAGTCAGAGGAGCTGCTACGATTGGCTTGTAAGACGAAAAGAAAACCTCCACGGCACACATTAACTAAGAGTGTGAATACCATAGATTTATAAAAAAAAAACTAGTATAGTACCTGTCACTAAGTTCCTGGACTACATGATCTGGCATCTCGAAGCGGCGCCGTTTATTTGCCCCCTCTGCATTTGGGCTGCCGAATAGCTCTCGCATTTCAACGGTGCTGTACTCGGCCGGTCGCTTGCTCGTTCCACCGCTGTGATCTCGTGGTCCACCATGATGACCGTGCGGTGGTGGGGTGTTGTCGCCACCTACAAAAACACTGCCCGCTCCAGTGGTCGCTGAAGAGGACGTTGATGTGCCTGTAGTGCCGATGTTGGTCCCAGTTCTTCTACGGAATCCCCGCCAGTCGTTGGGGGCGCTCGAACTGGAGCTACTCGAAGCCGCCATAAAGGAAGTCTTCATTCGGCCTGGACTATTGCCGACAAACGCATCACGTCGCAAGGGACCGCCCAAATCAAAAAACATTATTTTGTATTTTCACCTTTCAACAGCAACGGCGTACAACTAGTCAAAAAATATCGAGACTTACAAGTAGCGCCAAAAAGATGGATCAACACCCAAATTCTTAATACGAATAGTTTATTGCACGTCGAAGCAGCTCAGATGTCGCTATAAAAACTTCTATTTCTACAAGAACAGTATGATACAAAAGTAGGAAAACAAAACTGGAGTGAGTCTGTGTAGATTATATATAAGTGCTCTGGACCTCCCGTCCGACAATACCTATAATCTACCTCGCCCCCAAAGTATGTGCCCGAAAATAATGTTTGTCGCTGTCAGAGGTTCGAATGTGTAGGAGGATTGCAATCTGGCTGTCGGTGTTTTAGAGAAAAAAGGGTCAATTTACATAGCGGCCCTGAGGCGAGCATGAACTCGTTTTTCATAAGTGGGTCTATGATCAAATACTTTCTATCTCCTCTCATCCGGGCGACGCGATCACGACCCAAGGTTGTCATCGTATCGGTATTCAATGAAACGATTCGAAGATTGAACACGTCTCAGTACCTTCCTTCTACAGTTTGTTATCGTGCTCACGACTTTGTTGGCCCTCTCTATATAAAGAATATTACATGAAGAAACAACTGATCGATAATCTTTATTCCCCAACGATTACATTTCGATTTCAAGAGGAGAACATGAGAGGATCCGCGACCACACGACACTAGAATCTTGCTTGTAGAGACCTCCATTCTTAGAAATTCTAAAATCATGTCACGCGTATGCTTTTATCAATGAGCATACTGGAGGCGTTTCCTAGACTCGTTCTCATTCTAGACTCGACTTAGAAATCGTTCAATCCTCTCTTTTTCGAATATCGAACAGCTGCTGAAACGAGGAAAGATGTGCTTAAACATCGATCCTGTCCTGGACAAACATACTTTCTCGTGCAAGGGATTCATAATGGTTCCAACGGCAACATCAGGGGGGTTTCATTTCGCCAATATAAGTGGTGGAGCCAACCTAACTAGAAAAAGCAAAAAAAGGAAAGCATGTACATATAAAACATCGTCGAATCATAATCGTCGATAATTTCTTCGAGTATGAATTGTAGTGTTATGGAGATATAACGAACTCTATACTACTAGAAGGTCCATATACGACGCTTACTAATCATTTGGCGCGACGCTTCGCGAATCGGTAATGAATGACCTTACCTTTTTTGTCAGTGATTGCTGTCTTTTTACCTTTTGCCTGAGCATCTCTTCGATTCTGCATAGCACTGAGCACACTCTGGAGTTTTTGCGTTCGCTCATTTTCCTGTTCCGCCTTGACTAAGTCTGCATGCCTGGCAGCAGTGAGGATTTGAGCCCTACGCTGCTCTTTTCGAAGTGCACTTCGACTTTTCTTTCCTGATAAAGAGGAAGATGCGGAGGAGACGCTCGCTTTATTTGACGGCTGTCCTACATCTAGGCGATGAGTTTCTTTTTCACTGGCAAGAGCTTTTTCGTCAACATCGTCGCTGTGGTCCTCTTCGTTGTCGCCTTCGAAAACTACATGCTTTTGGTTTGCATCTTTGTAGCCAATGAAGTGCATCTCCCCATCTCGTTTTTCTGTTTTTTTCTTGTCGAGTCGAAGCCGCCACTCCACGTACTCCCGATCAGCCGTTTCCGCTGTGCGCTGCTCGTCCTTACTCAAGTGGTCAAACTCCCGATTTTTTTGAGCCTGCTCTTTTGACAACTTTTTGCCGGCAGGTCCAGATGCCTTTTTCGCAGAAAGCTTGTCCGCACCGGTGCGGCCGTGACCGACAAGTGCCGCTTTACTATGTAAGGTCTTGAATTTGCCTGTGGCGTCATCGATCTTGCCACGGAGCATGCCATATGCGAACTCGTCAGGGTTACGCTGCCGCACTTTCTCTTGCAAATGCGCAACATGGTCGCGCTTCTTGTGGTAGTCCTTCGCACGCAAGACATAGTCCTTTTTCTTCTCCAAGAGACCTAGCTTCTGTCTAGCGAGCGGCTGGTGTCGCTCCAAGTGCACCCGCCGCTTCACCACATTCCGCAAGTTCTTCATCTTGTGTTCTTTGGTTTTTCCTTCCTCGCTACGAAGATGATGTGACTTTGCTTGCCTACCTACAGGTAGCAACAAAGTTAAATATTTAGTCGATAGAAGTTCAAACTTTTTCTGCTAAAATATTGGTCGCAAGTGTTCATCTCCCAAGGAATTATGCAACACAAATGTAATTTGGCCGATACATAAGGATAATCTATGAGTGATAATAGACTCAAGTCTGTCATAACAGAAAAACAGGATCCGAGGATCTTAGAGAGGAAGCTCTTAGGAGATCAGGCTGGAGGTCTAGAGTTCGATCTTCCAACATTTCTATTCGTAGAGTCCTTCTACCTGATAAGCTTCACTTTTGAAAGTCGAGGATCTAGCTTTTGCTCCGTTGACCTGTAGAGCATGACATGCTAATTGATAGATCTTCATCGTTTTAGTGTTTCTGTCATCAAGATAAGATAGTGATCCGTACCAGATTTCAGACGTATTTTCCTGGCAATATTATTCAACAGACAGGATTTGGATTTGGAGATTTCAGGAAAAGTTTCTTTTTTTTTTTGTATCCTGAAGCTACTGAAAGAGCGGCCTCAGCTTTATCCAGTTCGCAAACCATGTTTCTGGCCACCACATGGGGCACGATACGCTGATGATCCTCATGAGAACTTCCGCGAAGAGAGACTATCCGTTAGAACGGTTCAAAATCAAAGCCCGCGCTTGTCTCATGAAGATCCCAGCGAGGATTGCTCTGGCACATGATCGCGCAGGAAAAGTGCATCAGAACTTCAAGCCATTTCTCATCAGATTTCTATCTTGTCTTGAACTCTCTTTGTTTGTCTTACTGTACCTGACCACGATGAGTTCGTATATTTACACGAAAGCTTCCGCTTAAAAAACTCTTGCAATCAACAAACAATCACAACTCGCGTATTTTCTACTATTCTCGGTAACGTGCTGGAACGTTCTAGTTGACAGTATATCTGTGCGTCTTGCGAGCACAACAACAATTTAGTATGTTCCTGTGAACCTGATCAAATCCCAGCTTTTCTTACCTCGAAATACTCATTCAAATTTTCATTTAACCTTTCCACAGTGAGTGAATTTACATTTTCAGACGAAGGAATTTCTCAAAAAGTATCGTCACCACATCTGTTTCATCTTCAGGTTTATCTCATATCAAGTCTATCTATTTTACAAAGACATACTATCTATGTATATATCTATCCGAAGAAGTGCGCGAATCTTCATAAGCCTCACTTCCATCCCAGCACTTTAATCTGCACAATGCGCCACACGCCGGAGAGGAAGTACCCTTTTGCAATTATCTCCAGTGCGTCGTCCACGGATGTATCGTACGGAGGGAAATACGATTAGAATGGGATGATCACACGATGTTGTGGAATGCCAAGAACTAAGTCAAGGCACACTCGGGAAAGGCAAAGGGAAGTGGCGAGCTTATTCTGATAGTAGTCCTCGTTGAACAACAATGAAATCTAAATTTTGGTCATAAATCAACGGATCGTCCTGGTCAGTACACGAAAGGTGGTTGATTACCGTTCGTGTGTGCGAGAGTTCCCTGAAACCGCTTTCTCCACTGATGTTACCGTGTCCACTGCGTCCGATACCACCCTGCGGCGACTCAGGTCCGTACACAGCAGACGCACAGAAGGTGGCGTCACCTGACGGGATCTGTGTAAGCGCCGACTCACAGAAACTACTGTCCATTACTTTAGAGAGCATAAGTAGCAAACTCATGTTGGAATACATACTGCACAAGATGATAAACATTAAGAGAGTTGTACTTGTACTTGATTGATGCCATTACCAATCATACCAGCGAACCCATTTTCTAGCCACGAGAAAACGAGGAACCTTTCAAGGTTCACCAAAAATCATAATTGAAAAAACATGCAGAACTAGCGGATTCCGCCGCTCCGGAGCATTCACAATGGCTGCAGCACGCTGTAGAAAAGCCTTATCGTTATCCTCTGATACTGTGAGGACCGAAACGACCGGCCCAAATACCTCTTCTTGCATTAGCTTTGAGGTAAGCGCTGGATTCTTCACAATCGTCAAGGGCACAAAGCGCTCGTTGTCAATGCGACCTCCACTCTGGTTAACCGGAAAATCAGTGGGCAAGCCACCTCGAATCACCTTCCCACCATGGGTATCTCGCAAAAGACTGCAGACCCGGTCGAAGCTTGCTTTGTCCAACAGTCGGGCCAAATCTGGCGACCCCGCTTCCTTCTCGATAGAGTCCTTACTATTGGCATACGCAGCGCCGGACTTCACCACTGTCGCGGAAAGAGCTGCTTCTCCACCTGACGCTGAAGTACACATTTCGTCCCACACCTCGGCCAGTGTAGTTGCGAGCAAATCGGCATCTTTCTCCTTGCAAATGAGAATTAGAGAGAGTTGTACGAGTAGTTTTTTAGAGAGGTTATATATAAATGTTGTTGTACTAAATGAACATCTTAGCCGTGATTTTGAACGAGTCACTATAGATAGTTCACACATAATCACTGCACTTAAAAAGTACTCAGTTGAAGAACGAGAACTAGAAGAGGATGAGCCTTAAGATATAGTCAACTGCGGTACATACTTGGCCAGCATTCAGGTGCTTGATGAAGAGCAGACGACGAATCAAGTTCCGCTTCTTCTTGCTCAATGTGCCTCCTGAAGCCGGCGTCAACAGCGTCGAGTCGAATATAGCCGGATTTTTTCCGCCCAACTCCAGCGTCACAGGTGTCAATCGTTCGGCTGCCGCTTTCGCCACCATTTTGCCTACAGCCGGCGAGCCCACGAAGACAATGTGGTCAAATTGGAGGTCATTCAAGATGCGCTGCATTTGTGGGACTCCTCCAGTAAAGACTTCCACACCAGGCAAGCCTGCAAAAAGCTTGACACAGACCTTCTCCATCTCTGGTGCTTTCTCAGACGGCTTTAGCACCGCGCAGTTCCCGGCCACAATGGCTGCGCATACCACATCTTAGAACCAATTATTATAAGTTGATAGATAAAAAACATAACAAAAAAAAAATCTATATTATTAATCTATATTATTAATCTATATTATTAATCTATATTATTAATGATCGCCGCCATAAAACTCCCCGCCTAACCCACCGGAGATTAGTCAGCTTCTTTCGCGAAGCTATTGCCCATAGCCTCCTGCCCTTTCCCCTCATTCTCAAGCCCGATAGCCTCCGGCCGTTTCCTTGTTGGGATTTACGTTGCGGCCCCGTGGCAGACCACCAGAAAAGAAGGCAGAAAAATGGCCGACGGGGGTGGGGGCGCAAGCTGGGGAGAAAAGTCCAAAGAGAGACAGCCAACGAAAGACCGCCCACCGAAAGGGCAAAGACCTTGGACCAAAGACACATGGACCAAAGCCGATCTTTGGGCCAAAGACGAGCTTTCGACCAAGGGCGATCGTTGGACCAAGGGCGATCTTCGGACTAAAGGCGACCTTTGGACCAAAGACGACCTTTGGAGCACAGGCGATCTTTGACCCAAAGACGATCTTTGGCCCAAAGGCGATCTTTGACCCAGGGGCGACCTTTGGACCACAGGCGACCTCTGGACCACAGGAGACCTTGGGACTTAAGACGACACTGGGACCAAAGACGACCTTGAAACCAAAGACGATCTTGGGACCGAAGACGACCGCGGGACCACAGGCGACCTCTGGACCAAAGTGCGACGACCTCTGGACCACAGTAGGGCGACCTTTGGACCAGAGTAAGGCGACCTTTGGACCAAAGTAAGGCGACCTTTGGACCAAAGTGCGCCGACCTCTGGACCAAAGTAGGACGACCTCTGGACCAAAGTAAGGCGACCCTTCGGCCTCTGGACCAAAGTAGGGCGACCTTTGGACCAAAGTAGGGCGACCTTTGGACCAAAGTAAGGGAGGCGACCTTTGGACCAAAAACGACCTCTGGACCACAGACGACCTTTGGACCAAAGCCGACCTTTGGACCGAAGACGACCCTTGGGCCACAGGCGACCTGTGGACCACCGGCGACCTGTGGACCAAAGACGACCTTTGGGCCCAAGACCTCCGACAAGACAAGAGTGAGACCCACGACAGCAGACATCTGACGAACGACCTCCGCCAGAAAAACTGACGCGGGGCCTCCCTGTGGCGCGAGGCCCTTGAAGATAACGAAGACCTTTCGCGAAGGACGTCAGTCCGGCGAACGCGGTCAATCTGGCGAAGCACGTCAGTCCGACGAAAGAACGGAATCAATCTTACGAAGGAGAGACATCCACAGCCCGAAGAGAGGCCCCGCCCAGCCTGTTCCGACGCAAGGGAGACGCCTGGCGAAGCATTGCGCCGGTCTGGCGAGAGGCCTCACCTGGCTGGCGAGTGCATCAGCCTGACGAACGGCGCCGACCTGAAGCAAGCCATCAACCTGACCAAAGGCGTGAGTCTCGGCCCGGCGAGGAATGTCAGCCAGGCGAAGCGCTTCAGCCTGACGAGAGACGCCGCCCGACCCTGACGAAAAGCCTCAGCCTGACCCAAGACGCCTGCCGAGGGGCGCCGGCCTGCCCGACCCGCCAGCCTGGAGCAGAGCGTTGCTCTGACGAACGGCATCAGCCTGATGGAGGGCCTTGGCCTCCAGCTTGGTGAAAGACGTCAGCCAGCCGAGAGGCTTCAGCCACAGCCCGAAGCGCGACGCCGCACGGCCCCGCAAAGTGCGCCCGTCTGTTTCTGACGCGAGACATCTGACGAAACAAAGAAGCCCCGCCAGGTGTAAGCGCGTAGAGAGACCCAAGCAGCGCGGCCCTGCGTTGCTTTGTCTTGTTTGGCCCATCGAGGTCGCCTCTCGTTCTTGCCTGGCGCCACCGCGGGGCGCTTGCGTGCGTTGGGGCTTGCGGATTCTTGTGCGTGTCTGGTGGCTCTCTTCTGGTTTTTTTGTTGGACTGCCGTGGGGGTCTTGCAAATTCTTAAGAATTTGCATGACCCGCCCGGCAATCTCAAAAAAAAACCGAAGGCAGCGCAATGCCCTGCACATGAGTCGACGCATCTGAGTCGGCCACCGCCGGCACTCGGCTCTTGTCGTAGTCAATTCGTAAGGTGCAACAGCTCACCCGCGGGATGTCTCTACTCTAGCGGCTGTAGCCCGTGGGAGGCCGCAGAAAAGTGCTAAACTAACTTGAAGCCGGGCGAAGCTTGTGGAGGCTAGTAGATTGATACAGAAAAAATTAAAATCTGAGACTACGTTTGTCACTGACAAGGACAACATACAGATGCGGTTTTACCGAAAGAAATCCAAAGAAAAAGTTGATTCTTCTAGAGGAAGTGCCTCAGCACAAGAAAAAATGAGTTTGAACTTAGAAATTCAAAATGACAATTTTGTTCTAGTACAAGAAAAATATATTCATAAATCTTGACGCATTCTGTTAAGGGGTAGTTCCACGGTCCGACGCACAGGACCACGCCCTTGGGTTCGTACCGGACCTCCTGGTACGAAGTTCCAGACTTTCGCACTGCCGCATAGGCTGCGATGTTGCGAACGAGGACATCGATCCGGTTGCACATGGGGGCATAGTCGTAGATACTTTGACGGACGCAGCGACCGAGGTCCTTTTTGTAGCCCTCGATAATCTCTCTCTTGCAAGACTCGACTCTCGCCTTGATCGCAAGCAAGCTCTCGGTTCGCCAACCGAGAGGCCGCGTTGTCCCGCTCTCGTAGAACTGGCGCAGCTGCGCTACGCGTGCTTCAAACCCCACTTCACTCATCTGGAAAATATTCACAACTGCTCAAACAAATCAACTCAAGGCTTACGAGGGAATAAAACTTCTCTGTATTGACACACAAAAATAAATATCTACCAGATTCTAGACACACCTTTTCACATAAATTTCAAATACAAACTTCTCTCGTAACGAAAGCTTGGACGCGTTGTTGCTCGGCTAGAAGTAGAACATCAACTGAGCGTCCTACTTCTTCCTACTACTGAATACTGATTCATAAATTTCTAACAAAGATGAAAGGGAAAATCGTATCTCTATTTACGAAAGAATGATGAAACGAGTTGTTCCCTCGAGCCGTTTTTGATAGTCAGCATTTTAGAGCTAAGCCCCATCTCGCGTTTTAATCTACACATCGCATGAATTCTACAATCTGCTTGTCAATGCATTTCCGTATCTGCTCAGTGATAGATGCAAAGAAAGGTTTCTCTCGACAATCAACAAAACATATTCCATCGTTCGCTCAAACATCCTGAACACGCACACGTTACAACCGCAATAAGAGTACTTTTGACTCTTTGCTGCTTATCGAGTCGAAGTTTGTAGTGTAAACTAGTACCTAGAGAAACTGGTTATTTTTCCGTTATTTTCACATCCACACTGAAAAGTGTGTCCTCTCGACTAAGCGGGAAAAGTGCTTTCTTCGAAGCAGAATGGTGATACATCTAAGTCCACCCGCCTAGGGCCGCAGGACTAGACATCAATCTGTTTGGCAGCCATTTGATGGAAACACTGATGTTGAGAGTCTGATTGACCTAGAGCGAATACAATGCCTGTACAAGAGCCTGCTTACGCACTCAAGTGAACGTCACGTGCGATTATCTTGGCTTCTCTTTGCAGCTAGAGCATTGGTGACGCCTTCCTTGGGAGAATGTTTCAGGAACGCGGGAACGGGAATTTAATCGCCGTGGGTAAGAACAAATGCGTGCGGACGTCAGGATGCATGGGTTAGCGTAGAAACGTCAGCTAGCGTAGACTGTCTCACGCTCGTCTTGACCTAATAGGGGTTGGTGAAAAGCCGCAGGATGATTCACCTCCTCCCCTTCGTGGTCTTGAAGCGAAGTTTCCGACAACAAGCCAAAGAATTCACAGTCAGCAATGTTCGGGAAGGGTAACGGGTCATCCGTTTGTGCTGTGTCCTCCGCCTGCTGTTGCCATAGACGTATTTCGCGAAGACAGCTCCTTAAGACAGTGACATACCTGCCGATTCCTGAACTACGACTTTTCTCTCCATTTGCCTTCCGCAGCGCCACATCTGCTAACTGTTGTGTCCTCGCACCCTCAGCGAGCGCTCGCTGCAACTGCTCCAATAGTGTTTCCACGTCGTCTAAGGCCGTTGTACTAGGATTTGCCGCTTCAACGTTGTTCAGGTCACCATGGCTGGCATCGCCTTTTTCGCCAGCAGTTGATGACTTTGGCTCCAGGGAAGAAGCTGAATTCACTTCCCTCTCCTCATCGTTTTCTGCTGCGCTTGCATTCTTACGCTGCCGTTCTAGTGCACAGCTGAGGCGCACTTCATCCGCTATTTGCGTGAAAACGCGCTGCAAGAGGTGTGCCAGTGGATAGCTTGCCAATTGCGTCTGCTTAATCAGGAAAATAGCATCTACGTACTGCTCGCTCAACACCAAGATGTCTGCTACAGTGAAGAAGTCTCGAAACCGCAACGCCATGTCCAACGCTGCCTGCGTCAGCCACGTGCGGTTCTTTCGCAAGTTTTTCAAGTACAAGTCTCTCTGCGCTTTCCTTGTTGTTCTAGCTTCGTCGTGAACATCTGTTCCATCTCGTGCGGGATCGTGGTCAACCAGAAAAATCGTCTGCGGTACGTTCTCGGTGGCAAGGAGCAGCGAGACCAGTCGCCGACACAGGTCCGGGTCGTCTAGGAGCACGTGGTAGTGCAGGAGCTGCTGAAGCACGTGGAACTGCTCGTAGTAGACGCACAGATCGAAAAGAAAGCACTGCAAGACGCGATGCGGCATAATCTGCAAATTCAGCAGACTGTTCAAATACACGATGGCAACCTGGAGTAAGTACGGTGCTGACGTGGGAGCCTGGATAGGCCCAGCACCTGATGGGATAGTAGGAGATGGTGATGGACCGCTATTTGTACAACTAGTACTGGCGTCGCCGGCTGCTGCACGCGGTGGTGGCGCGAAAATGTCTTTCGGAGCAGCTTCGTTCGCACCCGCCGGAGCCGTGCCATAGTACGAGTCGCGTCGAAAGAAAAGAGCACTCGGTTGCGTCCAACGCAGGCACGGGACAGTGGAACAGCTGTCAGGCTCGCCCCGCCGGTGCACAAGTTGTATCGGTCGCAAGTTGTCAGGCTGCAGTTGGTATGCGTCCCGCCAGGTGCTCGCGGACGATTCCCGGGCACCTCCCGGTCCGCCCATCGGCGAGCTCATCGTGGGGTCAGAATTCACGACAGAAGAAGCGTCTTCCTGTGCCTGATCTTTGGTGGAAACTCTGTCTCCACGACTATCTTCAACTTCGACAACAAACTGCGCGCTGCTTCCATGGCACCGGTGGAAAAACGGAATAAAGACGTCTAGGACCACGTCCTTGTCTGTCAAGGCCGTGCGGCCGGTCGCTCGTAGGTAGGAGACGAGCGCAGAGACCGACACGCGCTCGTCATCATCCTTCGGAGATGTTGAACTCTTCTCTTTCGTCGCGTCGCCTCCTCCCGGGGCAGCACCATCTGCTTCTACTACCTGCTGCTCGCTATCATCATTCGTCTTCTTTGGTGTTCCACCAGCACTGCTTTCCTGCTCTGCGGATGCGGTCAGACTACGGGACGCGCCGACTTCGACTGCTGCATCAATGGCCGCTCGATAAGCCTGGTTCAGGACTCCAAAGTCGTGCGCCCACTCCTCCAATGAAAGCCTGTTTTCCAGCGCCCGCTCGAGCAAAAAGCGCACCCTGTCGCGTGAGTTCGGACGCCGCAGTAAGAGACCCAGCAGGTAGGTGGAGAGAAGGCTCAGCCTTGAACCCGATCCAAATCTTGAGGGGTCCAACGCATCGCGCGACGCACCACGGCGGTGCACGTTTTTCTGCTCTGCGGCTACCTTGCTGGCGACTTGCCGCAGGTATTCCTCGTACGAAGTCGGCGGTACCTCAACCATGCCCTTATCGCCGCCGGCGCCTGCAGCTCCCGCCGCCGCGCTGCCTGCGGCACTGAGGATCGCGGACGCCGACTCGCCACCGGTGTGGACCGAGGTCGCCAGCGCCGCTGCACCGGCCAGTCCGCCGGTGAGTGCGTTCAGAGCAGGAAACGCGCCACTCGCCTCCGCGCCAGCCGAAAACTGCTGCCCGAACTCTTTCAGAATACTCTCCTCCAGCGTCTGATGTACGAAATTTCGGCGAAAGAGCGTGAAGTTGCGTTCGAAAAAAGCCAGGACTTGGTGCAGATCCAGCTCCAAAGAGAACAAACGGCCCTGCCCTCGGTCCAGGACTACGTTTGATGCGGATATGTAGTCCAGCGCGTTATCAAAGGAGCGAAAGAACCCTATCGCCTGGCTCTGCGGACATCGCACGTCGTAGACCCAGCTCCACCCTCGGTCAACACGATGCACAACCAGCAAGTCTCCGATCACGGATGTGCGTAACGGTCCCCGCGCCGTATCCAATGGAACCGCGATCTCACTTTCACTAGTACTAGACCCTGGTGCCTTTCCGTATCCGGATGTTGTGTACATCAAAGTATCATTTTCATGCTCCCCAAGTCCCTGCTGTTCTTGTTGTGATGAACCTGGTGCTGCTCCCGCCCCGCTCAGGCTTCTGCCTTCATTCCCTAGAAAGTAAGGCGCCTGAGCCGGCACAATCCCGTTGACCAGTTCCACGGCTGGAAAAGGCAATACGGAGAGCACAACGTCATTCTCCGGCGTGCTTTTGCGCGCGTCGCTGATGTTTCGCAGACTCACCTTTTTTAGTTTTGAAAGGAGGTGCTTAAGCAGAATTGAGTTTGAGAGTTTCTGGATGACGAATGTAGAATCAATCTACAGGTTGATGCAACAATCACGAAAGCGGTTGCATCAAATTATAAGTACGTCGACTTCGACTCCAAGGAAATCCTAAAGTTGCTGTCTATGCCGGTGCTGATGCTCTATTAACACAAACGTCGATGAGTTACTTTGCCGTGTATGACATCGAGATGCACGCAGTAGGTCTCTCCGTAGAGCGTGAAGACGTTGACATCGAAGTGCTCAATGCTCTTGCTTTTTCCGATGTAGAGGTCAAATTTCGGAAGCTTCTGCGGTGTGCGTCTGGGTCTCAGATCAAAAGGCTGCAGTGTGCGGGACCCGATGCAGCACACCATGAGTCCCTTCTTCGGCTCAACCCACACTTTCCGTGCTTGCGTCTGGTAGGTACGCGCCGACTTGACAGTGTGTTTTACGATGTTGATCCGAAAAATTTCGATGCCACACGTAGACACGACAACAAGTTCCAGTGGGTGGCGAGGAGCAGGCAAGGCCATTCCGGCATTTGCGTCAAGCTCCGTCGTTTGTGGTTCATACGGGGAAGGGACTAGATGTGCTGGCTGAGTTTTCTCAGCTCCTGTAGTACGTGCTGCGCCATGCGCGCGGCGCGGAATGAAGCCGGCGGGACTCCAGAAGAAGGACAACACCTCATAATGCCTCTCTTTATTCCATTTTTGTGTCAGGGGGATCCCAGGCTTCCCGTCGGCGACATCTTGCCGTGTAGTCACGAACACTTGCTCCTGAATGGATATATAATTATAGCTGGACTTGTTGTAACTCGTCGAAAAGTAGAAGATACTCATCTTTGCTCCAACAATGATGGGTCCTACTTAGAATCCTAGAAGTTGTCAGTACCTGATTTCCTACAACGTACGCGAGATACCAGTCGTCAGGCGCAAACCGTGCGTCCACAACGACATCCTCGGTCGCTACTAGCGGCATAAAAAAAGGTTTGCTACTACTAGACGAGCTAATGCTACTGCTACTAGTAGCCACTGCAGTGCTGCTAGATGAGCTTGATGCCGCAGCGTTTTCCAGCTCCATATAAAAGAAGCCAGGCGTGCCCGCACTGTCATCGGGAAAGTGTAGGGCGCGATCCCACAAGCGGTCAAACGTAACCCGATCAGTGCGCCCAACCGGCCACTCGTAGAGAGGCCCACGCAAGGACAGCGCAGCCATAGTCGCGCTTCGGCTGCAAGGAAAATGAAGAAGTAAGTACCCGAGAAAGGATGATCTCGGAGTCTCGTCGATCTATTCGCTTCGCTACCGTTCGTTGTTCCGACCCGCTTTTAGTCTGTTCTTGATGCCCAAGTAGCTAAACGGAAAGGTGATTCTTCAAGGCGCCTTCTTGCCTCTAATTAGGCAGCTCCAAGAGTAGTAGTGAGTCTCGACCCAACGACTGTAAGACATAATATGAGCTATCTCTCAAGCCCATGTCCAGGTAGTCCACAGCAGAAACAGACTCATGTTCTGTGTGCCCTCCGCGTTTCTCCCTTGCTGTCTGCGTCTGAAAGGGGACGTCACGCCTTGTTCATTCTTCAACAGCGGAGATTACTGACGCGTCATCTTTGTCGTGACTACTATGGTATAAATATCAGTTTAAACATTTCAAGGAACGAAAGGCTGTCAAAAAAAGAATCAGTCAACATAGGGTCACAGTGGACCACAGGCCAACACAAGTCCGAGGTGGAGATGCCATGCCTCTAGAACATTATTTTAGACTCAAAAACAAACATGTATTGAATGCCATCGAGTTGCCCTTACCACTCTGAAAAAACCTGAGTGTGGAACAGAAGAACAGCGATGGATCTGGATACATGTTCTCAAAATAAATCAAAATCACTCAGCAAGACGTTCTCGAAGTATGATTTGTAGTCGGTCAACATTGTTCTTGTTGTTGTTGTACAAGTACAAAAAGCTCTTGCATTTAGCGCTCCGCTGTAAAACTTTGACACCAATTCTTTGTTCGCAGACGTCGTGCTCGTGGAAACTACCAATACCATTATAATTCGGCTACTTCCAATCATTTCTCATGCAATAACTGGAGCCTTTTTTATACAACTTCGTGGCTCCGCACAACTGCTCGAATTCGAATTCACACTAGCCTTGCGCACAGGAAAGCCATCATTGGCTCTTCAGCCTGCACGGGGCAGATGAATGAAGTAACATTATGATCTTGATCCGATGAATGTGACTACGAAACTCAGCCGCCTATCAGCACGGTGCTGGAACAACCAAGTATCGAACACACGCCCGAATATTGTCATCGATGCGGCTGCTGTATTCCTGAACAAATACATGGGCAGCCTCTTGTAGTTTTTGACAATATGTACACAGTCACAGAGAAAACAGAGCCAAACATCATGAAGATGGATTTGAATTTGAATCCCAGCACAGGAAGGAGATAATTACAATCTTTTGACGGAACGAATTTGGAGGAGGTGAAAAACAAGTCTTCTCGGGGTAAACCTGTCAAAATCTGTCTGCGAAGTGGAGGGACAACTTGATGGAGAGCAACATGAACATTTTTCTACATAAGTACTTTGTAATTCAGTCCCTACTTCTACGCCTGGGCTAGTCCACGATTTCCGCGGACAGGGTTTTTCCTGCGAACAGCCGCCCGTTCATTGCGGAAAAACACGCCATCGCGTGCTCAGGTTGCATGAAAGAGATGTAGAGTTTATTGTCGTCGCGAAACTGTATGGACTGAAGTGGCCCTGACTTAGCGCATTCGTCGCCAACGTCATCTTCGAGCTCCTCCTTCAACTCCTTGGAGCACTGCTCATTGGCTCCCAGGATATTGGACAGAATGACCGTCCTGGGTCCTCCTGCTGGCGTCGGAATGGAACCAGGTGCAGCTCCTCCACCTGGTGGCATGTTGTTCATCATAGCACTTGCAGCTGCTGGATTCAGAAGACCACCTGGCATTCCCGCAGGGTTGCTCATCATGTTGTTGTTCATCAGGCCGCCTCCTGGAGCTGTTCCTAGCTGTCCGTTGGCCGGTAAGAGCCCGCCCATAGGATTTGCGCCCATCATTCCACCTGGTGGCATTCCCATCATATTTGGCATGTTGCTCATCATGTTTGGCACTCCCATCATGTTCGGAGGCATCATCATGCCACCCTTTGCCATGCCGCCTTTCGCCATCATCATGGGATTCATACCGAGAGGAGCGCCGGGCATCATCCCTGGACCTCCTATGTTCAGCATTGGTCCACCTGGTAGACCAGCAGCGCCAGGCATCATACCAGCGCCAGGCATTACACCAGGACCTGGCAACCCGGCTCCAGCCATGTTCAGCATTCCACCTGGGAGCATGCCGGCACCTGCACCAAGTGGTGCGAGCGCTCCTACGCCCGCAGGAGCGCCTCCGCCTGGCACTACTCCTCCTGGTTGATTCAGTAGATTGTTCATCGCGGCAGGCTTTGGGAGAGCCAGAGGGTCGAATTCGCCGGTCGTACTGCCTTGAAGCTGCTGCAATTGCTGGGCAAGCGCGCTCACAGATGGCGCTCCACCTAGGTTGACTAAACCGGTGGCTCCTGGTATCGATCCTGTCGCAGTACTGGGAAGCGACGGCGTCGCAGGTGGCATTTCGACTGGACCAACCGGCGCAGGTGGAGCTGGTGGTAGCAATGCTGGGTCCACGGCACCGTTGCTGGAAACGGTCGGCTCCACTGACGGACCAATATCTGAGATATCCCGCATTATATCGTGGCTACTCGTGAATATGAGGCTGCCACCAAATTAGAGCTGAACTCCATTAAAAACATTTGTCCCTCGTATTTGGAGAATCGGCGCACAATCAATCTAAGACATCATCTTCAATCGTAGGAAAACAAAGTGAGCAATCCTCTCTCGATTCCAGTCATCACCCGGTATGCGTATGTAGGAATACATTGATCAATGATGAGTGAACTAGACCCAAGTCAATTCGTAGAATACATCAAGTCATAAGCTGAAGACGAACTGCCGCCCTCTTTCTCGCTTTTCTTCATCAATGCTTTAAGCCTGTCATGCGCATCGGGTATCAGACCTGGCAACTCCTCAGGTTCCTCTCGCTTTGGAGGCGCCTCTTCTACTACTGCAGGCGAAGAACTTGGAACTGCAGCACCATTGGCTTCACCCTGATAAAGGTCGAGGTTCAATATTATCATAAAAAACAGAGTAAGGGTTTTACGAGTGTTATATGATGATAATTATGAGCAGGAGGCGAATTTTGGATAAACAAACATGACGACTGAGAAAATATAAGAATAGGAACAGCCTCAGCGTATACGCGAAGAGTTAACTACATTAAGAATCCGTACCTGCTGCTGCGCCGATGCATCGTCGCCTGCTGTGAGCATGAGAGGTCCACCCTGGTCCTGTGCGACTCCTACTGAGATTTCCTGATCTCCTAGCATAGAGTGTTTGAAGCCATTCATGACCGCGATGGCTTCCCTGCCCTCCCCAGACTTCTCAAATTTGATGTAAGCGAAGCCCTTGCACTTGTTCGTGTACGGATCTTTATGCAGGTCTATGAATTCGATCTGTCCTTGGATCGCGAATGGCGAAAACAACTTCCGCAAATCCTCATCCGTGATACTGGCAAGGGGACCCTCCAACCCCGAAACGTATAGCTTCAGTCCAGGGTCCTTCGTCGTTGCTAGAAGTGCCGCGCGTGCCACTATGGACGCACGATTCTTTTCCGCCTGCGACAGCTGCACCTGGTGAGGATAGGTAAGCGATGCGTCCCGTTGTTTGGGATGTAAAAATGCGAAGCCTGTTGATTTCGTACTTTTACCAAGTTTCCTATTATAATTCTGAAAGCTCCCTAAGCAAACCTTCACTTGAATGATACTGCGCAGATGAACATGAACTACTAAACTATGAATGGCTCTAAGTGGACAGGACTCTACTTCTGAAGATAGACGCGAGAGGGCAACGCCAATGCCAAAGCCAGCGCGGCCTTTTTTAATGCAAACGCGATGCCCCCTACCCTAACAGAACCAACGACGCCACCCCACCCCCCAACTGTGGACAGACCTCGCGAGCCGTCAGAAAAAGCGCCAACCTCCTACCAGTTGTATCTATACCCAAGCGCCACCATCTCCATCAACGCCACAGCACCACCCCCGGGGCCCCGCGGCGTCCTTGGGCTCTTTACTTTGTTTCCAAAAAGAAACACAAGCACGACCGAGCACAAGCTCGCCTTTGCCGGTCTCCTCTTCCACGTGGCGGCAGTCTTTCTGTTTCGTCTTTGCTGCGGCGAAGCTGATCGCCTGGCCCGATAGCCGCACAGCTGCACGGAGGCCCCCTACGTATTCTGTCGCTGGTCACACAATCAGCCACGGGCAAAGAAACTGCCGACGCGGCTCCAATTGACTGGGGCAAGAACTGAGGCACTTGCTGCAAGTCGCCGACTTCTTCGTAGAGGCTACGCACCCCAACGCCCACCGGCTGGAAAGCCTCCGCCCCGCTGTCTGAGCCCGGTCGCCGCCAGCCTAGGCCCTGGGTGGCCTTGTTCATGCAAAGTGATTGACTGCACCGAAACCGGCCCGCAGGCTGGCGGCCCGGCCCCAAGGTGAGCGAGTTGCCCCGAAGTCCCTAAGCTGCTATGCACTACGCCCACACTGCTAGGCCGAAGGCTGCAGCCGCGTGGCATGCGCGTGCATGCTGCAACGGTGTCCCCCTTCACATAGCTCGCGGGGCATTTCAGTCGCGCACCTTCCTGCCCCAGGTGAATTGGTGGCGCGGGTGACCGGTTGCGCTGGCCGTGGTCTCAGCCAAGTAAGAAGAATGCCGCAGCCATCTCTGTCTCTCCGAAGTCCTTCGCCCATCAGCTTGACCATGCTGAGCCAATTGCCCCCAGGCTTTTGTGCACACCGAGACCACACACCCAAGACGCGACCACACTACACGAAGCGCAAGCGTCCCCGCCCCAAATCTATCACGACCGGCGCCGCCTGGGTCGGTGGGCATCAGTCAAGACGCCACCAAAGTCCCCCGCTTCCATGCGCCGCAAGCTCTTGGCGTGCTGCGCTTCTGGTTCCTTCTCGACTGAGCTAGCCAGCCAATACACCAACCCGCCGCCCCCTGTGGCTGGTGAACGCTGACAGAGGCGGCCACTTTGTTGCGCCATCCTTGCGTCCAAGCGTCAGCCCCGTGCGCTGCTCCGCCAGTTCCGGCGTCCTTTTGCGCGCAGCCCTACCAAGCGCCTGCGGCGCCCTGGTCTCATGCTCGTCAACCTTCCACACCAGAGCCGGCGGCTACCTACAAGGGGACGACACCCAAGCGACGCCCGCGGGTGTCAGAGGTGGACACCAAGACCAAGCGCACTCAGGTGCGCAGTCGAGGCAGGTGGTGCGCTGCCAATAAGTGAAGCAGCGCAGCTGGCTCCTCTTTTAAGGAGTGCCCCGGGTACACTTGGCCCGAAGTCCTACCATTGGACGCCAGTTCATTCATTGCAGAAAACACACCCCCCGGGCCTCCTCTTGCACCACATACCGCGGGCCTGCCGCGCGCTCGCCTCAGTGATAAGGCGCGCGGCGTGTGAGTGTGACTCCATTTGTCAAAAAGCTCTGCCCACAGTGGCGAACCCACAGCGGCGCCATGCCCTGATCGCATTGCGGGCCTGCTCTCTCCGGTACCTTCCTGGACCATTTTCAGCACCCCAGCGGCCCTTCTCCTCCGCTGTATTTTTACAGACTTCGGCCGCAAACTGAGGGCGTGCGAATTCTTGACAAGGGTGCGCGCCAGGTAGTCCCGGCCGCCTCACTCCCATCATGTACCCCTACAGACGGGCCCGCCCTGGCGCGCATTTTTTGCATTTTTGAGCCTCATGGTGCGTCGGCGGGGCTTCCCCTTTAACGTAAACCGCGCCCCGTCTTCCCCCATCAAGTTGGCCCCTGGCCACCCTTCCCCTTCTCATGTGGATAACCGAAAGGGAGCCTGCGCCGCTCTTCTAGGGTACGTCGAGGCCATGGCCGCTGGCTTGGATCCGTCTCCCTATCCGGAATAACGGAACGCTTTGTTATTAAATAAGCGATTAGAGTGTAAGTATGGGAGTACCCTTACAGGCTGCAGCATCAGCATCTGACCAGAGAGCTGGCATGCGCCCGCCACATTCTCCTGCTGATAATATTCAACATAAGCGACCCCCTTAGATCGACCTGATCTTGCATCCCGGATAACCTGAAGTTCATTTTTAATAATCGAAATGCGGATACCGCGAACAAGAATCCAACGAACAGGTGGTATTTAGGATGAGTGACAGATAACCCTCACCGAGAGTTCAGAATCTCCACGTCGTGAGACAAACGCTATAGAACTCTTCTTTCGAGAATCAACAGTGAAAGTTGGCAAATCTAGCAGCATTCGCCCACCTGAATGTCGCGTATGCCTCCAGCAACCTTGAAGAACTGGTAGACTTCTTTCTCTGTAGCCTTGACGTTCACATTTGTGACCATTACAGTTCGTTCTCCGCGTGTTGCCTCCTCTAGTTGCCGCTCTGAGAAAAAATGTATTTTTTGGAACTAGAAGGATACCAATACTACGATATTCATGTTGTGCGCTTTTTACAGACTGATGCTAGAGGAGAGTCAGAGAGACGCAGAATGGCACAGACAATGTTGAAGCAAGAAAAATGTGCTTGTCCTTGTGCCTTCTCCCAAAAAAACGATATGGAGCTGTGCTCCGAACAACATGCAGAAATAAAAGTACGCTTTTCTTCGGCCTCCTCCTTGGCCTTGCGCTCTTTCCGTTGTTTTTCCCGCTCCTCCGCGTCCGCCTGCCTTTTCTGTTCGTATTAGATACGGACGCCCGAATACAAAAAGTCTACTTTTCATTAAACAGTTTACGTTTAGTGTGTTGCTCGAAGATTCATCATGAGAAGTATAATCTCATTGACATACAAGTATGTCTACTTTTTTAAGAAGTTAGGATGACCTAGAAAAAAAGTTCAGCAACAGTACAAAATCAAAATTTTTTATTTCATCAAGCATAATCTATTCTTTTCTTCTCCTCTTCGTCGGGTGATCGACCACGCTTCCTGGATCTCTTCGGGCTTTTCCTTGCCCCGTGCCGGTCCAAGTCCTCGCTTGGTTCTTCGTCATCGTACAAACCTGCACGTGGATCCTTCAAGATCTCTTCCACATGGTCAAAAGCTCCCACAGAGTAAAGCAACATCTTCAACAAAATGTTGTCGTTCTTGTGTCCAAAGTATTCGCTTGACTTGGTGCTAACCTTGGAATGTCGTATAAGGTGAGTCTGCGTGTGCCAATATCACCAGAGATCCGGAGGTGGAAACATTCAGCAGACGTTGTACCAACTATTTCCAAATATGCCGAACACGATACCCGGAGCAAATCCCACCACCTTGGACGGCACAAACATGCACCACCGACCTTTTTGCTGCTTGTCCGGAAGGTTAGAGTAGAGTAAACCCTTGCACGCTAACTGGCTCCACAGAAACCAAGAGGATCTCGCGAAATGATGAGTCTCCTCCTCCAATGCCAAATCGGCGCTCACGTCAACTCATAACAAGCAGTACCGCTAAGGAAGAACGTGCTACATTCCGCCATGCGTCATCAGTTAATTTGTAAGTAAGTCTCCAAAATAAGGAAAACATAATTTACAGTGCCATAGTTCATTTCTCAAACACAATCGTCTTGCGATGTCATCGTGATACTTTTCTAACTATGAGACCATCTTTATATCTGTGATTATCACAACTAAGCCATTTCGCCTGCTATATCACTCGATTTCAATACATGGATGATGATGCAGCACTAGTGAAACTATACAGTGTATGGGCAGAAGGCCAGCTTTGCTTTATCCGATTGGTGGATCTCATTGATTCCGGCATCTTTAACAGAGCAAATACCACACGACCACCAACATTAAGTGAAACTCGATTTTTTCGCTCAGTCAGAGATAGATAAGCCAAGATCAAGACCTGATAGATGTAAATCCACATTTTTTCCGTTTGTTTTCGAATTCTACCATTGTTGTTTGACCTGCGGAATATTTCATCCTAAGGCAGCTTCTTTGGAGAGCAGATCAGCACCAGGCTTTGAGGCGCCATATTTGACAGAGCAGGAACATGACAGATACACCAAGATGACCTATTCTTTTTTGAACCAGCACAAGCAGCGTTTTTACAGAAAGCTGGGGGAACATTTTTACCAGTGCTCGATTAGGAGCCTTCGTGTCGATATAACATCAATTGTAAAGTATAAGATCAGATTATTCACACCGTAGGATCGTGAACATCCTCTAAACCACATTCAACACAACATCCTAGACAAGGGTCGGACTCAGTCGCTAAAGATGGACCACGCCTGTCGGCTCCCATCTCAAATTCGAGGAAAAGACCAGGATTCATAAACAATTTGGGGCTCAACAAGGAAAAAATAGGGATCGATGGGGAGCGGGGAGGAGCTTTGAGATTGTGGATAGCAGGCGCTTGCTTCGATGCTTATTTCAAAAATTGGGGACAATTCATAGCGGTTGTAAGCAGACCGACACATACAAAGATCATGAATTATCAAATGAGCGGACAATAGATGATGATAGGTTCCTCCTATCAACTACGTGTTGCAGACCGACACATAGATCATGAATTATCAAATGAGCGGACATTAGATGATGATAGGTTCCTCCAATCAACTACGTGTTCGTCGTGCATAAGGCAGGGAAGAAATCAAATAATGAAACGAGGGGTTATTTGCGGTTGCGTCGAAGCATCAAAAGCCATTAATGAGAAATAGTTCTGCACCGTGAGGCTGGGTCACTGAATCAAATAATAGAACTGGAAAAAACAATGACGTCGCATGATGAATGACAGGCTTGCGTCTTCCCAACTTGTTCATCTTTGTATTGGTCTACTATGTGTAAGAAAATATAGGTACAAGGAACGAAGGCCCAACGACATCTTCAAGTGGACACTGCAATCTATCTATCACTGGAAAAGAAACTCCCGATCATGTGTGGAGTACTCGTCTTTCTCTGCCTCTTGCTCTTCTTGCTTTTGATATTATAAATGAAGCTGCAGTTCAGGACTCTGATACTGTCTATTCAGTCACCGAAGCCCCATGGTGGTGGAAGTCCGTTTCTTTCGTTGTACTCCACTACGGCCTTCACGTAATATATTCCTCCCCGCTGGTACACCGAAACGCCAGGAGAAAGATCGTACAGTTTCGCCACCTTTCTATACTCGTCATAGTGGTACTCGAGAAGGCCGAAGGATTCCACCTTTCCCGGCTCCTTCTGCCCGTCAATACTCCAGTATCCGAAATCAACGCCGTTTTCGTTGATATACCGCATCATGTTGGACCACCAGCGATCAGGATTTCCAACGCCGAACTCATTCAACCACACCGCAGCCCTTTCTTCCTGCAACAGAAAGCCCCAATTTCTGTTCACATCAGCCTCGAAAACATCGTAATCACCGAACGACGAATAGATCACGGACAGCGTCAAAATAAACACAATCAGCATCAGAAAAAACCAATGGTACCTGTAGTGAACGAGTGGTCACGTTGATAAATAATCAACAGCCACTTATCACAGTTAGATTGATGACGATAGTGTTGTTTCACCCAAAAATAGCGGATTTCGAAGTAAATATGACATCATCAAGTCGCGAATGATCATACAAACAAGCGGACTATCTTTGCAGCCCTAGGAAAATTCTGTACCACTGGAATCTCATCCAACTTCTGATTTTGTCAAGGAATCGCGGCACCGCTTCACTTCCGCCGTTGTCTCCACCTTTGTTCTCATTGATTCCAGTTCCGCCCATTATCGATCTCAAGACTGTGTGCTCTCGTTCGGGAGTGGAGTGGTCGCTCCTGTTGCCCTTGGGTGTCAGGGAGCCGCCCGATCGCCTCTGTGTATACATCATTGCCGAATGAGCAAACGCCGAAGGCGGAGGCGCGTCAGGGAAAAACGCTTTATTTGTCGTTCCAGCCACGCATGGACCAGCCTCAAGGGAACCACCTAGTGGAAGTTTCATCGGTTCTAATTGCCTAGATGAAGTAGCGCCATCTAGCTGCGCACCTCTGGCGGCAGACAAACGGCCAGAGCCAGTCGCAAACTCCTCAGTGCTGCTACTTCTGGTAAAGGGAATTGCTTCACTAGTCTGCTGAAAGCCTCGTGCGCGTCTAGCTTCGTCGCTGCGATTCGCATCACCATGAAGACCCTGCTTAGAGCTCTGACTGAACTATTTATCAATCTGTATCACGCTGATCTATTCAAAAGGCAGAACTACTAGCCTGTTTAGTAGTTCGGAAAATCAATTACGGCCTTAATCATGCCCTTGCTGCTAGAACGAATTGCGCCATCGTGAAAACCAATGTTCTCTTGTGCTAACATGCGGGCGTGGTCTGCCGCAGAGAGACGGTCTATATCCGCCACGCCAAGCCCTGACAGGCCCCGGCTCATCTTTCGTTCCCAAGAGAGGTAGCTTTCACGTTCACCGCCACCACCAGACAAGTAACTCAAATTTTCTCCTTCCGCAGGTTGCGTCTTGTTACTCCGCATGTTGCTCTTTTTCTCCATCCGTTTTCGTTGTTTAGCAGAAGCATCTTCTCCTGTTGACGTCGTTTCGCCCTCGCTACGAGGTCTCCCCTTCGTTCGTCCATCCTTCGTCCTGCGAGCATCGTCCCCTACTTCGATTTGCAAGAGGGGCCCCTCACCGTACTTTTCTTGTGGCCGTGTCTTAGCGGCAGCAGAACCGCGAATTTCTCGTGCGGAGGAAATCTCCGCTGCTGGGGATAAAGGTGGCTTACTCTTCTTGCCTCCGCTTCGTCCGACAAACGGCACTAGTGCAATCGCACTCGCCGTAAGTGGGGACCTTTGCGGGCTGGTCTGAAAATCCACCTTCCCTCCACTCCGAGCCGAAGCTGGGCGACCGGAGCCCACCGACTGCAGGATTGTTTCGTCTAGTAAGCGCGCCCGCTTTTTTGGAGGCATGGCGTATCGGACCGCGCTCTTGATCTGCTGGTAGTCGCTTCCCTCGTCGGGCGTCGGGCTTACATCGTCGTCCGAACTCTGTGTGAACGAATGGGACAACGACGTACCTGATGTCCCGCTAGGCTGCCTTAAGGACTGACCGCTGATAACCTTAGTTGACAACAGCCCCTGCCTTCCATATTCATCAAACGTCGTCTTCTCTTGACTCATCACTATTGGATCCTCGATGTCTTCCCGTGTGTAGCCCTCAGATGCAGAGCTAAAGCTGTCCTCACCGTCATCTGCGATCAACATATCGCGCGCGGAGTTGCTTCCCTGCGCTTGGACCGGCACCATCGTATGTAAACCTTCAGCCGGGTTCGCGTGAGACCAAATCGGAAACAAGCTTTTTTCCTCCCTCTCGTCTTCAGAGAAGTGAGGTGCTGCGACGAAAACGTCCAAGATATCATTTCCATATTCTACCCACTCTTGTGGCTCCCTGGAAGACTCTGTAGAGGGTGTTGAAGAGGAGAGGAATTCGCAATCGACATGAGATGGAATCCTTTCGTGCCATGATAGTCTGTGGTCGCTTTCGGAGCACTCATGCTCCGTCAAAAAAATGGAGGTATTGTTGTCGCTGTATTCCCCCTGATCCTTTACAGCTTGGTCTGTTGACTGTAGTGGAGGTCGTCTCGTTCTCCAAGGAGAGAAAACTATTGGCGCCGTCGACGATTGCGACCCTCCCCTCTGCTCGTTAGGAACCCTGTGCTCGCCTTCGTCAAAGTGCAACGGGTCCTCCGCGCCTGCCGCAGAAGCAAACGATGTTGTGCTCATGGAGTGCCGCAGATCGAGTACGCGTGGCCGAGGCGGCATCGTCACAACCCTCGTTCTTTGTACACGCATTGGCGCACCTGCTGCAACGTCTGGGCTCTCGACCATTTTTGAAAAACTGGCGCTGCCTCTTGCTTGCTGCAGATCGAGAAGAGACCCTGCAGGGTGACCCAGCGTGGTCGCCAATTTTAGAGCACTCCCCAGTCGTTTATCAAGAAGGAAGTAAGTATGTCTCTGTGCTCAATGATCATGCAACGCACTTTGATACATAGAATAAAGTTCTATGGGTGACTCTTTATCCAAAAACGTAATAATTCGTTTGGCCCCCTGTGCCGGTCGGCGGTCTCTCGCTCGTCTTCGGAGACTGAGTGAAAGCTCTCCACTTCATCCGCAGCTCGAGACATTGCTGCCTCAAGGTTCATGACAATGCCCCCCCGGCTTAAATCGCTTAACGAGGTACGCAGCAACGGCCCGCCTCCCATCGAGGCCGCTGGTGTACAGCTACCAGGTGCCGGAGTTGCTAAAGACGACCGTGGCACGCCCCCTGCCGCCGCAATGTCGTCTGGCACTTGCCGCATCGCTGCAGTATTGCGCTGCCCGTGCTGGTCGGGGCCTCCTACAACTAAGTCATGCTGCTCCACGAGCTGGCGAGCAAGAATCGCTGCCGCGTCATCTGTGCCGGCGTCCCGGACGCCCGCCGACGACGAGGATGAAGAAGACGAGAGCTGTGAGGTTGATGCCGACGGGTGCCCGTACTGCAGGTTGCCCTCATCTAACGTCGGATTCAATAAAGCACCCACGCTCCCCTTGTTTCGTGCCTTGGATGAGGCTCGCAGCGCGTGGGGCAGCGGTGTTGGCTCCTCCGAAGATACCGCTAAACCCAGCTCTGCGAAGCCTTGCCGTAAGCCTAGACTCGCGCGTTGCAAAGCCGTCTGCATGTTCTCCGCTTCATCGCCAACTAAGGGGCTCGCACTATCGCTGGTCTCGCTGCTGGTGCTAGTACTCCGCGCAACTTCTCCCTGTTCAAGTCGCCCAGCAGAGGTCGTTGTAGTTGCATCCATCCTCGTCCTCCCATCTACCACACTCCCACCATCGCGAAGTGGCAAGTCCTGTCGTCGACTTTGCGCTGCGCTCGTTGAGGGCGGGACCGCATTTCCCCCTACGCTCGATGAAGGCGCCCCCACACTGGTTCCCCGTACCAGCGGGACCCCGGCTGAACCGCGAACACTTTTTGAGCCGGGTCCAGCAACAACTACATGATGGGGCCGCTCGCGCTGAGGATAAGCTCCCATGAGGATTTCCCCACGGCTTGCACGCGAAATCCCAGACACCGCTGTCTGCAACGATCCGGCCGAGACCTGACGCTGTCGTAGCATACCCTCGTTTCCGCCGAGAGGCCCTCCTGCTCCGCTACCGCTATTACCCCTTGCGAGAGTACGCGACCCAGTTGTACTGCTGTTGCTCTGGTTTGCAACTACAGCCCCTCCGCTCATCTTTCGCGGCATCTCTCGTGATCCCGACAGCGATTCTGTAGAAGCTTCAGCTCCTCTTCGTGTGTTACCTTGTTCGTGGCCCCCTCGACTGCTCCTTGGACTCCGACTTGACCCTGATGAATCCTCCGAAGAGGAAACGAGTTCGTTGAAACTATTGTAATCTCCCTTCGCTGTTGAGTCCTGTAGTCTCTGTCTGCGATCTCGACGTCGTTGTCGCCGTTCGCGGCGGCGCTCTCTTTTATTCCTCTCTAGCGCAGCAGCCTGCTCTACGTACAACGGGTTTTTACTCCTCTCTAGCGCAGCAGCCTGCTCTACGTACAACGGGTCCGTAGCGACGATTGGCGCGCCAACCAGAAGATCCGTGATTAGCGGACTCCCTTTCACTAAATCAGCAAGCTGCTTAGACGTTCCGGACGCCAGATCTGGGACCAATGGCCCGTATTCGATCATCCACCGTACAAAGACGAAAAACCAAATCAGCACCGATGCTCCAGCAAAGATACTCGCTAAATTCATTAGAACTTTTTTTTCGACCAAGGAATAGAGCATTCTGTAGTCGTTAAATTCAGTAGGTGCAGCGTCCGAAAATTCCTGCAATCATCACGTAAGACATCGGAATTTTCAATTTACACTTGATCGCCGATGATACATCAAGCAAGCATTACAGCATCATTCTTCCTCGAAAATATTGTAGAAACGCATAAGATAAACCACGTGACTGCGGCAATATGGTAGCGCAAATCGCACACGGAAGAAAAATAGCCCGAAATGCCAGACAGCAAGGGGACGCAGAGAGTAACGATGATGGCGGTCGAAAGTATTAGACGTATGGTTTTGCAAAAAATTATCGAACCTCCACTACTTAAAGTGGGACCCAGAGTACGCACCTATGATAAACAGGAAACAGGTCTATCATTCTTCAGTGGCTGTACCCAAAAAAGTTCTTCAGGCACATTTTTCATCCTCCAGATGTTTTCAATTATTGTTTTTCTCTACGTGTCAGCCATACAAGAAGTTTGTTACGCCGAATCAAGGCGCAACAGCGTTCGCGCTCTTCCACTTTCTCGTCGCCTGGCGTATTGTAAGGTACAATTGCGCCACCTCCAGATGTTGACGTCGGCGTGAAATTTTCTACCGCAGCTGAGCCACCTCGTCCCCGGCCTGCCTGCATTACCACCCCTCTACCACTGGTGCCACTACCTGCCTTTTGTATACTAGACCCCGGATCCGCACGACACAAGCATCGCATGCACGCCGTGACAAAGCGCGAAAAGCAGTTGTTGGGACAATAGCGAGCCATTAGCGCCAGGTACAATACGAAGACCCAACTGAGGAAGATGAAAGCGACAAAAGCACCAAGGTAAACTTCAATCATGGTCCTCACCTTCTCTCGTACGGAGTACCATTTGTAAGCGTGAACCGCGTAAATCACCTTCCCCGGCAGTAGCTCGTGCACTGGGAATTTATCCACATCACAAAGAAACATCCCAAAATACAACGCAGACACAACTGACATTAGAAGTAGCAACTGTGCGTAAAAATGAAAAGAGGTAGCAGTTGTGCGTAAGAATGAAAAGACATAGCAGTTGTGCGTAAGAATGAAAGGACATAGTAGTAGTTGCGCGTAAGAATGAAAAAAGAGCGAAAGAGCACAACGACCCTCCAGTCTACGATAATACACGGAGTTCATCAAGAACCGAGATGTTTAATGGCAGGTTGCCCCTCTTATTCATGTTTGTACCATCAGATTGATTTAATAGAAATCGAAGGAGGTGTAGTAAATCTTCGTGATTTATTCCATAATATCAAGTGTTTTGGATGAACCTTTTCGATTTCGAGAGACGCGCGCAACGCCGCTGGTGCCCAAGCTGCGTACCTATCGGCGCTGAACCAAGTCGGCGAAAGTCCCATAGATGGACGGATCTCGTTTCGTATATCGTGTCCTACTACGTAATTGTTGTTCTGAATATTAGAACCTGCCTTGAGTTCTCAGAGAGTAGTTTCTTAGTTCACCAACTCGCGACTTTCTTAGTTTCCGAATCATTAGCCAGTTCTTTCCCAGTAACGCAGCTTCTCGCCTTCTTCACTGACCCTGTTTACAGAGAAGCAGCTATAATACCTCCTATCAAAGAAAATCTCAACGCAAGGGGTAGCAGGAGTGAGCACGATAGTGAAAGAACCCGCATCATAATGTAGCGCAAGGTCACCGCCACTAGACTGCGAATCCAATCACGCTCGCTCCACCTCGATGTGTACCTGTAAAAAGGCTCATGCGAGATCACTTAATACAGTGAGAGGGCACTTGAGCACTCTCGGCTGGAAAGACTAAGACGCATGATCGAGCTTCCATAGCCGTATACAAAATAAAACCACGACAGCAAAACACCATAGATGTTGGTATGGGCTATTCTTAGATAGAGAACTGGTGGAGTACCAGAGTCCTTCCCCGTCATCGATACTGCAGCACCAACCACTCGAGGAAACATGATTGTTCAGAAAGACCATGATTTTTCTCTGGGTGAGGACTTCCACAGTGCGGTCAAATATTTGCATGGGAGTGAGATCAATCAAGTCGATATTGCGCGCCAGGGTGTGTTTTGCGTTCGGAACTTTCATCGTGACATTGTTCACTAGATCCAACGAATAGGTCAAGCGGACACAGTTGAAACCACTGCTCACTATCGTGTCCGCGATGAGGTGAAGAGGCTGGACGTTCAAACCGTTCACGACACTCTGTCTCATGTGAGGGCCATACCAATTCACACACCTGTGAATAGGGAACTACAGTCGTCCTGTCATCAGCTCGATCATATTTAATAACGACTACAAAAATCTTACTTAGAACTACTGTATTAAAAAAGTTAACGACATGAACTGCCACATCTCCTTGACGAGCGATGAAAATATATTATAATCAGTAGTACCTTAGATTGACTCGACGATCTTTAGTACCTGAGATTGACTCGACGATGTTTCGAATCAGTGATCCAGCGCCCCTTTACAGCAAGCGGTAGGTCCGCTTCTTGCACTAGTCCGGAGACCGTTCCGTTCAGGACAAAAGTCGTATTCTGGAAGGTTCCTGTTATAATCTCACCACTCTGTCCACCTGCGCTCTGCAGACTTCGGCCACTTGTTGTTCCGAGAAGATCTTCGTCTACGTTTACGTTCGGTGGTGGATCTTGTAGAACATCATCTAAGTCTACCATATTTCCAAGGTTCAGTGCTGAGTCTCCCACACCACTCAACGAGTGGTCTGCAGCACTTGGACTTGAGCCACCCTTGTGCTCACTGACTTCCACACCGTCGTCCAAGCTTGTGATTGTGTCCTCTGCAAAATCTGGTGGGAATAACATCGATAAAGCTCTATAAATCCGACCCAGGATATTCGGCTTCGATACAGCATCGGTGTTCGTTGTGGTCGCGACAGCACCAGCAGTACTTCTAGTTGTTGTTGTGTCGGAACCGGAAGATAGTAATTCAGCGTGGTCAACATCTCTGTTTTGCACGACATGGCAACTCTTGTCCAGCGCTCCTCGTCCGTCCTCTTTTCCTCCCTGCGTATTGTCTCCTCCATCGACGCTCACAAGAGCATCTTCATCCACGCCTTTATCCTTATCACGTTCGCGGTTCACCCTGCGTACAACAAGCTCATATGACCCACTGTGTCGCAGAATTTGAGTCGCCACCTCACAGGCAGCATTGGAAACGCGACTCGAAAAGACCGCACACTCTGATATCTTCTCCGAGTCGGCAGTTGTCCTCTTTTTTTCAAGGTTCCGAGTGAAAAACCTTTGTCCGTCATGATCGACGCCGACCCTAATATCCCCTGTCTTCGGAACAACGGTGACCTTTTCCGCAGAAACGACTTCTCTACTCGATGCGACATCTTTCTCCAGGTCGTGTTGGCCCGAAGATGGCTGTGAATCCCGTGTAGCTGTCCAACCAAGATTATATTGCTGCTTGTCGTCCCATCGACTCGGTTGCTCCTCCCACGACTGCGTTGCTGCTCTGCTAACGCAACCGCCTAATGCGGCTACGAGCAGGCGCCGCCGCTTCCGCGACATCCTCTTGCGGACAGAGTAGAGCGACCCGTCGACCACATCAAAAATGTACACCGAGAAGTCTTATTGCTTGTAGTTACACTTCTCTCGATCACGCCTCGGTATCTTTTCGGTGAGACGCATTTCCTGCCTTTTTGTCGGGAAATTCCCACACTGCAGCATCTGTGTTTTCAGAATCAGACTCTCAGTATCGCCTTTTCTAAATGAAGGCGCTATAGATAATTGCTCGTCTGTTTTTGCGCTACAAATTCGATCTTCGCTTGAACCATATGAGTTTGAGTACAAGATAAGCGAAGCGAGCGATGAATCTCGGGCCTTTGAAAAAATCATCCAACGACCATATTCAAAAAAATACAAATAGAATAAAGACAACGAGAACGGGCAAGGAAAGAAGACCAAGTTTTCAAGAGGAGTATGGGACTAAACTTGAGAGGGAAGACTCGACTCTGTTTTTGCTTCGAAAGAGGACTAAGTGGTTTTAAAAGACCACTCAAAGCCCTGTTCTCTCGGCTCTTTAGCCTTCTAGACATTTGGCTTTGTTTGGTAGGCAGGCATCTTTCTTCGATTATGGCTGCCATCTAAATCATTCATTTTTTTAATGTCTTCGATTTTGTCTGCCTCTTTTTCCCTCTCAGTCGAACACTAGCACGGCAGCCCTCATGAGCGTCACTCTTGGATAATTGATTGAGCGATTGACTGATGTCCCTATTCTTGAGGTAAAGGGACTAATCCAAACTACTTCTGCAGATCCTGCGACAAGGGACTATCCTGATTATCATGACTAGATCCTCTAGTATGCGCGTTGGTGCTGGTGGATAAAGAGGTATTATAATATTTATATTCGTATGCTTAGTATTCTCGTGGAACAAACTCATCACAACGAAGAGTCTAAAAATCTTGTTTCTGTGCCAGCATATGCATGCCACCTACAAAAAAGCTACTGCTATTTCTTGCCACGACAATGTTTGTCATTTCCTGTGTTTTTTAAACAGCAACGAACATGTTAGACAACAGACAACATTATCGCTGATATGGATCGGTTGCTTCGTTTGCGAAGGTTTAAAGCCCAGACCTCTTGCCTCGTTCGGTCTCTCCTCTACTGTCCTCATGCGCACATCGAAAGTCCTACAGCTCACTATGATGGGTACGTCCATCCAGGTGTCGTCTCTCAGTTTCATGTCTGCAATACTGTTCCGCCCCTAGCTACTCTTCATGTTTTTGGTGCCATCCCCACTGCTTGCTGTACTCGTATTTGATAGCGGCATGTTTCCAGCCCCTCCTCCGTTCATACTTGCTGAAGGTGAACCGATCGCGTGATGGTCCGATAAGGATGATGAGGTACTCACAGCGCCACTCATCTGTGTTTCACGCACCTGCTTTTCTGCGCGAAGGGTCCGCAGTTCCTCCTGCTGCCTAAATTAGAGGAACTAGTTTTCATAATTAAATTCATCATTGTCAGGGACATCGAACGCAAAGTGATCTGGTGATGATTTTTTCAAATTCTAGATAGTGGTCGTGGTCGTCGTCGTTTCCTTGTTGTTGTTCTACTGAAAATGAAAAAAAAAGTGCAATTTGTTCTAAGTATGTGTTATTTTCACGGCCTTAATTCAGATGCAATTGGTATTTTCGACTGAAGACTTCTACGTAGAAGGAAGCGCCATTCCAGATATTAACCGTGATTGTCACAATCCCAAGCACCACCATCGCCAGCTTGCTCTGGTACCACAATATCGTAGGAACCATGGTCACAAAAGCAAACACGACATTCAAAAAAATGTACCAGAACTCGTGATACCTTTTGAGATGAGGTGCTGCAGTTGTAACAACTATGTATCTAGTATAAGAATAAGAGTAGTCTTGAGAGGAAGATGGAGGCGGATGGGTGGTCGTGCTGGTTGGAAAAGAGTCAAAATGAAAAAAGGCACCTTCTTCACCTGCGGCCTCTGGTAGTTCATTCAGAGAAATTGAATGTGGAATAAGAATAACTACTAGCTGCGATAAGACATACCTCGCATCTCCTGGCATCTTGTTGAGAATGTTTTTAGCCCATTGTGCACGCGAGACCCATCGATAGAGATTGAGATAGCTAGGGTCATCCGGAATCGGCCAGATGTAGTACACAGCGATGTAGCTAACAACCTGCTGGCAAATATGCGTTAGAAAATGGGAACCGAAACGTAGTGCTACAACATCACTTAGCCGCTGCTATCCAACATGGAATAAGAAGAGGAGCTAGGACAGACTTCCTGAGATATAGATACACCCAATCAATATCAATAGCACTTTTCTAACGAAGAAATGTTGAGCTTCAGTTTCATTTTCAGTAATCTTCGAGATGGAAGTCAAGCCTTAAATAGAAAAGCAACGGTAATAGGCAGAGATTGAAGAAGCTCGCTTGCGCCGCTTCCGGTTGAAAATGTGCGAAATGCAGTGGCCGACCGCGAAAAAGTGACGTGGAGGAAATCGATTCTGACTCGTGCCGTAGGAGATAACAGCAGAGAAAAGGCATCACGTGGATGAAAACCTGAACATGATCAGATTACGTCTATGGATGAGAACTTTTTTTCCCGGAAAATGCCACTGCATGATCCCTTTCTACAATATAAAGCTGACAGCAAAAATTCTTCAAAATAAAACCTAAAAAACAATTCAAGTACGCTAGTGCAATGCTCCCACGAGTGAAAGACTAAGGAGTTTCGGAAAAGCGTACTCGCCATCAAAAGGGGTCCACATGCGACGCCGAAGGCAGCACAAAAAAGCGTAGGAGAGTCAGGAAACGCCCACAGATAGAGAAGCAGCAACAAATTGCCGCTGTAGCAAAAGTCCCACAGAAAGTACTCGTTTTTCTCCCGTCGATACTTCACGATGCGACACGGCATCAAAACACACCATTGCAACGTGTAGAAGAGTTAGAAAGATCTTTGAAGGTGGATTGGAATATTGACTGTGGGCTACCACTACAAGATGACGACTTGAAGTATAGCAGTATTAGGTGAATCAAAGAAAGCCTTTTCGTAAAGGTAAGGGACGAGGAGAAATTTGCGCGGTCCGAAGATGAAGTAGCACAGCAGAATCACGTTCAATATCCCGCAAGTAAACGAAACCTTGTCGAAAAACTTGATGTATCGTGGTTCTTGCTTTTTGTCCTCGATCAACTGCTGAACCAACTCCCAGTCGCCGTACCGCCGGGTGATTAGAACAAAGGGGGAGCACATATCGACTCATGCCACCTTGGCCACGACCCGAGCCTGATCCCTCTCGAATAGAGGAAGATCTAGCTCGATGGATATGGAGGAAAAGCTCCTCGTGATTCAGTTCGCGCACAACGTGTAGAGGAGATGGTGAGATAATTTCAATGGATGCGGATACTGATATAGTGAAAGTTTTGGTTTTGGTGCGAGCCTTAGCAATAGCTTGCGAATGACGTCTCGTTTCCGGACCCTACGCCGTCCAGCCTCTGGTGGCGACGAGGATTGGCCACGGCTTTTGCGTAGCTTGCATCCAGTCAAGCGCAAGTACGATTCTGCAATCTGTTGCGAATAAGTAGGATACTAGGGTAGAACAAGTTGCAATCTCTCTTCTAGGGCATTTGCTTGTCGCAGTATGTGATAACAAAGGGAATGCTGAATCTTAAACCTGACGGTAGTAGTACTTTTGTCAAATCTACCTGCATTCTGAGGAGCTGCATTTTCTCCTGTGGCGTGTTGGCAGAAGCAATGCGGGCACGGAAGAGCTTCAGTTCTTGCAAAGGAAATTTCGACAACAGCTTGCCTATGAGTAACTTTTTTTCTGGTTTTAGTTATGAAAATTGTAGCTTTTCTTTTTTCCATCCACCTCCTGCCGGTAGAGCTACCTTCCAGAAGAAATCATCGAAGTAAAAAGTGTCTGACTCACTCGGTGACTCAGCGACTCCTTACTTGTATTTCACCGTATGGAAAGAGAACGCAGCACGGTAACAAGGATCGACCCGTCAGGTTCAGGATGCAAAAAATGACCTACATCCATATCATTGACACAGAAGTCGAGGAGCTGCTGCCCCCCACCTGCTCCAGCGGCGTCCCTCCTATAGTTGGCGGTCCTACAGGAGACGCGACGTTGTTGGTTTGATTTTCGCTCTTGTGGCTTTGTTCGCTATCTTTCAGCAAATCAGACGAACCTCGAAACCGGACACCGCTTGCACCAGATGCTTCACAAATCGTGCTAACGATCGGATTAGTTGTACTACCACTCCCTGCAGTCGAGGTCGTGGGCGATTTCTCGTACTCGTATGGTGGATTTACAGCATCGTCGTGCTCGTTGATTTCCTTATCGATTTGCGCCTGTGTTTCCCATAACATTTCATCCACTGCATCGTCATGACTGCAAAACTCTGCGAAAACCTGAACGTCTTGGTCGTTCAAAGCGTCTTCGCTCTCGTCTTCGGCGTCTTTGAGTAAATGTTCGTAGAAATACTCGTCCACTTCGAGCATTTCGTCGTCGTCCTGGTCCGAGGGTGACTTCGACGTTGATTCTGGTGGTTGAGTCTTATTCTCACCAGTTGCTGTTGCATTCTCGTCGTCATTGTCACCACTCCTTGTTTGCCAGATGAAAGGCTCCTTACTTTGCGCCAGTTGTAAAGCTTCCTGCAACCTCCTATCGGCAGGGTGAGTGCCGTCCGCTCTTTTCCGATCTACTGCATCATCGTCGAACGCGGCGCCAGCCTTTTTCGCTGCGCGACCAGCGGACATTTTGGCTGACATCTTTTTTTGCAGGAATATTATTCACCTTAGCGCTACATAGGGTTAGTTCTTCTAGCTCTCATTGTTATTCTAGATTGCCATAGTTTGATAGTGATCGTTCCACGACCACGACATGTCAAGTGGTCTCAGCATCGTCTACGCGAAGACAAAGTCTGGAGGATACTGGCTCCTCTACTCGTCCCGTAGCAAATGCAAAAAGCAACAGCAGCTCTCATATGTTCTATATATAATAATGTTGGGCATGTCTCATCAGTTAGTACGATTAATCAACAACACCAGCAACACAGGAAGCAACATGCGACATTTCTTACGGGAATGACGGTTCGCGGTCTGAGATAGCCGCTGCTGCACCTCCAGCACCAAATTTCTTAACCTGAACCCGACCTCTGACTCTGTATCTTTCGTCGTAATTATTTCGCTTTCTCAATTTTCCCACAACGTTGGGCACGGTGAGGCTATTTTTTTTTTAGCATTGGAGTTGAAAGGATAAAAGTCCCAACTTCAGTTCTACATGTACTTTCTGCTTCCATTATTTCTTATCTGTGATTGATCGTCATGCTTCTTGCTGTATGTTATTTTCAAATTCAGTTCAAAAGCAGAAAGCAAACTGAGTCCGTCTCTCCTCGTCCCTCTTGTTCTTTTTGGCTGCACTGTCATGATCGTTTCTGGCCTTCTTGGGACGCTTCACCGATTCTTGGAATGTGAATGGCATTAGTATCCATGATAATGTCTTGCGGGGGCTAACGCCTTCAAATAACACATTGATTAAAATTGGCTACCCACTGAATGTACAACACAAAGAAGAACTTGCAACAATGGCCTTTCTGCATCTTGTGTGAACACATACAAATGGAAATAACGTAGTTCACAACTACTAGATGTAGCAGTAGCAGAAGCACATAATCCTCTATGTATAAGGATGGATGTCCACGGAAAGTAGAAGCCCCGAAAATGGCAAAGTAAGTTTCTCCATCTTCAAGATCGTTTCAAGCACATGAAAATGGATCCAGCAGAGTCACGAGCTGCAGAAGTCGTCTGCACCGATGTAGATTCGATTATTTCGACTTCGCGTCCATCAAAAGCCTCCGCTTTTATTGTAGACGTAGAAGCACAAGGTCGCGGCTCTTGTCAATTTCTTGCGTGCACATCAAGAAGCATCGAAGTCTTCGTATCCTGGTGGGTATGTTAAACATCATCACGCAATCAATAATTTTTACGACAAAGGTTCTTGTAATAACGTCACATATCTAGTATACATTTAGACGATTACGTAGATCTATGAAAAATGTACGCTTTCGCCGAAATTCGGGAACCTACGGGGATGGCTGGATACACCGACAAGAGCAGAAAGATAATCAGAAAATGGCAATATTTCTATGAATTTCCTCAACGTGGACTCTCTCTTCGTTCTCCTTCTGAAGAACGAGCTAAGTTCTAGCTTCGATAGTGTGACTGTCTTGCAAGTCCCATTCAATCTCGCAGAAGGGCGGTAAGAAGTCAGCTTTTTCGCTCGAAACTGCAATCGCAGCGCCTTCAAATTCTCGCAGTCGGTCCTGTCACCAAACTTTATACCGTTCTTCCCTCGTCCAAATTGTCCGAGACTTCGACGTCAAGAACCATTAGACTCGCATGATAAGACTCCGCCCTATAATCAGGCACAACTTCCAGAAGCTCAGGAGCTGAAGACGAGGACGATGAGGTAGGAAGATGATGCGGAATTTCCAATCTTCGGAGGCAGCAAAAGAAGAGCGAGATAGAAGCGGGTGCGCTCTCCGGTAGAAAGGGCAGCGACTCTGCGTTCTCTCATGTCCTCGAAGCCAAAAGAAGCCAGGAGTTGCGACCGAGTCGCCAGGACCCATTTTTTATCATCGCGAGAGAGCGGTCGTGCGTTTACCATCAGAACGCAAGTGCTTCTTATAGAAGGTCGGACTCTCGAGCTCGACCGATGTACGCGTAAGCTTTCCATGGTTCTCTTGCTCCTGGGCAACTCCAGCGCCTTTCGCATTTGTATGTCTTCCTGGCAAGATGCACTGACCTGGCGCCACTTTGTCGTGGCAGAGCTGCGGCACACTTAAGCGGGCTAACTCCGCGTGGACCACGAAATACATCGCAGCACTTTGCGGAGAGTAGGCCGTGCGCAAGACAGGTCTCGTAGGCGAGTCACTATCATTTTCGCCAGTCCTCTTGACAGATCCTGCACATGGACCGAGTTCGCCCAACATCAGTTTAAGAAGGATGCTCTTTCCAGATCCGTTGTCGCCAACCAACATGATTCGGTCAGTCGCGCTTACCAAAGCAGAAAGACCAGGCCCCAGCAACATTCTCCCTGTTCTAGTGAAGGTTGTAGTATTGCTATAATCAAAATCCTTCTTCCTCTTGTTTCTCCCGCTGTACAGGGTGAAAGGTGAAGCTGAGATTTTCAATCTTGATTATATCCACCTCACTCGTTGCGTTTTCGAGTTGTTTCCATGACGCCGTGTCAACGGCACCGCTACCATTGAAGTTCAGACTCACTCCCCGCGATTTCGCAAGGCCTACCCCAAGAGCGTGGCTGGCGGCCATTTTCTCGGAAGTCTTCTCATCATGCATGCGGCCATGTCTTACTTCTCGCGCCTTCTGTGCGAGCGCTTGTTTCTTGTCATGTTGCGCCGCGCACAGATACGCACCCATTGGCAGCTTTTGGCTCGCCCTATCATTGTCGCGTTGGAAATTGGCGTTGCTTTTGTGTCTTACCGTGGAAATGGTCGCCACGGCTCGAAGCGACCCCTCTTCCTCCCTTTGCGGATCGACTCGAGATGCAGCCCGCTTGCTTCTGCACGCTCCTGGGTTTGGATAAAAGCGTCGTACGTTCCGGAAAATTGCCCCAAGTGTCCACCACGGCTTCTACCTGGAGCAGAACTCTCGTGTTGTTGGTCGTAGTTTTCCGAAGTAGGAGCAGCACTACTGCTGGACGTAGTTGCTCGGCAGAAATAGAAAATGCGGCCAGCTCCTACTAGAGTGCCGATCAAGTGCTTTTTGTGCGTCACAACGACGCCGATGCCTTTGTTTTTCGGACCAGCAACTTCTTCGCGCAGGAAACGCGCCAGCCACTGCGTCCCGCAATCGTCGAGAAACGGGCGCTCATCGAGGAGTAGCAGAGCTGGACGCGCCAACAATGCTGCTGCCAATTTCACTCGATAGCTCCATCCACCGGACAGTTGCGTCAGTTGTGTGTCCGCCAAGTTCTTGGCCCCAGTGAACCCCAACTCCACCAGGCATGCATCCACCTCTTCTTGCGTCGCGTCTTCTTTGCCATGCATATTCATGGCCGCATACAGCGACTCGAGTCGCGTGCTGAGCTCTTTTGCCATCGTGCTGGTCACCCCTTCATCAGCAAGCACCCTCTCCAGATCGGATATCCGCCTTTACTTATATTCTTAGTGGAGCCTCGTCTACCTCGTTAAGCGGATGAATAATTAGATAGATTAGGCGATTTATCAAATTGTTCTAGATATTACGGTTAGAAGAAATAAACACGCGGTTAGAATTACAAAACCAATAGCAACACCAAGTACAGAAATCAGCAAGAATAGAGATACTAAAATAAGCCGAATAGTCGTTAGTTTGTTAGAAGGTACAACTCTCGAAGACTTTCACAACCTTTTTCACGATGCTCTGCTGTTGTTGTTTCATCCACTTGATAATTTTTGGAAAAGAAGATCCTCACGGTAAATGGTCTTCATCTTGTGAGTCTGAGCAACTGGATCAATGGCAACGGGATCTTGATGATTTTCTGATTCTGATCTCCTCTCGTGTGACTGAGGAGTCGAGATGGATCGCACTAGTATGGAGGCAGTATCGTGATCTTCGTTCGGATCTTTTCCTGACTTTTCTCACACAAATAGTACAACTTACGACAGTCACAGCCCCCCGCGCTCGGAGGGGGAGGCGCTATCCTGAACCCTGAAACATATATTTATCTATAATGCTAATCAATCTGATAAAATCTCAATTCAAGTGCGCTGTAGTTTAAAAAAGTGGACCTGAATGGAAAATCATCTAGCAAGCGGCCACTAACTTTTGGTCTCTTTTTGAAGCCAATCCCAGCATCGTCTAAGATGCAGCGCGTCACTCAAAGCATAGTCATTCACGTTTTTCCTCACGCATAAGTAAAAAAAGTACTTAGCTCATCATATGTTCTGCATGGTCTGCAGTACTGCTACCCTTAGCATTTCAAACTACTTGCTACATGAGGGAGCAGTTTCCTGGTTGACCGCGCTTCTTTTTTTTGTTCTGGTTGGGCGCTCCATTGTTCGTTGCAGCGCTATTCGATGACCGGTTAGGTGGGGTGAAGCCGCCAGACGCGTTTCCACTTGATGACATTGCTCCACCTGTTGTACTCGTAGGAGTCGCTCTGCTTTGTCTTCCTTGGAGAGGATCGAAACTTCGTGGCCCTGGCCCTGAGTAGCCGCCGGGGTTGACACTATGATACTGCTGCCCAGGAGCGCCGCGTGGGGGCTCTCGGCTACCGGTTCTGCTACTAGTGCCGCCCCTTGAAATGGTTCCCCCAGTCGCGCCTGCAGGTGGCGCAGCTCCACCGCGTCCTCCAGGATTAGTATTAGCCCTCGTAGTTGCAGAAGATGAAGATGGGCCCATAGCTCCTCGACCTTGACCTTGACCACGCTGAAGACTACTATCTGCAAGTTGACCACGTTGAAGATTGTCTCCAGCTGGGCCCCTGCGTCGCCGTTGCTGGGCTTCTTGTGCAACCTCGTCCCTTTTGAGAATTTCTAGCGCCAACTGATGGTCGGCCTCCTCCATTTCCCGCTTGTTTCGTTCGGCTTCGTCCTGGAACAAGGCGTCCACGTAGACAGTGTTCCCATCGACTTCGGTCACACGTTCCCAGACATTCAGTGCGTCGTCCAGAAAACCGAGGTCGGTGTCTTGCTTAGAACAACGAATCGCCAGTCTTCGAAGGCTCCACCTGAAGCCTCAAAGACTCTTCTAGTACAACACACCAAGTTCAAGCATTCTCGCTGTTGTTTTCACTTTTGATTGAATGTTGTCAGACATCATTTTGATTTTCGCTTCTGATTAAGTACTTAAATTGTCCTCCAGCTTTTGTTTAAGTTTAGTACTCTACAACAACAAAAAACAGTGATGAATGTACAACTAGTACAAGTACGACCTGCTAAACATTATCATTCTAGTTCTACAACGAAGTCATAATCAATGCGTACACTTGCTGCCGCAGTTTGTAGATCGTACTGAAGTGGTTATTTCGGAGAAAAACTGCCAAAGATCGTTCGGGAACTGACTCATGTAGCTTGATTAAGCCAGCATATGTCAGCTGAGCAGCTGTTCGTCCGTTCCAATCGCGCAAGAGGGAGAGAGACTGCAAGCGCTCCAGGTCGGCGTCAGAGTGAGTCCCTTCTTCGTTTGAAAATTTCTTAGACAGAGCTAGAATGCTGTCGGTTTGTGGTTGCTCATTATCTCCTCGGAGATCATCCTGCTACGTAATATGATGATACAGTAACGAAAATCGCTGGAGGGATGGCACTAGGAGTGCTTGTACTCCCTGTACTTCTTTTGTTGCAACTTCCTCCACTCGAAATATGAGACATGACGATCACTCTCCATAACTTTCGCCGCCAGCTCCTCGTACTCGAAGAGTTTTTCTACAAGTTTGTTATAACTGCCAACCTCATTCACCACGATATCGTGTGCGAGGTCGCTCGGAGGACAGATCCAGCCATGAAAGATCGGCAAAGATAACAAGTCGAAGACCCCGAGTTCCTCGGTGAACTCAAACTTGTCGATACTTCTGAAATAGACATTTACGTCGAGTCCCTCGTGAAGCTTCGGCAAAATTCTCATAACACCCTGAACGATCTCCTGGGTATCAAAGTCTGGCCCCTGCAATTCGGCATAGTCGAATGCACGCTCGAGTGCAAAGTTGGCGATTACCTGAAGACGATCGATGTCAATCATGTTGAAGCTGTAAATGATCTTCTCAAGATGAACACACGAGTGCTATACATATTAATATATTTCATAGAATCTCAGTGCGACAACATCAATAAAAGTGCGCTGTTGAAGCAGCCGAGTCACTGAGTAAGAGTAGCCATGTGATTATGCATCAAGTAAGAACCTCAACTAGCTCTCCGAAAGTGATGTCGACACGCTCCTTAGCGATTTTGAATTTCCCCTGCAAAAGCAAGATGTTGCAGATGGCGAGGAACGGACATGGGCCGTTCTCGCTTTGCATTAAGATCTGCCTTCGTTTTCCTTCAAATTCCACGCATTTGACAGGATAGACCGTCTTCGCGAGTGCCTTACGCCGTTCTTCGTCTTGCCGCTTCTTGCGTTCTTCTGCGACAGATGTGGACGGAGTAGAATTATCTCCAGGAGACGTAGCCGAACTAGAAGGCCCAGGGCCTGCGCCTCCTCTCGCGTTTGAAGATGATGAAGTGCCCGCAGTTGTTGCGCTACCTTCGCGGCCTTTTGTTTTGGCTTTGCTTCTCTTCGTGGATTGATCTGCGCAGATCTTAGATACTAGCTGTGCCAATTCATCTTCGATTTCTCTAGACGAATCATCCGTCTCTAGCTGTTCTTCGACAGGACTCTGCGCTTTAATCTGAACAACCCTGAAGGCCTCCTTTAACGCTCGCTGTGCTTCAGCAAGATCTAGAGTCTTCTTACTCGGGGGCGACGTCTGGGTCTGCGTCTGCGTCTGCGTGAGATCTGGAGGTTGGGGCCCGGTGGAAGATGATGCTGGTGAGGATCCGACGACGATCTTTTTCTCCCTCCTGCTTGGGGAAGCAGGTGCTCCTGGTTCATCGTCCTGAGTAGCGGAAGATGCTGCCTTCTTCTGTTCGGTAGGAAATGGAGTCGCTCTCTCGGTGTTGTTATAGTTATCCCTGTCGGCGCCGGATGCCTTTTGATCCCCTTCTGTGCCTCTGCTAGCCGCTTTCCTCTGCGCGACTACATCCGCTATGCCAGTAGCACTACTGCTTGAAGTCGAAGATGGTGAAAGTGCGACAGCAGGTTCCTCGTTTTTACCGAGATGCGATGTGCCCAGGTCATTGTAAACGTTGCTACGTCGCCTCGGCTGCGACTCGTTGGTTTTTTCACTAGGCTCGTCCGCAAGAGGGGAAGACATCTTTCGTCTCTAAACTGATTAAGTTTGAAAGGTTCTTCTATAAATTTTTCCGAATGCGTATGCGGTAACTAAGGAGCGTTACAAATCATACACGCGAAAAACTATTACGATCCACTTGGCAACGCCTCCATTATACTTATTTTTCTACTCAAATATCTCATTTTTGTAGCACTATTGTTGTTCTTGTCGTTCATTCTTCTATCGTTTTCCAAAAGAGTCACACGACAAGAGTTCTCGCTCCTGCCTGGCGCAATTTGCAATGCAGACGCTGTAAAAACCTGCTGAAAAAGCCTACCGCTATTGCGGAACGTCGCAAAGGAAGTAGAGCTGTTCAAGCTGTTTTACTTTTTACTTTCTGAGCCACCAGGCTTCTTGCACACGACTAGGATTACCACCTACACTAATTCCAGGCTCGACTCAGGATCGAGTCCGCAACTGCGCGATGCTAGAAGATGTCTTTTCGAAAGTGAGACCCGTCTCAATGTCTCCATCGTCAATTTGTTGATGTGAGCAGATGTCGCTGAACATATGAGCTCTCATTGTTTTATTTTGGCGCAAGCGCACACCTATGAGGACTTCACGCTAGAAAGCGTACCACTGCAAGATCCCGATTCCATCTGGTCGCCCTTGCCACCGTGGCGGAGCGATTCAACATTACAAGGGCAAGCAGGCCCTGAAGACGCCTTAAGCACGCGTCTTGCTACACTCAATGCTTTCGCGGCTACCAGTCGCCAAGCGCCGCGTTCGCACGCGCATCATCGCATCTCTGACGCGCTGATCAGTCATTTTCATCGTGTGCTTCTACTTTCTTGCCTTCTTACCGCACTTCCTCGTGCTGCGTCGAGCTCTCGGCAACAGCATGCTCAGCATCGTGTTCATCATCATGATGCCCATGGTCGTGATGCTCGCCTTCGTGGTCGTCTTGATCTTCAGGCCGCTTCTGCCCTTCTTGCTTACTGCCCTCCTTGTCACTACGATGATGCCCTTTTTGATGTCCCTTGTGGTGCTTGTGTCCTCTATGGCGGTGCTTCGTCTCGCCCGCCTTAGCTAGAGACACAGCGATATCGTGAGGCACAGACTGGAATTGGAGCATCGAAGCTACCGTTTTTTTCGCCTCCTTCAGGCCGTCTACCACAGCTTTGCCGGCTCGATAGATCGTGACGTCGTTCGTCTGCATTTCTCGTACGGTGTCTTGCCAATCGTGAATCTCCCGCACAATAGAGTCCCACTGTCGTGTGTTTAGTTTGTGTTTGAAATGGAGGATAATCATCAGAGGGAGAATAAGAATATGATGGAGATTTTACGAGCATCATCATCGTACTAGTGATTGTTGTATTTCATCAAATCAGCCTCCGGGTGGTACTGGAGGTACGGTAAAAATTGAATGTCAGTAAGTACACTATCAGCAACTTCCTCTTTAGACCGGAACGGTTCTGCCTGATTTATTTGCGACGGTCCGGAAGCGTGCTTTCGCGTTAGTTTCGTAGCAAATTTCTGCAGTCGATCTTTCAGCATATCAATGCGACCCACTCTTCGTTTCTTCTCCAACAACTGCCGCTGTGCATCTGCTTCGTCCGTAGTCTCATGATGATCATGGTATTCACTGGAGTCAGACGCATGACCATTTGTTCTTTCGAGCTGCAGATGTGAGCTAGCTCCTTTCTTGTTCTTCGTGTCTGAATATGTCTTATCATGCTGCACAGACGCATGGGGATCATCCTCGAGATCATTACCGCGCTCTCGATCCTCGTCAAAGTCTTCGTTGTCCAAGTGTCCGATGATGTCCCTCGCGGCGGCCTCGAACTCGTCCCACTTACGGCCTTCGGCACTTTGGTGCTGCGCTGCCATTTCTACAACATCTTGTTCGCCGCCCTTGACAAAACCGCTGGGATTCGTGTGTATGGGTGTGCTGTCGTCGCCGGAACGATCTAAATCTATCTTGTTATTGTTGTTGTTGTTGTTCTCAGCAAATGAAAATGGAGGGCCATCGTCATCGTGCTGCGTCAACCGCGTCTCCTGTTCGTCTTCATGTTGCTGCTCCTGAAGTGGAGGTAGATCTACGTCTTCAGCAAGAAATGAAGAGTCACTGTCGCTGTTGTCGGTTGTGTCTTCGTTGCGGAGATCGTGTCCGAGAGATTCTTCATCAGATTGAGAACGAGGCGATCGATCACTTTGTTCACTTTTGTGAGCGCCGTCCAGGGGAGTAGCGAATGCCTCGTCTTCAGGGCTGTCGCCCACCTGTGCTAGTGATGATGCAACATCCTGATCTTGATCAGCTTCAGCGGCGAGTTCCCCCGACCGGGCATCAACATGCTCGCCCTCTTCAAGCGTTGATGAGGATGCCTCAGAAGAATCGGAATCGCCTGTAACAAGAGCTCTTGGATCCTCTTCAAGCAAGCCTTCGGCATCGTCGGTCTCTGCATCGAGATCGATCAGCGCTTCCGCTCGTCCACTACGCGTTCGCTTCCTTGCTGTCGACAGGTGCAGCTGCTGCCCGAAATATGCAGCAACAAGCACCCGCACGGATCGCAGGGTCGAGCGACGGCAGCTAATCCGACAAGCTAGAGCCATCACCTGTCAGGGCCCTGCCGCTGGAAGTTACACATAGATTTCTCCACGTGATAAAGAGCAATCTCTTTCTTGGAAAGTTGTCATCGTTTTCTTGCAGCAACCGAAACTGTCTACTCGCGACCTTGTGGCTGTTTGGCATGAGAAAACTTTACTTGGTGGATATGGATATTCGAGCTTTTTTTTTGTTGGGAGGTCGAAAATATAGCGGCAGCAACACTATCTTTGACATTTGTAGCAGGGGTCGACGGGGAGGGATGTGTTGCACCAGCTCTAGTACTTTAATCCCTCTTCGAAATCAAGAACCCACCGAGCAGATCCAACTGCGCAAATCCCTCAACCGATGACGGATTTCCACACGAACAGGACGTGTTGAGACAACAAGAACAACACAAAACGGAAGGGCAAGGAAGGCCAATCCCAATCACGGCAAGACCGAAAGTAAGAAGGTAGATGAAGAGACACAACCACAAATAACAGAGGTTCCGCTCTCCAACAATATTCGCGCCCTCAGCTGCGGTCAGCGATGTCTTTTTTCTTGCGTTTTTTTTAGGTTGATTTCGAGAAAATAGAAGCTCAGTTGTAATATCATGTCGCTCATCTTCATCCTCGCACTCGCAGGAGCAGGAGGAGACTGAGAGAATATCATAAATGTGCTTTCGTGATTCAAATTTTCTACTAAATCATGTTCATGGAGGCCACCTGTTGCCGTTTCTGCTAGGACTTTTACTATGATGGAATCTATCTCATACTCATGCTTCATCCCTGTCATATTCTTTGTTTTTCCTGAGTCTCAACTTTTTATCTGATCCCAAGAGTAAAAGTTTGTTTCTCTTTAAACATGTTTTATTTCAACATCAACTGCAAGTAATTCTATATTATAACTCTCACTCTCTTGCTTCAGGTTCTAGCTCTACTTTCTCTGCATTGCAAAATTGATACCGGTCGCAAGATGCTCGCCTCGAATCCGCGACCGGCAAAATCAGTTCAAGTTCAAAATCAATACTATCTACATCTACTTACTCACCTGAAAGAATTATCGAGGTGGCAAATTTGATTAGACTAGTTCGTAGTCACTGAAAGTACTTACTCAATCCGAAGCGCAAGCTTTCGGACTGTTGCGGACATCTTCAAAATGAATATTTACTTTAAATTGTATATGTATTTCTTTGAAACATAGTTGAACTCTCCATCACAACTAGGGCTTAAATCTACTGCTTACAAAAAGGACTTGTTTACTGCGTTGCAAAATTCAAGCTCAAGTTACATTTTTTAAATCTTAACTGGACTTGTTCACCTATCGACACTAGCTACCCTTATACTTTTTCGATGTCAGCTTCAAAATCATTTCTGAGAAGAAAGTCCAGTCACTCCCATAATGAATGCTGGTTTTATGTCCATCAAGTTAGCTGAAGCTGTACATTTTTTAGGACGAAATAGTTCTGCTTCCAAAACTGTACTACCATAATTTTCAATTACTATAGTTCTCTCCTGTCTGCGACTGCGTCCGTTCTTTTACATCGGCTTTTTCTCCTCGGCCAACAACTTGCGGAAGATATCCCTAACTTCCGCAGATTGTTCCTCCTTCGACAATTGTGGTGTAGCTGATTCACCTGCTTCTGTAGAGGCCCGCAAGCTCAGCTCTTCCTTCGCGAAAGCCTGTCCTTTCGCATCCATCATCGCCTGTTCGAGACGATCGATGTCGGGTTGAAACCACACCGCTTGATGCTCGATCCCACCGTAGTTGCCTCCCCGAGCGTACAGGAAGTAGCCCTTCTCACCGAACTGCGTACCCCACGAGTTGCGCAACGTCCAGTATTTTTCGCCTTTTGAGGACGCACCGTACCCCACAGCTACCATCGCGTGCGTTGTCAGTTCCCATTGTAATGCGTCTTCGTCTTGCTGCTGTTGGTCCTTCTTGCTCAGATAGTGCAAGTGATCGGCAGGTTGCGAAGCCGGCTTGTAGATGCCACCCGCATATTGTTCCATATCGCCAGGAACTTCCGCAGCGATCGCAACGGGACCGAACTGGTAGATCTCGCGCTTCATCAGTTCCTCATTGCACCCGCCATAGTAGCCACCCACGTAGCCGTAGTCCTTGACGAAGAACGACAGAGATTGCAACAATTGGTGCAATTTCGACGCTTCGGGTTTGTGTGCGCTCGCCGAAGCAACAGCCGCGCCGTGGTTGCCCATGTAAACCGGAAACTTCTGTTTCTCATCGACCTTCATCTTGCCGTATGCTTCGCCATCCAGCAAATTCAAGACTGAGGACATCCCGTAAATGCGATCCCAACTGTTTGCAGACGTTTTCACGTTCTCTGTTCCACCAGAGGCGGTAGAGGAGAAAAGACCGCCAAAGGTGGACAGAAGCGACGCTGTAGTTGGCGAAGAAGCGGATGTAGATTCATCTGAGGTTTTCTTGCTGTAAGACGAAGAAGCTGCGAGAAACGAAGCCTGCTCAGATCCGGGAGTCTCGACGAACGGCGTTCGGAATTTCAAGGGCAGCAATCTCGATGGCTGTGGGTGCGCAGCAAAGACGCGCCAACTCATGTGGTATCTTCCATCCTGAGTCTCTTCGTCATCGTCTTCGGAGTGCGGTCCGACAAAGGCCGGCGTGGGACCGACAAAGGCTTCCTCGGGACCATTCCCTTCAACAAAGGTCGTCAACAAGCTCGATCGCTTGTTCCCAGCAGGGCCGATCTGCAGAAAGGACACGCTCTTGCTCGATGCCATCGCCAACTTGGAAGAGGATTCTGCATGCTGAGGGTTCGAATTCTTCTTCGATGACGAGGAAACAGCTTTGGTATGCAAATCTGAAGACGCCGTGGTCGCAGCGCCCAAACCAGAACCGATGTCACGGAGAAGCTCAGCTGTCGTCTTGCGGCCCTGAGCAGCACATTGGTCTTTGCGCGCCATGCACTTGCCGTAGGACGAAAATCCGAGTTCGCGTCCGGCAGACATAGGGTAGTAGTCCATGCAGGCATTGTCACGGAGACCGAACTCCTTAGCGTGGCGCCCAACCTAGTCGTGCAGTTTATTGCGGAGATGTGTCGAAGTTTTAGCTAAGCAAAGTTGCCACTTTGTCGATCTTGTTGGAGTCAACATCGAAATCGAACTACATGCAGACAATAAATCGTCCTTCATCACTGTACTAGCATGCATGCAGCAACTATGAAATTTCTGTAAGCAAGTACTCGGATCGAGATACGCAGTATGTTCAATACCAGAAATGGCAGTCCTCCATTGCAACCTTGGTTCGTGACAGAGCACGCCACAACGGACTCAGCGGACAGTGTGACTGGAACATCGAGTTCGTACTTTTTGCGCAACGCGATGCGAAAACGCGACTCAATAGCGGCAACCGAAGCCAATGCGTAGCAGCTGCCGCACTGTCCTTGATTCACGACAGTCGTTGGCTCAAGGATCATCTCCGAGCCTGAAGCATGCCAATCGAAATTCACGGGAACGTCGGGGGTAGCGGAGGAAGCTGCTGCACTGGATGCAGACGAAGCACTGGGAATGAACGACTTGCTTGTCTTCTTAGTGTGGTCGGCTTTGACCGCTGAAGAGATTGCATTCTTCAAGCGCAGCTGTTGCGTAGCGCTTTCATCGTTATTCTTCAGTTCCAAGGCGGTCTCGATTTCCGCTGCATTCTTCAATGGGTCTCTTGACAGTTCGTGAGACGGCGGCAGCAGTTCTGGACCGCCCAGCGAGCCTGGTGGCACAGGGAAAAAGCCAACAGCACCGTGCTGAGTGTTTGTACTCGGAATCGGTGGCGCAGTCAACAATCCCTCCGCCGAAAGGTCCTTCTTTCCCTTCAAGAGGTGAGCAAGGTCGAGACTCGGGCCGATCATGCGAACCAGCTTCTTCTTCGCTCTGCCATCTGCAACTGGGAAAGGGGACTTGAGAAGACGACCAATGCTTCGCAATGCGGCTTGTTCTTCGTTGACGGACATCGTTTGCGAAGACTGGTCAGCCGTCTTCTGCTCCAACGATGAGCGTTGCATGCGAACAAAAGAAGACGAGGATGAGCTCTGTTTTTGCTCTGCTGCGACAATGCTGCCATCGGCTCTCTCTGCATACCAACACATTTGCGCGTCTTCTTGTTTCGCTGTAGAGAACGAGTCGTGGATGTGTTTCGTTCCCTTTCCGTTTCCCTCAACTTCCAGCATAGAAGAACGACCACTGGAAACAGGAGTACCCCATCCGAGCATCGTGCGACCGCAATCGGTCTTGAAGTCACTGACTGTACCGTCATCGTTCTCGCCATAGAAGCTGTCCGGTCGGATGTCGGTGAAGTGTTTCAGATTTTCGTTGTACATGGGTTCGAAGTGAAAGAAACCGAAAAAGGAGACGCCATTCAAACGCAACTCCATCCCTTCGTCGTACGCCATGGTCCACTGAGTTCCAGCGTCAGAAGTCGCTTCGTGGGTATCGTGAGTGGAAATCACCTGCGGAAGATGTTGGGGTGGATGAGATGTTTACCGAAGATGGCGAAAGAAGATGGAGATACTAACGACCTCATTGGCTTTGGCTTTTTATGTCAGTCGGAAATTATAATTCATAATTTCCTTCATCGTACCAAGTCACTGATTATCTAATAAGTAGTAACTACCTCCAGCCTGCCACGCGGTTTCAAGTCGACCGTCGCGAAAGGAGAGAATCCCGGTCGAGGTCCCTTCGGAGATGTAGCACTGGTGTTTGATTTGATGGCCAAGGAAGAACTAGCGCGAGAAGATAAGAAAGAAGATGCTCCTCCAGCATTGTGTTGCTCCCATTCGTAGTGCTCTGCACCCAAATCAATGGATCCATCAGTGCGTAGGGTACTGACTACTGTGCTGGGATACTCGAAAGCGCAGGAGCCCTGTTTCACGTGAATGTTCCATCTTCCAGTCACTTGATGTTCCTCGCAGTGGATCGGCAAATCCGCCGCCACTTGTCGTGTATTGAGTACTAGGCAGGCCAAAGTGACGAATGCCGAAAGATATCCCGATTGACGGAGACGGACCATCTTTTTGTTCTTGATGCTGGTGGGTGTTGAAATTTTCAGCCTGATGCCCCCCTGGTCTTTCATCTTGTTGATCGTGATTGTATTTGATCAATTGAGGTGTTGACAAAATAAATTCGTTTCGACCTTGGATGATTTGGATATGCTTAAAACAGATTCTTGCGACGCCAACAAGAAAAATCAACCAAGAATGCATATCATTCAGCCAATGGTGGGATTATCCGGAAATGGAGGTAGAGTCTGGAATCACTTAGAAGATAACCACGCAGCTGAGGTGGAGGCGCGAGTAAATCTCTAGTTCTGTTAACACAAAACGAAAATGATCACGTGAGGTCGATATAGTGAGGGAAAGTGACCTTGTAGCGTTTCTCTAAGTGTTGTCGTATCTTTTTGAAGAAGATCGATGAGGATGAGAGTGAAGCAATTTTTGAAATGACTAGTGGTCGTAGTTCAACTTCAACTTCACGAATTCTTACTAGGTATGCTTGATGTGGATTTCGTCGAGAATCTATCTGCTGAAAAATACTCGAAGATGCTGAGGTTGATGCAGTCTAAGTTGAGCTCCTAGACTAAACGACGGGTGAACATATGACGAAACTGCGAGGGGAAAAATGAAGGATTTGATTTGATGTGGGTTGGAAAAGGAAAAACGATCAATCAAGACTAAGACAAGCACTGCTCGGGAGACCGTACTTTAGTAGAAAGTACCAGGAAAACAAAGCGAATCCGAAAACGGAACAAACATTTCTCCCATTTATTTGCGAAAACGATACCGAGACCGACGTCGAGACACACTACAAAGATAAACCGACACCGGAAAAACAAAATAGAACTCATTGACCAACGATCCCGAAAAACGATTCTCGACAAAAAACAACAATCTTTTGGTAAACTTCTCGAGTCCCGTATTCTCACGAATACTACAGCCAGAGGAGAGAAAAAAAGGGCTCCCGGGAAACCGATAGTGCTAGAGCGCAATGCACACTAGTACTCGGTTATGGATCCGATCGTTGAGCGATCATGAAAAAACACATGGATACTTACTAGAAAATAGATGATGCGACCTTTTGTGAACTACAGGGCTCATGGGCGGTGTTTGGAGACACCGCGTCTCGTTTCTGGGGTCTATGTGGGCGGGTACTATGATCTCAATTATTCGATTGAATTTTTTCGTGATGGGCAAACGTTTCAAATCCAGTCTTCAATACTCATCATGGTCAACGTTGTTCTGCTTTTACGAGAGGACGTTAGAACATAGTATCTATTCATTCATTTTTGATTCGTGTCCCTAGCAGTCTATCACTCTGTACAACTAGACGAAAGCTAGACTCTGTGTGGGCGACACATCATATGTGTATGTGGCAATATTGGTCATGATTGTGAAGAAGTAGAGCATGACGCGTCCTCGCTTCCATTCCCAAATTCAAAGCCACAGGAAAAGCCAGGCGAAGCTGTCGCGGAAGTGCAGGGTCCGACCATCTTCTACCGCTTTCTGTCTTCAGATGAAGCACAAGCACGGCCGTTTCCATTCGCGGTTCTCGCGCTATCGGGCACAGACGTGGATGCTGCACTTGCTGCAGTTCTTTTCTTCTTCATTTCCAAACCTATGTCTTCGTAGTATCCAAGGCCCTTGACCCCGAGTTTGAAGCAGTATCCTGGCTTTTCTCCAGTGAAGGTTGTCGCAGCGATGAACGGGGTTTCAAAAGTGTACCTTCTTTCTTCCCGCTCGATTTCGTCGCGTTTCCGTGCCTCCAGTAATTGCTCGTCTGTTTTTGCGCTACAAATTCGATCTTCGCTTGAACCATATGAGTTTGAGTACAAGATAAGCGAAGCGAGCGATGAATCTCGGGCCTTTGAAAAAATCATCCAACGACCATATTCAAAAAAAT